CTGCAATACTTAAAAGCTTAGCAGTAAACTACCACAGCTCACAAGAAATTAGTTGAAAGCATTAATTGTGTTCAAGACATTCATTATTCTAGGGTAAAAGCATTTCAACGCTCGAACTTATTTATGCGTCCGATGTTCCCGCAATTCGTGGGGTAAATAACAGTGGCGTAGCTCGGTGGGGCCAGGTAGTTAACCGGGGCTCCGGAGCTTATGGGGCCCTAACCCCATCTTCGAAGAGATAAGCGTAAAAGAAGTGATGAAGGAGAAGAGCAGAAAAGAAAAAAGCTTTATTTACCCTCTGAGTGAACATCTACAATTACAAAACTCTGGTTTAAATGCGATAAGCGTTTTTGATAAGCATGTGCTTTTGTTTTTTTTTAATTTTGTAAAGGAGGTCCTTATTGGATTAGGTACAACAATTCTTTTTACCATCTATAATCTTTATTTCTCTTATCTAAATTCTAAGCTCTTAAAGAGGGAATGAGGGCCCGATTCTTTATACACCGGGGTCCTTGTCTACCTAGCTACACTACTGGGAAATATAATAGTTTTTAGACAGCAAAATAGTATTGTTTTATCGGGGTCATTGGCATTAGACATTTTTGCACGTTAGATAGAATAAAGTTAACTAGCTCATATATCTGATATACACTTGTCTGCTGATTGTGATATGTAATTTCGGGATTATGTATTTTTTCTGATAAAAAAGTCTACTTCGTACTATAATATCAAACGAATACAGAATTGATGTTTATTACAAAAGTTTTATACTACTTGTAAATCGTTTTCGCCTGTTATAGTTACACTATAAGGCTTTAGGCTATAAAACATCACGGTCCTACCAATGGCGAAGAAAAAGTGGGAAATTATTCATAGTTGCGTGCACTGCCAAAACGTTAACGTGCAAAATTACCCAAAAAAGGTGTATGAAAGAATGCCTCCTTAAATGATCTAAAAAACAATATCCGCGACAGAACCCGAACGATGTCGACTTGAGGTTTTTTTGTGTGAAATCCCGTTTCCCCCTCGTGGGGCATGGGGCGAACACATTTCTGTGTCCGTTTCAGTGATCCGTACGTCCGACGTGAGGCTTGCAACAAATTCTGATGGCCAAAATAACTACTCTATGCGGATAAAGTAGTAGTAGCTAGTATGTATATATGTGTCTAACGCCAGCACCGACTAAACCAACGTCCGCTAATTACCAGTCCTATGATGGGCTGGAAGTCGACTGGGTACTATAGAACGGGTATACCCACAGCGGAAGTCTGGCACAAAGGCCACAGGTGTCGATCGATGCGGCGCGACAGAACCGCACCACATGACACCACCAATTGCGCTTTACACCTTCATGCATATGAAATTCAGCTTCCGGTTTACCAAACTGTGACCCTTTGACTGACCTTTAATTAATAACTAGCTGAACACACCACTTTGTTTCGTTTAGAGGTTAAGTATTTCGCAAGTAATCATATTGATAAGAATTCTTTCCTAGATTACGCGGGTAGCACACCTTAAGTTTTTACTCTAATCATGACCACGGCTGCTGCAAAGCATCCGAAACGTCGAGCCGTAGTTAAAAAAATCGTAAATAAGTTAACCATTATACGGTTTCAAACGTGAAATATATTGGTATTTCACGTTTTAAACCGTTAAAAGTGTTTTATTAAAATCATGTGGTTGTTAGGTACTGCTACAAATAGGGACTCGCAATCTCTATTGCTTTATTAAAGATAAGTCTTCACGTTGGAAATTAAGTTTTAAAAGCTGTGTTTAATTTAAACAAAACACTAACGGTTTAAAACGCGATATATTAGTTAAACTTTTCTCCCCGTGACCACGGCTGAATGTCGGCCCGAAGTTAAAAATGAATTTTCAAATAAGTTAAATATATCGCGTTTGAAACCGTTAAAGTGTTTTATTTAAATGTGTACAGACAGTACTATAGACAGTATTTAGCTGTGTTTAATTTTTTCATTACTGTTAATAATAAAATATTAAAGCATGCATGTACACGGATGTCCGCTTTGTTGTTTTGTCTGAAATTCAAAACAACCTTTTATCGCCCAAACTTTAGCATTTATACTTAAAATAACTCACAAGATGGTCGACAAACGTTGAACACTCTCGCGACGAGTTAATTAATTAAAGCCTTCTCGGAACAACGACATTTACAAAAATATTGTAAGTTAATTACTTCAACAGACTGGATATGAAACAATCTAAAGAATAATTTATCCAATTCGAACTTAAGATGCCCATACAACTTTGATCTCGAACAATTCATTAGCTGAAGGCAAGCAAACCCAGGTCGCAAGTTTAATTGACTTTCGAGATTTTTAATTAGTGAACTGAAGAAAAGATACACGCAAAGGAAGAGTTCGGTGCGGGGGCTCGGGGCGAACTTTGAAATGGTTTATTTCTCAAACGGGAATATCCAACGATGAATTTAATAACTTTAGTATTAAGATAGTGATATTAAAAATTAAAATATTAATTGATCATTACTGCTGATAGAACTACAAAACACAAGATATAAACTATAAAAAAATTGTAATAATTTTAGACAGTTAAAAACTATATTAGTTATCTAATTATTTCCTTATTATTTTTAAAAACCATTTTCAACACCACTATTGTCTTAAAATAACTTATTATAATCAACAATTACTTAACATAATAATAATGTTGATTAAGAATACCAGACTTAAAAGTTTAATTTAATTTAATTGAAAAGTCCATAGACGCATAAGGACTTCGAGTAATCTATAATAATATTATAAAGCTAATAGTTTGTTTGTTTATTAGTTTGAAAACGCTTATCTCAGGATCTGAAAATGTATTTATCGAGGAAGGCTTTAAGGCTATATAACATAACGCTGCGACTAACAGGAACAAAGAAATAGCGGGAAATGTGAAAAAGACGGAGAAACTTATTCATCTTTAATTGCGTTGTGTGCGCTGCGAGACCAGTTCAGAATGCCCAAAAAAAAAACACTCCCGGGACAGTATATTATGTCTTTCTTTTAAAATTATGTACTTCAAAACCGTTTTTATGTTAATTAAATTTATCGAAATACTCAAATGGGAAAATAACGCTCGCCATGTCATCTAGGAAACAATATGTTGCACAACAGGCTACAGATTCAAAATAAAAGACATCACTGGATTTCCCGCCATTTTCTCGTCGAGGTATCCTATCTAGACAACCTTTGTCAGTTTTCCACTTCGCACTCACCGTTCGTACCGTAAAATCTGTAAACGCAATTAAGTTTAAACTTTACCTAACACATTGCTTCCTGCATTCCTTTTCACACGCATCTTGGACCTTATTTCATTGTTTTAACGTCGATAATCCAATACGCCATTGGAATTGTAAGTTTGTCCGCCTGTCCTTTGTTGTCTAGACTAGACTAGAGGGAGGGAGTTGCATTTTGTTTTATTCCCACGTCTGTGTGTGTCCGATCGATGCGTAACAGGGATGCACTTGTGATCATTGGATTTTCGAGTTAGCTCTTGTTTTATACCTGTCCAGTTTATTGTTGAGTGGCTTTTAAAAATAAACAGGTGTACACAAAAAAACCAAAAAAAAAAAAAAAAAAAAAAGAAAAAAAGGGGCGAGTTATATTTGTATTTTATGACGAGTTGTATTTAGTATTTAATTTACTTGACTGTAAGATAATTTGTGATACGTGAATTAACTTAAATATATATTACGTTTAGGATCGGCCGAAAAGGTAAACATGTATAACCTATAGTCACTCAAATATTAAACGAGTTTAAGAGTATGGCTTTTTCGTAATATGTCGATTTTAAATTACAGACTATTAGTATGGAATATGTTAATTATAGTAAACCGATACTAAACACTAAGATCTTAATTTACAACAAACTTTTTGTTGACGAGTGTTGCGAAAGCACTTATTTGGAAACTACAGCGTACTTAACTAGAAGTAAATTCTATAAAAATTTTGTATCCTTTTAAGGAAATATTATTTTTAACCGTCGGTTACTTAACCAGAACCAGACATCATTGCTATAATAACGTAAAATGTCACATGGAAAACAAGAAGAGTATTTTCGCTTTCGTCGTCCTCTCTCTCTTTTATGTCTTACCTTGTCTGCATCTTCGGACATGCTGATGAAGGTCAGGTTAAAGAGATTTATCCTCAATCTGTAATTGATTACTGGAAAAGAAAAGATATGTTTACACGAACGCATTTTTTCATTATAGTCTTTAACATAGCTCTCTGAATTGCCTTCTTTTACAAAAATAATATGAGTTTTCATCTATGCGATTAAAATCAATTTGTGAGCAAGGATAACGTATCTGAGTAAAGTGTAGGATGGCCTTAAGACGCGCATCCCTAGGGAAAAGTGAGATTGCAAGGAAAATGGAACATGTAATTACTTTGCAAATAAGTTCCTGTGGTAATATAAGACGTGTACTTCTTTACATTAAAATTTTGAACAGACTTATTACCTACAATGTGATTATTTATTAATTATTTTTATAAATATGTATATTCATACATTGTACCTACGATTTTAAATAATAGTGCACTGTTATATTAAGTAATAATAATTTATAAAAAATGCAACCGATTGTTAACAAAAAACATCGTGATGTTTCGGTTTCGTACGGTTTCGTACCGTTACGTTATTAAAGTGACGTTATCTTATGACAGGATAAATAATCTATAGTGCCAAATTTTCTTCTACATATACTTCGCACTCTTTGGGTCCCAAAACGCATTTAAATAATATGAAATATAAAAAACCACAAACATAATATGTAGAGAGATCACACTTCACTTTGAACGCCATCTTTGTATTACATTATGAACTATGACTACACAATGAAACCATTTGAATTGCTACTACCGGAATTTATTATTCTCAAACTTAGATTCATATTCAAGAATAGTCGTAAGTGATGATTTTTCAATGTAAGCTTGTATATATAGTTCAAGTTCTTTTTAAAACACGTATTCATCTACTTATTTTTTAGCACTAGGACTGTTAGAAGGAGACATTACAAAACATACAGCCGCATAACTGATGTTTTCAGAAGGCGTAGAATATCCTGTTCGAACAGATATGTTTCCAGTGGGTAGTTTTTTATACAAATCATCTCTTAGCGTCGTTGGCGGCATTTGCAATATCTTCTGTGGCTTTGATGGGTAGACGAGAGGTTTTATCGACATCTCGGTGATTGTTGGTGTTGTTTTAAAAACCGCTTTACACGATACAGCCAAGCGTCCGCCATTCGCTAGAAAGTTCATTGTATCACTCTATTTTATTCACGACACACACTATAGGAATATATAAAAAAATATGACACTAAAAGTCAAAATGAAAAATTCATATTATTTTTAATATTTAATATCTGTGCAATGATGTTTAGTCTGTGCAAAACGTGTAAATTTACATAAGATATAACTGACAAAAGGGTATTCTTAAATATTTTCTTAATCTTAAAATATACACGATATCCATTTATCCATCCATCCATCCATCCACATTTTTAAGTAAACAATTTTGATGTGATGTAATGACATTCATCAAATAATTTTATGACTTTCTAACTGACAAATTTGAAAGTAATTTGACAGTTGACATTGATTGCTCGAATTTGTAATAAACACTCGAGTCTCAGTTTTAACTAAACTTTTGGTTTAAACCTAAAAAGGTCGTAATATTTTTTGTCCTCTCTGAAGTGTTAATTTATGTAAAACAATACGCTAGTGTTCTGAAAATGTCGTTTTCTTTTGGCACTCCTTCGAGTGCCCCTGCAACCGGATTATCAGGTGGCTTCAGTTTTGGCGCTAACAAGTAAATATTCATTATTTTCCCCTTTTATTGCTAATTAACCTTAAATTAATCCATGTAATTTAGGCGAAAGAGCACAATAAAGCTATTTTTAAATTTGTGTCTGTATACACAATTCATTATAACCTCTTTTTGTTAACGGTCAACCGTTTTACAAACGAATAGTTTTACTGTTCACTTCTTTATTCGATTGTCAGTATCGCTATAGAAAAGTACTTGTCAAAATTCATACATCTATCAAATCTATACATTGAACTTTTGCTAGGCCAGCAACACCTAGTTTCGGGTTAGGTGGAACGCAACAATCTACAGGATTATTTGGAACTCCTGCATCATCTGCCCCCGCGTTCGGCACTGGCATTCCGGCTTTTGGAGCTACATCTACAGCATCAACATTTGGAACTAGTGCAACTCCAGCATTCGGTGCAACATCCACAGCAGCATTTGGTGCAACATCTACTCCAGCATTTGGTGCAACATCCACACCAGCTTTTGGTGCTACAGCTACATCAGCATTTGGTGCAACTGCAACTCCGGCATTTGGGACCACAGCAACACCATTTGGCAGCACTGCTACCGCACCTGCTTTTGGTGCTACAACATCTGCACCAGCCTTTGGAAGCACCACAACTCCAGCATTTGGTGTTTCATCTGCAGCTCCAGCTTTTGGTATGTGTTGTTTGCATATTTTTTTGTTTTTTTTTATGGTACATCTAAATTATATGGTGTTGATAATATTGAGGAATCAGTAAAAATAATGTCCTTTGGCTTATTTATGAATCATAACAAATTATATTTCATAAGATTTAGCATGTACTTGGTACTATAGGCCATAATTCTGATTTATATAATTAGGTACAACAACACCTGCATTTGGTGGTTCAACATTTGGACCTGGATTGAGCACTGGTGGATTAAGTTTTGGTACAACAACTACTACTGCAACAACAGGTAACTAACTACCATGATTAACATTGTACTAAAATCTATTCTTTTTAGCTATGGTTTTCTTATATTTATCAATATTAAAATTATACTATATATCTTTTATGCTTTTAAAACAATTTATTTATTTGTACATACTACTAATGAGGAATGTATGCTACAGTAAAATAATTGCAAATAAGTACTCAATTAGTTCTACAAATGTTCCTATCTTCAGGACTGTCCTTTGGGACAACAACAACAAGTGCCGGACTCGGGGGCTTAGGAGGGTTCGGGTTTGGTACCACTACTACAACTCAATCTAGCTTCGGCCTCGGAGGTGCGACCACTACAACTACTAGCACTTTTGGTAAGCTCATACACTTATTATGATTCTTAACATTTAGGTATGTTCACTAAGAATTTTCTCTCTATTTTCAGTGCAAAAATGAAAGCAAACTCTCCCTACCCACAAATTCCTTTGACACAGACATTTCAAATTATACCTCCGCTTCAGTTGAGTCCCATTTTGCCAATAAATACTATAGATAGGTCGCCTCAAAATGATAGTTATGTTGTTAAGTTGTCGAGGCGAGATTGTTATCCAACTATTTCTCCTACTTGTAAGTTATTCTCTGTATTTGTATTATAGTTAAAATTAGCTTATTTAAAATAATTCAACTAATATAATTTGTCGTTTTTAATATGTATGAGCACAATTTCTATAAATAAACAAACAAAATGCCACAAAACTCGATTGCAGGTGGAAAAATAAATAGATGTCAATTTCAAGAAACAATAGCAGGTACTAAATCCTAGCAAATTGTATAAATATTTAGACCTGGATTAAAAATAGATTTTTTTAAAACATCTAGATAGTGTAATATATAATATTATGCTTAGAATTGATCCTTGAACCTTCAGTAAATTCCTGTGCATCCAAAATAATTACAATTAGACATATTTTCACTGTAGGTTTGGCAGTTTTATATAAAAATAAATAATAATTTAACAAATAAGCAAAGTATATTGTTGGTTGCATCCTGTCAGTATTATATTAGAATTTGAAGGTGATTATTATCTTGTAGCAATAATTAAATAAGGGCTAATGTGTAAAAACTGCTCTACTTTAAAAAATATTAGCCATTTCACCAATTTCTCAGTTTCCAACTTAATTTGAAGTATTATGATATATTATTAATCCAACTATGACTATAACTTACAGGAACAACACCAAGTTTAGGATTAGGAGGAGCAGTACCAACTAGTGGAACAACAGGAGCAACTGATGGAAAGAGTATGTACCACATAGTACAATATATTTTATTGTTTGTAATAGTCTTTTGTGCGGTACTTTTACAAGTAATGATAACGGGGCATATATTTTTTCTTATTACCTTGGTCACAATAAAATGGTCATAAGCTCTTATTAAAATTATATGTGTATAGGTCACAAATGAAGATTCTTAGTAATGAAATTTTTCATTTTCAGGTGAACCCCCGAAACAAACAAAACTACCAAATGAAATATCAACAACTGTGGAATCATTCAAAGAGTTTGTGAAAAAGCAGAAGTCACTCAGTTCTGATATAATGCGAGTTTCAATTAAGCCGTTGCAAAAGGTATATTACCTAAGGTACAAGTCTTACATCTTACATCCTGAAGGATTAGGAAAGCAAATGGTCCTTCAGCTCCATCCAAGCAATATCAAAAAATATTATAAGAATAGAGCTAAGGAATATTACTAAAATAGAGCTAGAGAAATAATACTTTTGTTTATGTAACAATGAATTAGGTACAATTTGACATTTTAATATATTTTTGACTCAAGTTTGAAGTGTAAAAATTTACTTGCGAGTGTAATTCTAATTGCATCACTATCTTACAATTCAGGTTGGCCGTGAAGCAGAATGCACTCTCCGATTGGCTCTCTCTCTATCTGGTGAGACATCGAGATGTCGCGCCCAATCTCGCCGTCTCCGTGCCTCTGCTGCTGCTGCTCTTGCTGCCGCCGAGACTGCTAACAGAGACCCGCCTGGTACTTACTCAAATTAATACAATTTAATTTATTTCACGTCTGAAAGCTCAACTGAGAAAATAATGGAATTGTTTTGGTCGGGCAGGGCACAGAAGTCAAATAAACTTCTTACCTGTAAATAAAACCAATCAGCGAAACCTGAAAAATGTTCGCCTACTGCCCCATTATATATTTCCTTCCGATTTACGAACCACCGTCCACATATGAAATAAGCCGTCAAGTTTAATCGCGTATCGTTTTCAGTCTGTGGATTCCTGAATATCCAAACCTAAAATAATTACAATATGTGAGATGTTATAGGGCTGGGAGCCCCCCCATTTCTTCTCCTATCAAGTGAACACATGCTTGTATCTCCTCCTTTATCATACAATATATATTTCCTTCCTATTGTAATTACACAAATATGTCCAGGTTCCGAGTTCGAAGGGATAACACCGCCCAATTACGTGAAAGAGCTGATAGCGGAATTGGAGCAGCAGATCATAGCGTTCCGCCGACAGATGGACGTCGCGGACAAGCAGATGCAGTCTTCGCCGAAACTACTTACAGAACAAGGTACATATTATACAGACGGACAGGTTATTAGACGACAATAAAGAACGTAGGATAACTTACTGACCTTCTTGTAACAATAATATTAAAACCAACCAAGTGGTTCCTTCCTGTGACCATTTATTTATATCAGTCAATACTTGCTTGTAACCATTTCATAAATAAAAGCTGAATAATCAATAATAATAATGGAAGCCTTATTTTGTTTTTAGCTGACATTATAGCGACGACAGTATATAAGTTATAACCTTTGCTATATGTATATTGACGCTTTAAGCTGACATAACCGTTGGGTTTAAAATACGAAGCCCTATTTAAAACAGCTAGAGATTTTAAATAAATAAAACAATAATTTCTTTAAAAGTGACACACATAAACAAAATATAAATCAAGTTAACCAAATTATAAATCAAGCAATGCTAGTGCAATTTCTGAAACAGGAGCCACTTAGTATAAATTTAGGAACACGCTTGTGTTGCATCGCTGATTTTCAGTGGCCCCTGAAATTTAACGTATTCTAAAGGAAATAAAACAAGTTATTATATATTTACGTCCTTCATAAATCGACAAAAATGTATTAAAATATTTTTTTTTCTTTTAGAATTAACTCTCGGCATTCGTCGAATGCACGAGTCGCTGGTGGCGCTCGCCGGGCGCCTGCAGGCCGTCCACGCACAGGTGGAGGGGCAAAAGGAACAGTACCTCAATCTGAGGAAGTACGTCCTTAAGGATCCTACTAATGTCTTCGATACAAGCCGTAAGTTTGATTATTTAGAAAAGTATTTATTATTGTACTAAAAAGACCTATCTCCCCTTGTCAGACATGGCATAAATGTTTGACTGCTTTGCCGTGTTTGATGGAAACAATATGTTATATTATACTGTCCTGTAGTTTATGCTAGTAATAGACAAAATTAAAACTCATAACGATTTACTCAAACGCGCGAAATATATTTGTAAATATTTACAATTCATTTTACCTACGGCCCGACGTTTTGAAGGCTTTGCTCCAATGACCAAGGTCTGCTGCAAATGTTTCCCGTTTTAGACCGTCAAGAGTGTTTTATTTAAATGTTTTATAAATTTATTATTATTATATTATTAATATTCCTTAAATAATTTTTTGTATTGATTGGAATATAAAGATTTATATTTTATATAAAATCCAGAGTGTATACATTATGTCAACTTTATTTATTATATTACATTGTTCTAGCGAATGCAAGCTTAGACCAAATACTGCGGGACGCTGAAGGCACTAGGAAGAAGGCGAAATCCGGCAATTTTAGTGAGCTCGGCCTGAACAGCGCTGTGCTTTCGGATCCTAGAGCTGCTTTAGGTAATTTTTTTTTTAACTTTTGGGTTTAACTACTTTTTGTGATATTATATTTATAAATAAATAACAATATATACAGTTAATCATTTTTGGTTTAACATTAAAGAGTAGGTACCTAATACATTTGTTTTTTAATAAGTAAACTCGTTGACAAAAGATAGCAAGCCTTTTGCCTGTTCTTGTTAGTTATACACCTAGTTTTATAACTCTTAAACATACCGAAATATTAAAAATATCGATTTTATGAATAATATTAATATATCTGCAGGTAATATACAACAATTAGCTGGACCGACGCCGTTCACGTACTTGGGAAGTACGATGTCACCCTTTACGGCTGCTGAAACCCAAGGTATTATTTCTCTACAAATAGAAGAAATGTGAATGTCTGTGTGATTGGCTGTCCATTTAATATTCACTACGTCCTTCAGCCATATATGTCCCACTGCTGGGACAAACGCTTTGAAGACCCACCGCGCATCCAGTGCGGGTTGTATATGTTAACCGTCAGTCTGCCTGTCATACAGCTCAGCCCCAGCTTCATGAATTAATAATTGTTACCAACAACGTCGTCTGCGTCCTATCGTTCTAAAAAGATATACAGACATTTTTTTTAAACCAGGGTCAAAAATTTTTTAGACCCCATGGGAACCATTTTCAAAAGAAGACAACAGATGAGTAATTTCCATGTTTATTCCACATGTCCCTTTGTTTTTTTCATATTGGCGCAGCGTCGTTTAAGGCCTTTCTCGATAAATGCTCTAACCAGACACACAATAAATTCTCAACGAACCAGTTATGCGATTAGCGCCTCAAAGTCTTTAACTTTTTGCCCCTATTTTCTATTATTAAATTTTTTAATCAATACTTTTTTCTAGCGTCTAGCTGGCAACCAGCAACACAGCCCGCTCTGAACACATCGTTCAACACAAGTGGATTTGGATCGCAGACAGACAGTTTCCAGCTTCAGAAGCCACCAGGGAAACGTGGGAAACAGTGATATTGGCGTCACTAAACTGGGTTGTTACCCAGTTTAATCCCACGAGGGGGCGAGTGTCCAAATTTGGGAAGACTGTGTTCTAGTTGCGTGGGTGTAAAATAATGTTTGTAGGTGTATCGTAAATATTTGTTTGAATAATCCTTTATTAAATTGTGACCGCCTCCTGAGCTAAATGGTTAAAAGTGTTGCCTAGCATTGTGTTAAGCGCGAGAGGTCCTGGGTTTGGATCCCAAGAAGATAATAGATTGTTTCAGTCCGGCAGGTCGTAAAAGGTTGATCCCTTGGGAAAAGCCGACTTATTATTTTTTATTGTAATATACACATTCCTCGTGTTCGTAAATAAGTTTTCATTGATTATAATAATTCAGTCTAGCGTATTAGTATGTGCTAGTTAACAATGTTCGTAAAAATATATGGTTTCAAAATTATAGTTGGTTTTTGACTTAAATGATGTCAGTGAAAAGACATTTCTTTAATTTTCTTTCAAAAAATTACTTACTGCTTTTAGTTTGCATTGTCAAAGGTTTATTAAAGGACCTAAATTTTTAATCTGACATCTTTTATCCATAAAAAAATTTAAAACAGTTCGACTTTTTACCACTACTTTTTTTCCCTTGGTCATAACTTTACCACACCCTCTATGATCCTGCCAACATAATATATGAGGCCCTTAAAAATATTACTTATTTACTCGTCGCATGGTGTCTCTGTAAGTTATGTCAATAATGCTGTTTATAAAATTCATAGTTTGCATAATGAATTTGCAAACTCACAAACCGAATGTATTGAAAAATAATTCACTAAGTTATTTTAGCTTCAGCGGTTCATATGAATTGAACTGAATTTTGAAATCAAATAGTTTTATGTAGTATATTAAAATCAAACTACATTTAACACGTGTCTGTAAAAAATAACAATAATTCGCCTCTTCCTAACAGTTATGTAACGTTTTATTCGTTTAAAGTTCATCCTTAACCAGCTTTAAGATTTCATCGTCCTCCTCCGTCCAGATGTCTGGGTTCGACGTCATCTGCCCCAATGCCTCCATTCGTCTCTCCATAGTGACCTTGTCTAGGATATGCTCCATCCGCATATGCATGCAGTCGTTGAACACGGATGCATATTCGCATATTTCGAAAATGCCTTCCACCACGTCACCGCATTCCGTTATAGCTGACTGCAACCTGGACATAACTTCACTGTCCTCACCATAAACCGCTCTATTCGCTTCCAGAAGGTTCTCCTTGTGTATCTTATTCTTGACGATGATGGAGTTTCTCTTCAGAATGCACGCAACGAAGCACTTACCCTGCAGCGAAGATTGGGGGATTCTCTTCAGGAAGTTTTCGACGTCCACCATGGACGCTTTGACTTGCCGCGCGCACTCTGTCAAGTTTCGCCGGAACGGCTCCACGTCGTCGTTCATTTTGTTGTAGTTCTCGACCTGTTCTTCCTTGGTGAGCGGCTTGAAGGAGAGAGTGGAATAGAATGTTGACGCCAGAACAAGAATTAGGAATGTGGTCATTGTTTTTTATGTTCGCGTAAACGTCGCGCTCTAGTAAGCCGCATGGTTTAACTGTTTTTTGTTACAGTTACTTGTTAATTGCTTGTTAGGTGTTAACAATCGGATTTGAGTGTAACTCGTATTATGGGTTTATAACATTTAGATTGGCGTCATACTCGAATTGCGGTCAATTGCGATCGTAAAAATGATATTAGTAAACACTTGATTTTTTTAAATAAAGCACTAAACGGTATAAAACGCGAAATGTAATAGTTAACTTATTTAAAAACTGCAAAGTACTTACTTTGACATTAGGGACACCGTCTCTGTCATCCCGTGGCAACGGCTGCTGCCAAGCATTCGAAATGTCGGGCCGTAGTTATAATAAATGATAAATACCTAAGTTAACTAATAAATTAATTAGTAAATATTTCTCGTTTAAAACCATGAAAAGTATTAATGATAATTGATAATCTACTTTTTTAATATATACCTTATGTTTATTTAAGTATATAATAATATTAAAATCCAATGGAGGAATTAGGGGCGAAAGAAAGACAAATTTCGCTCTAAATTTATTTTCAATTAACGATATGTTACATAATATCTACACGGATAATCACAATTTATATATCACATTAATGCATCTATCTATAAACATAGACACATAAGGAGATATAACTCACATAACATCGTGTTATGTTAGAGTATTTGACGTGTGTAGTAAATTTTACGAACGCGTAGGTTGCGTTATTAAAATTTAAACACAATTTTAAGACATTACTACAATTAGTAAATACTTTACTTTGTAATGTGCAAAAAGACCGCGGACACATTTGTGTGTTCTGAGCTTGGTAAGGACCTGAATTATACAAAAATAGGTACCTAACCAATAAGTCATAAGTACAACGCTGACCGACCTCTTGTTGTCCTTTTTATGTAACGGCAACTAGCCAAGATCAGCTTTCAGTCAGCATTAGAACCCAGGACTTAAAACAGTTTCCCTAGAGCCACGGAGGCGGTTATAATAAGTAAGGAGCAATAATTATGTTTAATATAAAAATACTCCAAATACGAACGAAGTTTTCAGAAAAGGTAGTAAATACAAAGAATTATGACTTATCTAATGTAGTATCAACTTGTTAACGTGGTATTTTATAAATACAAAGATATAATCATTTTATGATATTTCACAATTCATAACATTGCACTTTATTATATTACGTGCAATGAATTAAACATTACAACACAATATACAGATGTTCAGACCGTCATAAGCCAGATCTTCCTCTAAGTTTACTATCATCACATTTTAGTAAGCTCATACAATAATCTTTTCAAAAAATTTTAAGGCCCTTCTACTTACCAATTTCATTTTGCTGGTTAGTGTCAATTTCACTGTGTTATATAGTCTTATATGTATATAAAACAATTAGAAACACATTTTAATAATAATAAATCATGTATGCATTATAATCAAATATTTAAAATTAATGAAAGTGGTTCCTCTAGTTAAAAATGGCCGACAAACTATTTAAATTTGGAATCTTTCAAAAACACAGTGGCGGTCGTTGCATCCTCCGTTGCGTCAATTGTAGCTGAAATATTAAAGCCGTTCGTGCCGACGGCCAACATTATTTCGTTACTAGGTGCGTACTAGCTTCCCATACAAAGGTTTTTTCTTTCAGCTTCCCAATTACAATAATTAAGCTAGCAATTGTATATTCGCACACTTAATTTAAATTAATGAAGAGGAGAGTATAATGTAAAGAAATTGATCAGCTATTGTCTAAAAACAGAGCATTTAAACGCTTATTTGTGTCTCCTTTTCCTCAAACCCGAGCTAAATATCATAATTATTGTATTATAACAAAATATTGTAAGCTAGTAAATTCACCACTTTAATACAACATATTGCTAAATCTCTAAATGTGTTTTCGTCGTTTTCAAACCTTTGTGCAAAATTTCATAACAATATGTAGAGCGATTCAAACGGTTCATATAATGCTTTACATCACTTTATACGTATATATGTCATTGTGATGATAAAAACAATTTTAATAATTATATAATCATTTGGCACAAAAGCGTCAGATATTAACAGTAGGTACATAAGGATTGATTACTAAAAAAATGCATACTTCGCTGCATATCCGGCCATGAATTAACATAAACCAAGGTTAGGCACGAATTTTACAGAGTTTTATAAAATGCAAATAAATAATTTAAGACGTCACTTTATTTGTTATATAACTTTGTGTGAAAATAGTCTAAGTACTTAATTTTCAGTAAATTGTTATTGGGTAAAATTCTTATACCTATAAAATATCCAAGTTTTATAATACGTCGAATTACTTGAACAAAAGTTGAGTGTTGAATTACTATTTCTAAAGTGGATTTGATAAACGTAAGTCGCAACAACTATAAAATTTTGTAAAAGTAGGTAAAGGCTTGGTCTAGTGACATAAATATTTATGTAATTTGGATTCCATAATTCTTTCTATATATGATTTGTAATATTAAAAATGGTATGAATTATTTTAGTATTATATTGAGAAAAAGATATTCCGAACCTGCTAGATTATTACAGTACAGATTATTAATATTATCTATTTTAATGATGTTTTTAAACATTTAGAACAACGAACTTTAAATTAGGTTGGTTAATGGAATGTTTAAAAGCTTTCGATTTCCTTCGATTGATTGACTGTTGCATTATCGTTATTACTTTCCCTTAAAACTCGTTCCAAATTCTCAATCTCGCGTAGGTGAAGTATCAGCCTCTATACTTTCATAACACAAAAAGCACTTTCACTTTTTCGCATCCAAACAAACAAACCACGACATTTCCCATAGTGTAATCACAAGTTTATTCGCGACTCGGTCTAAACTTCTTCTTCTACTAGAACGGGAAGACTCTTGTGGTGCTGGCAGGAGCTCGATGGAGTAGTGGAGAAGGCGGATAACCACGCTTCTAAATCTCGCTCGGCACATAAGAACTTGGCGGATACCGCATTATCGTAACCCTTTTGACGAATGAAGAAACCGCTGTTTGTATCAACGCGTTCGACGGCAGTGTTCCTCAGATTCACAACTCCGATCGGCTTCGACAGCCGTTTTCTTGGATAGATGACGGCGAAGTGCTCTTGGGTGGTACGGTATACTACCACACGAACGTCCTGACGTATCCCACCTGGACCCAGGAGCACTAGGAATCCAGACTTCACCTCCGCGTCACAAGTCCGTTTGGCCAACGGTCCGAATTGCTCAGCGCGACAGGTGGACATGATATCAGCCGGCATTTTAATGTTATTGTTTAGGAAGCGGGCATAACATGGAAATTGAACGACACGAGCGGCGCGTGGAAGACGAGAAGGTAAACTGAATTTATTCTTTAACGGACCGTGATTCGCGCCGGCGCGGTCTGGTGCATTGTCGGCTGTTGCTTTGAGCCTGGCTCGCTAGATTACATTCACTTTGTTGAAGACTTTATTTTAGATTTAGTCGATAAGGCAAAGTTGCCCGGACATCATACATAAGGTGAAATAAAGAACCTGCTGTAAAGAAGGCGCGATCTTTCGAAAATAATGCGATTTACTATCATAAAATAAAATATGTGTAATCTGCACAGGAAAAATTTATTACGTAATTTAAATGTTTGTCAAATCGGGCGATTTAAATATATTTATTTGATATTATGGAAGGAAATTTCTCGATATGATTAGAAAAAAGACACTGCATAAAGATATGTAGGATTGCACGATGCTTTTAAAGTTCCGTAAGGCGGGATACTAAGATTCGGTTGGTAAGCATCCGCCTGTAACCTTTATTCCAAGAACCGTGATTGCTCAACAGATAAAAAATTTAAATGACCTTTCCAACAGCTATAAAAATATATACCAAAACATTTTATGAATATTACGTAAGGGACATTATCAGACATGATTTTTGGCCTTTTCTATACATCAGACTTGTATAAAAGGGGTATCCAAGTCCGTCTCGCACACTCGGCTATAAAATCGGACTTCTATCTACTTCACTCCAACACTAAATGCATTAATATGTTGTTAGTCCTACATGAAATATTCATTAAGAGAACTTGTCTTAGTTCAATAGTTTCCTTAAACTAGAAAGTTGCAAAATTAACATTCAATGTTTATGTAACGTTTTATTCAAATTAGTTTAATAATAGGTAAAAGTTTGAACTCAGTTCTACAAAGACCATTAGATTTCACATTTATTTTCCTCGTAAATATGTCCATTGTAAACCGATTATTTGACCTTCTCGTGAAGATTAAATTTAATTCAACATTTTAATTCCCGGTCGTCATTTAATAACTTAGTAGTCTCGGGTTCGAGCCCTGGGTCATACAATATATTACTTAGGTAGTTAGAAAATTAGTTGCTTATTAATTTTTACGCTTACTTTAGTATGTTGGTATCTGGATTGATCAACAAATCTCTCATTATAGTTAATTAAATTTTAACTAGAACCACAATATTGTAGAAAATAACACTTCATTAAAAGACGAAATTTAAATATGTAATCGCAAAGCACTAAGCATATGAGGTAATTTTTATTATTTTTTTGCTCGGAAATGTTGTATTTTTAAGAGAAAAAATTAACTAGACAAATAAGTATTATAAAACGATACCGATAAGGAATAAAAACAATTAATATTGTTTTATGTGTCTGTTTACGATATCGACACATTGTGTCACATATTTGGTAGTAAAATATCAATAAAAATATCTAGTCTGCAAACCTTTTCACTAGGTATACCTGTTACTTCGTTATATAGGCCGTATGTGGAAGTCAAACCCAAATAAATTACCAATACGTTCAGGTTGCGGTATATTTACCACAAAACTAATGTGACTTAAAAAATACCTTTAACGGTTTAAAACGCTAATTATTACTTTCTGCAAAACATCCGAAACTTCGGGCCACATTTAAATTAAACATCAGCTTACTAATATATTTTGTGTTTTAAACCGTTAAAATAATTTTATCTAACTACTCTATACCTAATGCGAGTTGTTAAAATGCTTAAGTTATCAGATCTTACTAGCGTTGAGTAAAACCAACTTTTTTTGCCACCCATACCCCAAATATAGGTCCAAACATTGATAAACATTGGCTTCAATTCCACCTGGACGAAGTCGTGGGCACAGCTAGTGACTTTTTTTACTACTATTGCTATTTTTGTTTCTACTAAATTGATTTAAATAAAAACGCATTGTGTATTTACATACAAAGGTTGGCTTGCCAGGTGTAGCTATTAGAGCGAGTTGAACAATGTGTTAACATAACGAACCGGCTTTGGTAGGTGGCCCCGCGCGTGAATTAAATGTCAACGTATTGTTGCCGGGTGCGTTTTCTGACTTGTTTTAATTATACGGGAATTATCACGAATCACCCCGCTACATAGGGCGTAGATAAGATCTACCTTTATGCACTGCTAAAATTAATGACACAAAAAAAACAATTAAATAAATTCGTATTACTAAAATGTTGTGTCATCTCCAGATTCACTCAACTGGAAATCGTACTGCGCTGTTATTCAGTCCTTTCCCATCGTCCTTTACACAATATAAATATAAAACTGCACTCACTCACTGCTTCGGTTGGGTTTTCAGAATTTCACACCCACGACCTATTCAGTTAAAAGGTCACGGTAAGCCTTTGACAAATCTTCGACAAAGGCTTACGAATGATAAAGTAAAACCAAAAAATACGATGAAACACGGAGGAGTTATACCATAGTACATTTACTGCGGTTCAGTTGCTCAGCTTATGTCAAATCACCAGGTCGAGGGTTTGGATCCGAGTCCGGCGAAGTATTTGTTAGCCAGCTAGGAGATTGGATCGTTCCATGAGATATAGAGTACGTTTATTCGTCGTTATCATCTAGTTTACTTGGGACAGTTCTTGACCCCACCAACCTGACTAGTGGGTTTCAGAGATAAATCAGTACCAACCAGTAGACAAAAAGCTTATAAAATAAAATACGTATTAAGAAGAAATTATTTATTTCTCTTCCAAATGCCTAACTTTCGTCGATATGATTCCATTACGAGACAATCTTAATGACATAAAAAACTTACATCAAAATTCACTTTCCAACTACAATGGTTGCTATTGAATCGATTTTTACAAGAAACTCTTAATTTAGCCAAACACTTTTAAAAATTTCACTAAGTAACAATTTATCTACGATTAAAAACTGGTATCAAAACCTACTCGGGTGACAAAAGGATTGTAGTGGGAAAAAAAGTAATTCGTTGTTCTAAACTAAACGTTCTTAGAGTAGAAGATCGCTAAAAGCTTGCAATAAAATAAATACACTTACAAAAAATCAGTTCTTTAGAGTTACATTGAGTATAAGGTAGAAATTAGTAGACGAGAATAAATATGGGAAATATCCTTACATATAATATACAGCTTAGGACTAAGGCCTCATCCACACAGAGAACGAAGTTGAGGCATTTTAGGGCTCCGAAAAACATACTCTCAAAGTAGTTTTTCCGAGTAAAATCCGTACAGATAAAAAAATATTGAGCAGTGAAAAACGAGTGCATGGTTTTCATACTTTTGACAAATAGACTCGATAAAGATTCATCTATTAAAATTTAAAGTCAAAAAACTTCCCATAAAGGATTTTCTTGATAAATATAGTTTTATTTTGCTAGTCTGAACCGCACAGTGAGTTAAAACAAAGTTATAAACATGATGAACAGTCGATAATGAAAAAAAGAGTATTTTAAGAAATTTTAAAGCTAATAAAATACTTCGCCACGGTTTTCAAAGAATTAAATTAAAATATATATTTTTTACAAAGGTTCTTCAGTCCCAAATAGAAAAACTTAGCAGTATTGCTTTAAGGATATGCTATTTATAAAAGGTCGTAATTTTGACTATCCTATAATAATAATCTTACATACAAAAATCATGCACTCCACAGAGAGTACAAAAGAACTACAATAATACATAGAAACGATAAAAAAATTTCTAGATCTACTAAAATTTATAAACATTTTATTTATGAAGGCAGTGTCATATTTGCACCGACTTGTATGATTTCTTTGTGCACAAATTCTGCCTTCGCAAATATATAATTACAATATGCTTACAGTAGTTATACAGGGTGTCATAGTTTTTACAACTTTATTGCAAATCTATTATTCTCTATATTATAGCTGTCAATAAGATGTATGATTAAGATCATTAAAATTAAAAACTTGATAAATTCTTTCTTTCTACCAGAATCTTATCAAGTGTATTTTGAAATATTACATTCTTATTAAATACAGTTCGTTGCTATCAGTACAGATTCATTATTGCTTTTAGTATTGATTGTTTAATACGTTAATAACATAAGCTAAGTATATTTCAATTATTACACTCCACTTTATACAAAAACATGTTATAAATGAAATATTGTAAAATTGGAGGACCAATGTAAAATAACATTTAATTTAAATTTAAAACTATAATAAAATTCATGAATCGATTATGTATAATATGGCAGTGGTTAATTATATTAAGTCGCAAAACTCGCCATTATCATGATAAAACGTTCGCGTTTAAAATAATTAAAATAATAAGCGTAACGAAACTAAACAATAAATTCACTTTAAATTTGTCTAAGGTATAAAATTTTACATTAACCTCATTCCTAATTAATTCCCTTTAAAATATCAAGTCCATACCAGCTATATTGTGTTCTTTTTAAACATTCAATTATGTACAGAGTAGATGCCATTTTGTTCTGTTCTAGAGACAAAAAGAATAAGTTTTAATTAGACAGAGGCAGTAGTAAAAATAACTAGCGCAATGAAAATGGCAGTAATGACGTCTCGGCTAAATGATTATGCAGTGAAATATATAAAAGAATCTAAGTTTATTGGTCTAGACTTTCTAAGTTAGCCACCAGGGCAAAATTATTAACGTTATATAGCACATAAAACGCAGTCATTCACTGGCTCTAAGATTCGTTCGCTAGCAGACCGTAGAATTCGAATGACTCGGTCACTAGTTCCATTTCGTACACCAGTACGGTCATTCGGGGGGGCAGCTTTGGACAAATGAGGCGGGGAAGAGACCGGTTCGGCCGGTTCGCTGCAGCGTGCCCTTGTACCAGCCGTCGCCGCGTTTCTTGCAGACCAGCACAATATCGTCCACTTTGAGTTCCAATTCGTATTCGGAGTTCGGTGGGTACGGAACTATACATCGGAATCTGGGAAATATAATACACGTAAAGTTTTGAAAACCTTAGTATTTTTCACATGATAGCATTATATAAATTAAAACCCTGTGTAATTTTAAAATAAAATTAAATAAAGAAAATTAAAAAAAAAACAGCCCAATGTTAACACTTAAACTAGAGCAACACCAGATATGTATCATTTAACTGAATTCACAAGTTGCAGAACAATTTTAGTAATTATAGATAATTATGATTTTCTAGTTATAAATATACAAACCTTTCTTTAACAGGTTGTGAGTGGTGTCTGTCGCGCCGAGCAGCCGTAACGTCTAAGCTTTGTGATTTGCGATGCTGACTCTGCCACGGACCTTCGCTGCTGCCCCTACTATTGGGATAAGCGAAAGGTTATTAATATAATCTTATACTAGAACTTAATTGAATTCTGGCCTCCAACTGGTTAAAGCTATTCTACTCTAAAATTGTGTTTTGAAGTAAATGGTGTATTTTTTTTTATACATTACTACTCACTACTTTAGAAGGAAGAATTTCTAGTAAATGTATAAAGGATAGTTTGAAATGTTATTCATTAAGAATTTAACAAAACATTGAAATAATTGAACAACGAACAACAAAGACAAAACGAAAAACAAAAAAAAAGCCAAACTTTGCCAGCATTGATATCAAGCGTGATATATGAGGGATAGCATGTTATTACATACAAAACATAAAGCAAATATAGTATTACATGACGATTAATAACTTGTTAAACAAACAGCAAAATGGGAAAAGTTCTATTAGTTTGTATATTTAGTATAATGTACAAATTTCTACAAGATTAAGTTTAAACTAAACTTGTTCAGCATGCAAAAACATGTGCATATGCAAACCTGGGCATGCGATGCTCATGCGCACGTTCCTTGTGTCTCGTGGCATTGTGCCCGGATGGGGAGGGGGCGTGCCCACTTGCCGATTGGCTGGTTGAGCTGTGGGCGGGCAACGTGCGTAGCAACTGTGACGGGCAAGAACCCGACCTGCATTGTTTCGACTACTCTAGTGTGCTACGGGTGCGCTACGGGCTACGATATTTGCTACGAGGTTACGACATACAAGCCTTCGAAGAAGGCTTCACAAATTTAGTACTTGAGTAAAAGTTAACCCACATGTGTAATACATGATGATGGAATGGTGCAAAGAAATTTAACATAGTTGATGTATAATGCTATGAACATGATGATCCGTGCACACCCATTGCAGTTACACACAAACAAACATTATGGTTATAAATATTTATATATTAGGACGAACTAGTGTGTCGTGGTATGGTTTCACACATATATTATCAAGAACATTTAAGCTGGTAAAACTAAATTTTTAATTCAGTTTAACAATGAACCCAGATTGAACTGTGTAAATTAATATTTTAGTATTACTACTTTATAATTTTAACTATAATAATGCATCTAGAATTGCTTGAGATCCACTGAATATACTAGAAATAAGCGTGAAATAGGATTAAGGATAGGCCTACAAACGTGTAACTATTAACATTTTCTAACATACTACAACAAAATATACTCTATTCACCGAAACGTATTATTAGTATGTTGTCTCTTTCACACTATGCCGAAAAGATAAAGACAAAAGTCGACAGTATTTACTATTACAGAATCTCACTATTCCCTCTCCCCCGCTAGGCCCTATCTAAAGTAATTCTGAATTTTAGCAGCAACTTGTCTAAAAACTCACGCGCACGTGCGTAAATATGTACCGCCAAATTATTATTGTCCAATATTATATTTATTAATATATTATGCTTTTTCCATAAAATTCAGCAATTCCAACATTCAAATGCTGCCATTGAAAAAGTGCAGAATTAATGAGATTCTACTGTACTTCGTTCCGATGAATAGTTTATAAACCTTGTCTGTACATACCGCACATGAACAGGGTGCTGAGTGTAGAGTATCGAGGTGTTGGGCGAGTCGTCGAACACTGGGTTGTCCATGCTGTAGCCGACTGGCGGTGGCGACTTACACTTCTTCATGGCGGCCAGTCGCTTCATGAGACTGACCCCAGTCGATATTGAGGACTTCTCCACTTTCTGCTTTTCCTTAGACTGCAATAGAAACAATTCAACTTATTCTTGTCTCTTAGGTAATTTAACTGACACTAAAGTCGTACCCCTATTGCATTAAACATGTTATGTCATGATAAGCTTTTTTCGGCCTGGTTAAACATAACGGGACGAGTGTGACCAATTCACATATAAAAGAAACCTCTTATTTTTGCAAATCTTAAAAAGGCATATACATTAACATGTAGTATATATTACTGCAACTTTAATATATATTATATAAATAGTAGTGTTATCTCTGTTGAATATTCTATTAAAATACCTTTTAACATGACTACGGGTATTGTTACTCTAAACTCCGCAACTCAAGAACTGTAAATGCTTACCTTTTCTGCTCGAGGTGTGCCTTGATTGGACTGGAGCCAAAGGTTAGACAAGGGCGTGGCTGAAAATAAAAATTTAATAGTATTAAATTTTGTAATGTCCCCTTGAGCTTGGTGTACTAAGTCGGACTCGGATCTTGGAGTTTGGAAGACAAAAAATAATAATAAATACCTACCAGCAATGGTAATTGATAACGGACTGTTGGCCCTAGGCGGTGCGTCGGGTGGTGCCAGGGTATTACTAGTAGCACCGCTCGATGACGTCACTGTGGAAGTGGTAGCGCTGGTCACAGTGGAGGTACTGGTTTGCGTAGACGTCTTGGCACTTGTGCTTGATGCATTCTGTAAATGATAAAATGTCATATTGGGCTGGTTATTTAATAGTAGAGTAGGATTTATTACAATGGTAAGTTCAATAACCACTAAGTCAGTTTCTAAAATGTTTGTATGATAAATCTGGATATTAAATTCCGTCCAAATCGTAGACACTGTCGATTTTTGTTGTTGATAGCTTGATGGCTTGTCTTGGGCATTGAAAAAGTTGGGCTTGCCCAACTTTGACATAAAAATCGGTTATTGAATTTTTAATTTGCCGTGAACATTATGCTTATTATAGGCGGGGTGTCATCATTACCACGCCAGGTACAATTTATAATTAATTAAATAAGAATTGTTACCTTTTCGTGTTTAACGCGTGTAACACCTGGAGTCAGAGGGGCCACGTAATTTCCGGGAAACACTCCCGCTCGTTGGAGTCGCTCGCACCAACCCTTGTACCATCCGTCACGACATCTCTCTCGTACAGTGTACACGCCTAAAAATTGCATTCGTTTTCGACTTAAAAAGAAAAAATATAAGGTTGCAGGACATGGAGAGTCTGGTTGGTTTATTAATTTTAATTACAAGTATGAAGCAATACATATATTAAATTTGCAATGACAATTAGTAAACTATAATTAAAACATAAGAACTGGTAAAGACTTTAAGTGCTTAGGACAAATGCTAGGCTATATATTTCGTTTTCTTTCGTCAAAACCTGTCCTTTACTAATAAAAAAAAGTGCGGACAAAACTTCGTATACATACCTCCTTTTTTTAATTCCAACTCGTCAGGTTTCTGCGGCTTGTACGGATATAACGCGACGTAAGCCGCCGGTAGAGGGCGTTCATTACTACGAGATCGGCGACGTCTTCTCTCTCTTTCTCGCTCACGGTCTGGTCGAATATCGCGGTCTCTCTCTGGTGTATGATCGAGGAGCGAGGTCGCTAGAATTTCTGCTGAATGCCTGAAACATGATTGACGAAGCGATTATAGATTTTGGTGTTAAAAAAAAAAATTAAGTTATATTTCGTAATTTTATTTATGTAATAAATAAGAAAATAGTAAACTGCATTAAAATGTTAAATTTAAAGTTTGTTATAAAACTTCTTAGGCCAGTAGTAGGTAAGAAAATGTTACATACCCTTTTGGGTCATTTTACATTATATTGCAGAGTATATAATATGATAGATTGTTATATATTAAAGTTACAGTATGCTAGTATAATGATATTAAAGCAACTCACCTATTTTGATTATGACTACCCTGCAGGTGAGTAGACGGCGTCAAACTGTGTCGCTTCTCTCTATGATGGTGCTCTCTGAACGCCCTCGACATATAGTTATTGTCTTTACTATGAGACGGTGACAGAGCCGCTTGTAATCCTAGACCAAAGTTCAGCAGGGAATCCGGTCCGCTGGACCGAATCTCCACGGCACTTCGCTCCGGTCCACTAGACCTTACACTTTTGGACGTGCAGGGCAGACTCGTTGGTTCAGTCAATTCTTGAGTTTCGGCTTGAGATGTCTCTGACGGTAGACTGACGTTCAAAGATGTGTTCGTTGCAGTCGAGCTCTCGTTCAAACTAAGCACGCCCATAGATGTATTCAAATCTTGCTCTGGTCTTTCTTGTGCCCGTTCCTGACTCTCCTCTTGAGCTATAACCGTCGTGTTCCTCTCTGTATTGTTATCTGGTGAACTCGGAAGGCTGGGTTCAGCACTCTCGCAAGTGCTGGTGTTAGAACTGGTGTTAGGCGTCGTGGTGGAACAAGGAGTGTTCATGCTTGAACTAGAGTCCGAACTCAAGTTGGAATTGAACCCTGTGACCGGAAAGTGTTCGGTGCGAACATTCTGATATGTTGTGTCGAGTTTCGTCGAGTAATTGTCGAATTTTGTTCTCACTCTGTCGTAGTTGTCATTGATGCGCGACACGCTTTGCACTCCCATAGATTTGGGTGCGTTTGTGAAGTGAATGATGTCCAGGAGGTATTTAGTTTGAGTTGGCTCCATTATTCTTGGTGAAGAGACGTGTTGAGTGGACGTTGGGGCCAATACTTGTGCGGGCTGTATTTGAGTATTGGCGTGGAACGTTGGCTGGGATTGGCTCATGTTGGGCATATTTTGATAGTTGCTTGGCGCGGGTGTGGGCGTGGAGATGGACATTTGTTGATATCGATGTGGATGCTGTAAAGACAAATTATAGCAATCACGTATCAAGCCGAAAGCTCTGAATTTAACGATTGTTTAAAAGTAGGTAAAAGAATAGTTGGTGAATGTGTGGCTAATAATCGTATTGAACTTCATCTGGAAATCTGGATTCGTATTTCAAGTTAAACACGACGTTTTGGGTGCTTTTCAAGCAATAATATGATGTAAGGAAAAAGTCCAGTTACCTGTGTATGCCTGTGGTCCGAATGCCCTGCCCTTGCATGCTCCGGTATCGGTGGCACGAGACGGTTTATCGGAGTGCTGCGTAATTGTAAAGAAATTAATGAACATATTTTAGCTTACATTTTTGAAAACCTTACTATTTTCACATGGGACAGGATGGCGTTATATGCATTCAAAATCTACTTAGATTGAAAAAAAAAGCGCATGCGAAGCATAACGCATTGACCCTTAACACTTACGCATTGAGGGTCAATGTCTTATGCTTTGCAGCTTACATTGGTAACAAACACTACACTTACACTCTATACTCTATAGTGTTCCAGGACAAAGAAATTCGTTATTTCATAAAAAACCTCAAAGTTTAATTTAAAGCAAAAGCAGCACATGCTGTTTGTAAGTCAGAATTTTATATTTCATACCTGTTCATAACCTGCGTTGCTGCTTGGTTGAGCTCAACGAAGGCGATGGGAAAGATGCCGACGCGCTGTTCCAGTCTACCCTCAGCCCAGTTCTCGTCGACGCGTCGGTGGACTGTTATTATTGCACCTAAAATATATAAATAAATAAAACACGACCTACGAGTTCCTTTTAGTCCCTTCATTGTAATAAAATTTATAGCTCTTTCAACATACAGTTGAATATTTAGTATTAAATTCGTATAAGAACAACAAATAAATAATGATTAAATAAATCTTCTCAATGCAACGACACTTAGAGAACAGGTTTTTTTTTATTTCTAAGAACCGGTAAGAAAACCTAGAGATTCATGCTAACTGGATTCATTTAAATTTAATATTACATAATAAACAAAGTTTATTAAAAAATAAATCTCATACGGCCTTTAAATCTTTCTTTGTCAAACCTAGGCCTTCTCTTTTATCTATAACATGATTTTTCTGTAGCATGCCTATAGAATTTGGTACATCGAAGACGTCTACTGAGCACACTTTCTCACCTTTATCAAACGCCAGGCATCCTTCTTCATCGGGGGCAGACATTCGAAAGTCGTAGAGCGCTTTGCACAAAGCTGGAGCGGTGGGTATTGGTACTATCACCTGAAAACAATTTATAATATTATTGATAAATAAGGTTGAAGTAAAATTAAAACACGGATTTTTATGTCTTGTATTAAATCTTTGTATACTTAGTAATTGTTTAGTAAAATAAAATCAAGTAGGAAGCTGGTAACTTATTACTTGTAATAATCAAGCAAATTTCGATCTGAGTTGTGTTACTAATCGTTTTTATCTAGTAGTTAGTAGTTCAGCCTACTGTGCCCTATCCGACCGAAACATTTCCTTATATTCCACCGTCATTTTCCTTAATACTAGCCATATTGTGATTCGTATATCATTAAAATAGCCCACCTGCACATACGCGATCGGAAACATGCCGCTACGTCCGGAACACTCGCCATGATACCAGAATGGATCTAACTTCTTATGCAATAGAATGGTTTCACCCTTCTTGAATTGTAGATCACTGAAATTAATAAACACCTGCTATATATCTCATTTTCTCTTTTTTTTTTAATTTTTTGAAAATCAATGAAATGGGACTCAACCCGTGCTGCTTTTCTCTGATTGGGTTGTTGGTAGAGCAACAGTACAGGCGTCTATGTGAGTGGGTTCGAGTCCTGGCCGTAACTTTATTTTTTTAATCCTTTTGAATTATTATTATTTTTAGTTAGATTAGATTTTTAATTTATTTGGTAGGTTACCGTGTGTAACATTCAAAAATAACGTTTTAACAAGTAGCATCTGTATATTAGGTATATATTCTTCGACAGATATATTGAGAGAACCTACCCAGGCTCCTTAGAAACATAATCGTGCATGGCTCTTCCGTGTGGAGGTACTTGCTTATCTGCACGAGACGGCTGCGTCTGACTTTGGCCCTGAGAATTATTAATTGTTATTGATTATTAACACACAATCACAGAACGTAAGAACCGAGATAATTATCATTAACAACGTTTATTTCTGATCAACATCGGACAAGGGGCATATACAAAAATGGTTTAGTAAAAATCCCTCCCCGGGACCAGGGCTGCTGCAAAACATCCGAAACTTCATAATTAAATTATGTAAGCCTAACTTATATATTTCACGTTTTAAACCTTTAAATTTAAATTATTTTATTTGCCTTATTAGTTTTTACACGTAAGTCAGTAACAACAAGATTATTTTTGATTATTTTTTTCATACAAAACGATCGAATACGAATACGATCTTGAACAAAACTAATAGAAATTGAACCCACTACCGGTCCAACCTATCAATCTTCGTAGCTAGTTGAACTTGTTACCTGCGTATGCGCAGTTCTGACCCTCTGCGTGGTGACTTTCCTCGGTGCGGAGTTCTTCATGCCCTCCAGGATCCTCATAAGAAGCACGTTCGGAGGCAACTCCTCCACCTTCGCCTCCACCAGGACGCGGCACTCGGGGCATCGTAGTTCCTTGTGAGATTCGACTATCACCTACAAAAATACACAGAAATTTAAAAATATGAGTCTATGAAAATCGACCTATTCTATTGGATATCTGCTTGAATTTGTAATAAATAAGATTAAAACCTTTTGAACCGATTTAAATTTTGAAGGGCTCGTGTTGTGCCAAAGGTGGCATGTTCTACGTGTTTCAATTAATTTATATTTTAAACATGTTAGACTTTAAACACTGTTTGTAGTTTACGTGAGTAGTACACATTTTAATAAACTATTATATACTAGTTAAACTTATTTGAAAAATATTTTTAAGTACCGTATATATCGCGTTTTTAGCCGTTAACGTGTTTTATTCAAATGTTGGACTTCGGCTAAATAACCTGGACATTAAATGGATTGTAGGAGTATCAAGGTCCCATCTAGAGACGAACCATCAATCTGCGGATGTTTGGAGACATCGGTACGGACAAGCCCAAACTTTCGTGCGTAGTACGTGACGAATTGTAGAGATAATTGTGTATTGACTATCGATAAATGATAAAAGTTTAAAACATCTACTTTCGTTGTGCTATCTAAGATCGATATGTTTTCAATGTCATTGTTATGATTAAATGTTTATTATTACTTCTTTAGTTTATTTGTTTCAACGTCGACTTTTAACCATATTTGCTTGGAAGACATCGTCACAAGCGATATATACAAAGTTATGTCTGAAATTAACGGTAGTGACATTATTAATTGTTTGTTTCAACGCGCTAATCTAAGTAAAGACTGGTTCAAATTGAATCTTTTTTTGTGTTGGTTGACCTTAACTAAATGTGCTGTCTTTCATTTTGGCTTTGACTATATTTCTTCGGAATCGAATCCACACACTGCAACACACATTATTCCTATCACATCAGATTTCCAAACGAAGGCCAAGGTGTTACAGAAAAATTATACATTTATTAGAATAATGTTGGACTCGGTGGGGGGGGGGGGGGGGGGATCCTGCAAATGATGGCCATACATTCCTACTATTAGAACAACGAGACCGTTTAAAGTGTTTATGAAAATTATAAAATCCAAGTATTACAGGCCACGATATAACAATTATCTTTCAGTCTATTTTCAATATGCCATTTACGCCAATACAATTTCTCCTATCTGCGATTTTGGGATTTATTTTTTTATTCAATTGTACCAAGATTCTCGTGTCTAAAAATAATGTTTAATTATGATAAATGTTATGACGTCTTAAAAAAATATAGTTTTGTTTGTGTCGAAATATGTTTTCTGATCTATAATTCAAGTTTACAATTTCGACCAGTCGAGAAAAACTGTACAATACCACAGTTAGTCTCCCATTAAGGAAATGAACTGTGTACTGTAAAAGAAGACATCAATGCCACAACATTTTCATATCCCGTTACCTCTATCTCCGTTTCGGATATAAGCAATTCAAAGTTAACTCTTGTTAAGCGGAAACTTTATATGCCATATTTTCATTTGTGACAAATAATAGAAAACACGTCACTATTTTCACAATTTATGCGTAGGGAAAATTGTATATTCGAAGCAGTAATCATCGCTATATTTTCAGCTTTAAGATATAAAAGGTTCGCAAGAGTTCTAAATGCCGGATGAAGTGACATAGAAGCGAACTGAAATGTCACCGCACCTATAGACACGGAAGGGTCAAACAAAGTGGGTTTTGTCAGAAGTTACGCGACTTACCACACATTTATTTTAAACTTTGAAACGTTTTAAAACGCGAGAGAAACCCCCGCTGCTGCAAACTATAAGAAATGCCGCGAAAATAGTTATCTTATTTACAATTTAAACCTTTAAGTTATACGATATAAGATACGATTATATAACCGTAAAAACCGAGCAATTCGCTTAACTTACTAAATCAATTGCACTATGTTAGCTTGGTAAAATACTCCTCCAAAACGGATTGACAGATTTGTATGTATTTGTACATTCGGTACATCTGAGACTCCGTTACCACATTACAAGTAAATTATAATGGTTGTGCACAATGCACTATGTACAAAATACCGTAACCCGTTATTTTTTATGCACGATGAATAATTCTTAAGACAGGGCAAAACTATGACTATAACAAAAATAGGACTAATTTCTATATAGACACTGACATTGAAAAAATTGCAAGTCGTTATCTAATCAGTGAGAATATTAAAGAAATTGAGCCAAGGTTCCGTGTTGTACTTCCGTAAATACTCCTAGAACTCAAACGGTGCACCAGGCTCCGCGTTCTGAAACTTCAGGACATAACTTATACCAGTAACGGTGTTAAGGATCATTTAGTCGCGGTAACTTGAAAAGAGTCGCGCTTTTCAGCGGAAAATATAGCGTCATAAAGCAGTTGCATTGCGCGGACAAAAAATCCTTTTCAACCACTATCCAAGAAGGTGATTATACCTAGATAACATTTTAAAATAACTCATCGCTTAACCCGTATTAAATCTTTTGACCGCCTCTGTAGCTAAATGGTTAAACGTGTTGCTTAACATTAAAATGTTTCGGTCGAGCAGGGCACAGAAGTCTGATCACCTACTTGCCTGTAAATCCGTGATCAGTGAAACGGGCACAAAAATGTGTCACCCTATCCCCCACGAGGGGAAACGGGATTTCGCGCGTTTTTACATCTTTTAACCTATTTAGTGATTACGAAACAAGTAATCTGATACTGAGACTTAAATAAGACACATTGAACGGTTTAAAATGCAAACTATATAGGTTAACTTCCTGTAGCCACCCGTAGTTGAAAACCAAAATGATTTATGTAAATGTGTGCTAAAACTAACCGATCCTTTACAATAAGATTATGATAGTCGTTATGATAACATCACTACGTATATCGTTATTTATATCGAAACCGGAATAAAAACAGAGATTATGTTTCCTTGGTAATTGGGCGAATATCTTTATCTAACACGTTCCTGGTTTTATTTGAAGAATTAACATTGACATACCAAGAAAAGCTGCCCGAAGAGCTTTATCGACGCCCTCTCACATTAATATAGTTATTTATTAAAACAATCTGAACAGTTTAAAACGAGAAAATCATTCTTAAATTATGTTTATCCATCCTACGTTTGATCTTTAATTGTCGGAACGATGTTAAAAATAAATTACCCAATCATTAAAATCCTTTTAACAGTTTTAAACGCAGTTTCATTTATTCGAAGTTTATTCTAATTACGGCACGATGGCTGCTGCAAAGCTTTACTTAAATGCGTACTCGCGTAAAGGTCGGTTTTTTTGTATGTAAAATCGTCCCTTGTTGCTCTAACCAATTGAGCTACCTAGTCCTATTGGTTTGCGCAACAGCACAGCTCGGGATGTCGGTTCAAGTTCAGCCCGAGTCGTACTTTTAAAAATGTATAATCGATTTTAATTCATATAGTGCCGTCATGTCCAATGACTGTAAAAATATTTAAGTTCTCAACGAGCATTTCTTATCTGTTATCTGCACACACTCCACAATCGTAATATGAACAGATATATGTATTTCGACCACATCCCCAATACGCCAGTAAAAAGTAACGGCCCATTGCCAAGAGTTACCGTGTTCTATTTCTGTTGGCCACCGAAATACAGTCGCGTACATAAGTGGGACATTTAATGATCGATACCGGTGAACTTGAAGATTGATTTTAACCAGGTTACCTACCCTCGTCGCCTCGAGGCCGTTTAAGGCCGCATCGATATAGAAGTTCAAAATTATTTAGCGATGCTGAAAGGTAGCTTCACTTAATGGTGAAGTTTTCCAGCCATATAAAATCTTGACAGGATGTGTAGTGGACCTGTTTTGGCTATGGATATTCTGAAATATATCGCATTCTGAATCGCGATTAAACGTCGCGGCTTTTTGTCGACGAATGAACACCGGTAATACGTTGTTGTACACGTTTTACAAAATACGACTATCCTAAACAAAAAAGGTCGACAGCGCATCTTGTTGAGATGTTATGTGGCTGGGACATTTCACCTTCCATTGTCTGACCTCTTCCATCATTAAAAAAATATGTGTCATTACTTCTTCAGGTACTCCTCGTAATCTCAAGATGTTCTATTCCAATTTCTAAAGGTACTTCCAAACAGTTGCAAAAGTAAAAAAGATATTTGTGTTGAACTATATTTCACTATAAGTTGTTACTGAGTTTATTATTAGCTAAGAGGGCTGTTACGTGTTTATTACTAGTTAAGGAGAAAATGACAACAATTTGGAGCAGGGAAGCTAAAGCCGGGTGCTTTTTATAGATACTATCCCCGTGTTGTACTTACACGAGCGTATGTATACTAGATGCGCCCCGCGGTGTTGCCTGCAGTTACCATTATTCAAAATTAAAAAAAAAAACTTTCACGGTTTAAAAGTTAGTCTCCCCGTGACCACAGCTGCTTACAAAGCATCCGAAACGTCGGGCCGAAGTTAAAAATCAGTTTCAAATAAGTTTAACTAATATATCGCGTTTTAAACCGTTAAAGTGTTTTATTTAAATGTGTACTACTCGCGTAAACTATAGACAGTATTTAATTATTCAAAATTCCGGCATGAAAAATTACAACTTTTAATTTAGTTCGCCTGCAGAACTCATCATCATTTAAAATTGTAAAAGCTGTTAAATTTAGGTTTAAGTATTTTGGAAACTATAGTATGTATGTATGTGTGTGTGTACGTGAATTCGCGTTAATAATTACACGCACCTGTCGCGTTTCGTGCAACATTCACTTTTCATACCGCTACAGGTTATAGAAAGTCGGATAAGGTCGGATCGACCAGAACGAAATTTTAACCCAACAGAGGGAAGAATCTTAACCCCGAATTCAAATTAGTTTAAGTACTACGAAATCCCGACTGCACAAAATCGACTGCGCACGAGTAATATCTAAATAATTGATGCCTTAAATATGAACCACAGTTTTGACCTGCTTCAGCGGGTTGTAAATTTAGTGAAAATTAGTTCATGCTATGTACATTAACATAATTATGCATTTCAGATTAAAAATCTCTTTTGCGAGATAAATGTTTCTCATTAACTTAGCTATAGTCGGAATAGTAAATATTAGAGTATGAAACCTCCAAAAGCAAGCAGCACAGACAAACAAGCATGGAATGAAGTTGATTGATGTGAAAAAAAAAACATATCTGCACAAGATACGCTGCCGGCCCATTTTTTTAGATATTCGGAAAACCCTTATATGAGTTTCATTCGTGAATACTAAACACATTCAATGCTAGTCTAAATCTAGTTTAAAATGTAACACGCGAAAAGAAACACTGTCTATAGTTTACGCGAGTAATACACATTTAAATAAAACACTTTTACGGTTTAAAACGCGATATATTAGTTAAACTTATTTGAAAATTATTTTTAACTTCGGCCCGACGTTTCAGATGCTTTGCCGCAGCCGTGGTCACGGGGAGAATAAAAATGGAAACGTCGGCCCGAAGTTAAAAATTATTTTCAAATCGCGTTTTAAACCGTTAGTGTTTTATTTAAACGCGACAAGAAGCTTAAAATTGTACAAAGCAATATAGAGGTCATTTTATTTAACCCATAACAAGAATTTAGCAATTAAATCCTAAGAACTCTGACTGAGGTTTTTCCCAAAACAATGACGAATGCAGTGCAAACATTTATAATTCATGGCCTCCTTAGCTTAGTGGTGAGAAGGCTAAAATTAAGCACGTGAGGCCGAGGGTTCGAATCCCGAGAAAACAACAATATGTCATCTGCCAACACGCAATTGGCCGGCGAAGCGAAGCAGAACTTTTATTCTATATGAGAATTTATTCCCAGCTGTGGGAAACTTAAAAAGGCTCGTAATGATGATGACCTTTACATAGTGTCTTTTCTTCTCACCGCAATATTTAAATACTACAAAAAGGCTCTGCCCACGTAAAATCTGTCACCCCAACCTCCCCACGCATACCCGTCTGATATTTACAATATCCGCAAAAAGACCGTTTAGACGTTGTCAATTTCTATTAAGTTACAGCGAAAATAGAACATTGTTTCCGACGTAGTGTAAAAAAAGTACTGAGAATGAATTATGAATTATATAAAGTATAACCGATATTGACTGTACGCGAGTTATTAAATAAAACTCTTTTAACTATGTTCACGTTTACCGCCCCGCAATGACCACGGCTTTGGGCGTAGTCATTGAGAAGGAAAGCCCAAGATGTCATCCAGTCGTATTAGCAGAACGTCGAGACAAATTCCTCAATTACATTTTATTCTTTAACCCTCAATATCTCACTATTACATAGATATAGAAAAAAGAGTCAAACTTTAGGAAAAATCGCGGAAAAGCCTAGCGGCGGCTAGCCTAGATACGCTTTCCGCTGTTTTTGGACCCATCCAAAAACAGCGGAAAGCGCATCTCAGACGGCACTCATGTTGAAAAGGGCTCTTCAAGATATGTCAATTGTGAGATGGATGAGTCAGTGTGTGAGTCAAACAGTTTAGATTAGAACGAGTAATAAAGCATGTTTATTTACGATACCGGAGGAAGGGGCTACTAACTGAGGAAGCGGGTACTGTTGACGACAAAAGCGCTTAGATGTAACTGTTATTCTTACATTAGGTTTACACTTTAAATACCAATCTTTTGGTTTAATTAAAAATATCTAAACGATCGTTGATCTATCGGTATGCCTGATAGTCAATGGGACGTGGGTTAGTTTAAGGGCCGGGTCCAACGTGGTTCAAAAAACAATATTCCGGTTGGAAAAATACATCGACAATGACAGCATTTGGTTGCTATAAGCCTGGGATATAAATATATCGTATTCCATAAAGTGAACCTTCATGCAACCTCCTCCGTCATGTAAAAGAAAAAATTACAAAAAAGTTTTCAAATCAATGTAGTACGAAAGGAGAAGTACCTACTGGCAAGATATTTTTTTTTCAATGCCACAAAAAGTTGGCAAGGAGTTGCAACCATGATCCACTTGATAAAATACATTGCCCAAACAAAAGAATCTAATTTGGTTAACTCATTTGAAAACTATGTACTTATATTCTGTTATAGGTGTTTGTTTGTATGATTGTTTATTAAACATAACGGAAAGTGTATAAAAGATAGTTCCATCCTTTCAATCAAATCTATATTTTAACTTTTTAAACAGACATATAATAATTGAATAAATTGATTTAAGACTAACCCTTAAAAAATACCACGTAATCAAGAAAATAGCATCTTAAATTTAATTTAAAATCTCATTTTTGTTCACAACTGTACCTTTGGGGATGACTGTTTATACGTGGAGCTAGACTGCCCCATTTAAGAGTACAAGTAACTCTATTACAATTTTAATATTCCGTAACTCAATCTAAGTTTAGTTATCTTAATTGGAAAGTTCAGCATGAACTTTAGCTTTCAGGGAGAACTTATTTTGATTGAAACATACAAGTATAAAATGTGCTCATACATTATACTTGAAGCAGAAGAGTTTCCAGAAATGCATTGAATATACTTTACACACAGATTTAGTACATAGCACTCTCGGTCAGGATTGTTACATTTTAACTGAAAATATTCACTATATTTATGCAACGAAACAGAAATATATACATTTGAATATATGATTCTTCCTAGATCATTGAAAGTGTTCACAACGACTTTCAATTCATAATACAAAGCTACCAACACTGTTTCATGAGGTACCTATAATTGTATATCCTTCAGGAGAAAGAAATAGAGAGAGGTTTATGTAGTTACTATTGCAAATTACAGATATTATAGTCAAAATACATCAATGAAATTACTGTATCAATACATTTCTTGTCAAAAGAGACAAGCTGAAGACCCTTCTTTTAGACTATGCTTTAAGTAGAAGAAAGTAAAAAATTACCTTTAAACATTTTAAACAGAAGGTGTGCTGGCAGGGCAGTACACGCGATGATGTGTCTAATCGCTCCAAGCACACAGAACACTCCAAAAGGTCATTGAGTAGACCTTCATCCATCCCGGTCTTACACTGAAAATAAAAGATAACAACAGTGATAACACTGTAAAATTATTCCATACATAGAATATTGTATTAAAATTAAATTCAGACAGACATAGGGAAAAGAAATTTCTGTGTCCATATTTTTCTTGATATTCAAAACTATGACTACAGTGCTTGGCATCAAGTTTAACCATTATACTGTGGAGAAGGTATTTACTATAGTATACTAAAAATATACCTATTGCTTTGATTAGAATCTAGTTATCTATTCATAAAGCAAATATATTGAATCCAACTGATGAAAGTAAATAGATTGTGTTTTGTCTCAAATTATAGTATATCAACAAAATAGTGTTTCATGAATAGGTACTGTAAAATTTGCATAGTTGCAAGTCATCTTTCACAGTAAGTATGGGATGTGAGTAAATTCCAAACAAATGCTAAAGAATAACTGTTGTTTACATCCGGAGACAATGAGTATGCTTTGAGGAAAATTATATTGTTTGTTACACTCTTTCTTAAAAGGTGGAGCAGATAGTAAGAAGTTTGTAAATGATAACGTAATAATCCCCAATGAGGAACATTTGGGTGAAAATGCAGTCCAATTTATATGTATTCATAAACAATACTTATATTTTTTATTTTCTAAATTTAAATTTAATGAGAAGAAGGGTAGTTATAACACTATAAAGTTTTCAATATTATCTAATTTATTTATTACACACTTTTGTGTACTACAGCCTGTGTGACTGTGTAAAATTTTAAGAGTAAAAATAATTCACGATTTTATGAAGATAACAGAATCTGATATCAAAGAAGCTGTTGAGAATTTGTACTTCTTATAATGTATGTATTAATGTTATTTTCTTCCAGCCAGTATGATTAAATGCTACAATCCACCATCTCAGTTAAAATGAATTAACGAAGCAAATCAAATCGTTGTTTACACATGCTTGCATACGTAATTTATTTCGTTACTTCGTTTAGTGACAAAACAAGAACACGATTTCTTGGCATTCGGCCAAATTTGAGGTATCTCGCTGTTTACATTACTTCCAGATCCAGACACAAAAAAGATCGCAAGTTAATTTGAGAAAGCAATGTAGTGTCGTAGAAATAGATACTGTCCTCTGCAAAATGCCATAAATACCAGTTTCGGGGGAAATTGTGTTCATTCATATTTTGCGGTTAACGGTTAGCAATTTATTTTAACGAATTCTAAACAATGATGACTCACCGAATGTTTAAAATACCAACGGTGTTAGCGGGAAGTCATTCCATTATTGCACGAAACAAAACCTGGATCATCGAACAACCACTCCGAGTCAGTCACGAAAAAATTATACCACAAATTGCACTGCACATTATAAACAAGAACATGAATAATTATTGCACAAGTATGTGATGTGCAACCGGGAAGAAATTAATATTGTGAGAAATATGCACTTGTTCACACAAAAACTAATACAATTTCACGCGTAAATGCCAATCGCACCGCTTGAACAAGTTAAAATCACAGAGAATATTGAACAATGTTGCCTTATAGATAACAGAAAGCTAAACAGATAATGTTCACATTTTAAAAGATATGTTAGTTATTGTTTCTACAAATCGAAACAAATATCATCTATGGTTTCTTTATAAAATCTGCGATGTCAATTGTAACTATCAGGTGTCAGTCAGCTTTAAAAAATAGTATTTACATCGTAAAATGCGAATGTGATTACCATTAGTTTGCTAATAATAAGTATCTTGTTAATTAAATATGTCGCGAGATAAAAGTGTTTGGTTCGCTGAAGAAATATTGCTTGATGCAAAACTTATTAATTGTCAATTGGAAACTGGAGAGTGGGATGCCGTGGAAGAAATGTTGCGGGCAGAAGCCCAACTTTCGCGGGATGCCGAAACTGGACGATTGCGACCGTAAACATTATTATTTTTTTCCATAAAACAGCACTGAATATATATCTTGTCGTTATAACAATAACCTAGCTTGACATTTGCATGCACTCTTAATTTGTACTATTTCATTTCAGTAAAAAAGCATCTGAATATACCCTTCGACTTATAGCAGAAGTTTTGCATATAATGCGCTTAGATGTGGAGCAAGCCTCGTACAATCGTAGTACACTTGCTGTAGCAGAACAATGTCTTAGACTTGTACGCTCATGTGCAGCTGCTGGAACTAAAATGCAAACATATATTTCTAAGGAACTATCCATTCTTGATTCTATGCTTATATTAGCTACAGAATATCAACATCCCAGTGTTGAATTTTTAAATGAAGAGTTGCAAAAGAAATATGAATCTTGTATGACAGTCTTAATACAGACATTGGGAAATCTTGTTGTTAATAATCCCTTTAATCAAATAATAATATGGAATAAGTTTGAACCAACAATACTTAACTGTCTTGTTGGTCAAAATGACAAAATAGCATCTGCGGCTGCTATGATTGTTTATAACATACTATTGGGCCAGCCAAATGTCCTCCCAGATGATGTTACATTATTAAATTCATTAGCCTACATGTACAGCAATGAAAACACAGAGTATCCTCATTTAATAATAGAATACCTAATTGGTGTGGAAAACACATATATAGAAAAATTATATTCAAAATTAGAACCAGAGTGCAGAATGCTGGTCTTAAATCTAGCATATAACATATTGATGTCAACAGAAACGCAAGATATAAATGTGTCAGTAAATTTTGTTAAATTTATGGCCCATGAATTTAAAAGTAAATCTGATTGTATATTGAAAACAATAGATAAGTACGTGAATACCATTGAACCACAGGAGGTAGTGTTTCTGTTAGAAATAATAGCTACCGCCTCTAGTATGGATACTTATATGGACTGTCTCCAAAGTGACACTTCGCTTTTTATTAATTGTGCTTGTAAGTACCTGTTCAGTGTAATCTAATTAGAATAAAATAATATATATAACACCAAATGTTAACTCTTTTAAGAAAACAAAAACAATTCTTTGATATATATGATTATTAAAATGAATTGTATTTTTTTTTGCAGTTTTACTCAGGGCAATACACAAACTGGGTAAAGAAAGCAATAATTTCTTCTCCTCTATTAATAAACTTTATGCAGCAACAGGCAAACAGTTGGTAAGTGATGATAATATGCAACCTTGCTCTACACCTGGTGAAAGTAAGTGTTAAACAACTACTTCATTATTATAATTGTAGACAATACATAATATATTTTAAATCTTGTTTCAGATCCCCTTTGCAAGAATGACTCAGCAGATAATATGCTTTCATGTAATGAAACTACTTCAGAGTGCACTGAGTCAGAAAGTAGTGAACAATATTTTGAGTGCAGTGACAATTTGGTGTACAATGAGAAATTAGATATTCTTGCTCCTCCTGATTTTAATGCAAAATATGATTCCGAAAGAGCATTACGACCAACTGATGTTAATGTGAAAGTTGATGATTTAACAAAAGTTGCATTCAAGAGAAGCAGTTCAGTGCCAAAAGGAGCAACAGATGAAAGAATACAACTACCCACAAGAAGGATCAGTTTAGAACATAAAATTGATATATGTGATGATAATGAACCACCACTAATTATTGATGCTCAATCACCAACAGCTAGTATGAACACAATTGCAGAAGTGATTCCAGTAGGATTGCAACCGCGTCTAGAATTAGATAATAGTAGAACAGATTCACAAGATAGTTCACCTAACGACCCACCAACTGAAATACATGTTATTAAAGAAGATCAAATCAAAGAAACTAACATCAAAGCGTCACCAAGTGAAATTTCTCCACCCTTATCAGAGAATGTGCAAGAATCTGAATCTCAGAAACAATCACCCGATACTCCAAAAGAAGTTAAAAAGAGCCAGAATTTATCAACAGATTTTGACCTGAGTGAACAGTTGCAGAAGATTCTTGGGATATCATCAGAGAAAACTCGGGCAGATGCAAATAATGAGAAGAAACCTGATCCTGTTAAAGAAGTTAAAATTTCTGAAGAAAGTGTTGCGAATAAAGTGCCATTTGTGAAAATTGATTCACCAGAATCACAAAAAACTAGGTAAAAATGTGTCTCTGTTCTCTCTCTGCATTTACTAAAAGAAGAATATGTTTTTAAACAAGTTTCTTGTATGTTTTACAGACTCGGAGCAATAGACATGTCAACACCAAAGAAAGCTATGACAAGTGTCGAGACAGTTGAAAGACATGTTGCATTCGGATTTAAAGCTACTCTAGTAAGAATTTTAGCTAATCTATGCTGGAAGAACCAAGAGAACAAAAGACAGGTATATATAAAATAAAGTCCTAGAAATGTAATGCTACCCAAAACTTATTGTTTATTATCAGAAAAATCATTTCTAATTACAGATGCGTGAATTAGAAGTGATTCCAGTGCTCCTAGATTGCTGCAACATTGATGCTCGTAATCCATGTATCCTTTAATAAAATCATAGGATATCTACAACTAGTGGCCAGCATTAGCTAGTTTGTATTATATAGATACCTGTATCTGATAGATATGAACTGAAATTGGATATTCCAAAACAGTTTGTTATATTTACGTCGTTTTTTGTAAGATTATCAATATCCTTACATTTTTAAAACAGTGATAATGCAATGGGTCATTTTTGCCGTACGAAACCTGTGCGAGAATTGTCCAGAAAATCAGGTGCGTGTCCCAAGTTAAGAAGCTCATGCTACAAAACAATATGCTTGAAAAAAATAACATCTTTTACTGTTTACAATGCGGTTTATTAACTTTTTATTTAAACTACGACCCGCAGTTTTGGATGTGAAAATATTATTTCTGGTTAAAATAGTTAAAAGTATTATTTTAATAGCGATAAACTTTTCGAATATATGTACTACAAAGCTTGTTTTTACAGGAAGTGATATCAAAACTAACTCTTCAAGGCCCTGTGGACAATGAAGTATTGCAGGAAATGGGTCTTACACTCCATACAGATTCTCAGGGAAACTCCATAAAAGTTATGCCTCTACAGAGAAATTAATCTTATTGCAGAATCAAATTTAAATGATTCTTTTGTATTTACAATAATTGTATTACACACCCTATGACATATCTAACCAAGGTGTACTGAAGAATATAATTAAATTTTGTTTGTTATGCTATCTAGTCTCAAATAAACCAGTATACTCGACGGCAAGTATTTTGTTTTATTACAATTATTCATATTTCAACAAATGCATAGTTATTGAAGGCAATGTTCAAATATGAAGTTGCTAGAGGCAGAGTGGCCTTTTAACAGAGAACATTATTTTCAATGAGGAGGAGAATAAAATGCGAAATTAAATTAGGCGAAAATGAATTTATCTAAAAGTTGCGTAATAATTATGTTAACAATTTTCGGTCACTATGTTCTTGTAGATAAACAGTTTTAGACTATAAAAATCGATTCATAAATTTACATCGTCATAAAATTGCAGTTAGGCTACTCTGCATCTAGCGGTCTTAAATATCTAACAGTGACTGATGACAGTTGACTTTTTTGTTTGTTATTATGATACAATCATCTATCTTGTAAGTTTTACTATTTTCATCAGACAATAACCATTGAAATGGTTAAAATAGCACTCCAAATTAAAGCTTCCCTAGAATGCATAGAGAAGTTGTACACAAACCACCCATACTATCAGTGGTTTCTGAAATTAAAATGCGGCAGCTGCGGCGAAGAGTCTGATAAGTTCCACGACCTTACAGAAGCCGAGAAAGTCCCACAGAAACATAATAGATCGGAGACGAATCTCTTGATTAAATGCAAGTTGTGTTCAAGAGAAAATAGCATAGATGTTATTGAAGGCAGTAATGGTATGTATGTATTCTTCAACTTTTAGGTTACTTGAGTTATATTTATGTGCATTTTTACTTGCCTTTAGCTGTAGATGTGGATTTGATATAAGATTATACTTGACAGGTATTTTAACGAGCGATGATGAAAATAAGTTTAAGTCGCTAGTCATATTTGATTGCCGAGGAGTGGAACCAGTTGATTTTCAACCTAAATCTGGCTGGATAGCAGAAGCAGAAAATAATGGTTTGTAATTTATAGCTAAATACATATTTTAATCATTAAGGTGGTAGTTCCTGATGCCATTTCATGACTAAATGATTTTTCAGGAAAGAAGTTTGAAGATGTTGATTTATCGGAAAAGGAATGGGCAGACTATGATGAGAAGAATCAAACTTCAGTTGGTGTGTATGAACTTGAATGGCAGTTTGTAAAGGTCAAATAGTTTTAACTGTAATGTACACATTTTATAATTACAAAATATTAACATATAATTCATGTTCCATCATTGTTGTCAATCAAAACTAATATTTGAGTTTGTGATTAAGATCTCGTGTTAATGTGTGAAAATTATTATATTTATTTTGTATTTGCATTCTGCGTTAATCAAATTAAAAAACTTAACTGAATTGTAATGGTTGTTAAATAAATTATTATCTTTATTGAATCTCTATTTCTCTTTCTTAGCATCCCGTTTATATTTACACCAAGCATACAGTCCTTTTAAACTATTCTCCACTGACCTTAAGTAGCCATAGAATAAGGCATTGCCAGTATAAGTTTTAGACCATTTGTTTCTGATAAAATGGTTCTTCTTGTAGAACTTTCAGGGCATAGCTACCACCTCTGTACACCAATGGCAGTGACCATATAAAATATTATACATAAGGTGAGTTGAGATATTTGTTACGGTCAATTAAATATCTCAAACTATTGAAGCACAAAGATCCCGTGATTTATTTACCACGTAATAATGCCGTATGCGTAGAAAAATTAGCACGGAAAAGGAAGCATGATTAACGAAAGTGAAACAGTCACAGCTCAGTAATCATACAGTATTATACAAGTCTGCGGACTGACTCGCAAAATGCGGTAATTAGCCTTCCCTATTAGCTGTTGCATTGTCGTTTTAATATGCTTATCACACGATATTATCTTTGACACCTCGCACGCAGTTGTAAAAGATATAGTAATTGTATTTTTACGACCGAGAATAGCCAAGCATAGGGTTTACTTCACTAATAAATAGTTAATAAATAAATAATACCTCAGCAATAGAACATCTCAACAAGATTCACTGTCGACCTATATACGCTATCGGTTTGTGACCCGGAAGGAATTTCGATAATTCTACCACCCATTTAATTTATTACCATAACTAAGTCCAACAGGTTGCAGAAGAATTATAAATTGACTACAAACAGGTGAGACCCACTGGGGATTGAATCCAAGACCCGTTAAATTAAAACCGTCTATAGAAATTAGGACAAAGCACTCTCGAATTATACTATTTTGACATACTAACTGAAATTTGATATCCAGCTGCACTAATCAAAGCTTAAAAATAATAGTTATTTGATACTAAACACTACTATTAATTAATGTAGATTAATGCCGTGTAATATAATGCAATATAATATTTCAGAATGAATTATTTATGTTTTCTTTCATTATATCTGGCATTGAACTTCCAGATGGCTTCAGTTGGATAAGGCCAATACCCAGCCCATTTTTGGTGGGAAAATCTATATGTGTGTAGTATCGAGATTTATATTAATTTAAAACAATGCCGATCACGCATAAATCACATAATATTGATTAACGCAACAGAAGCAATGTTAACGGAGCGTTAGAAAATATTCTAATAAATAAAACATGAAGAAATGTAATATTTGTGTTTTATCTTCACATTCACTCACACGTTATTTACAAAAGTTTTCAGATAATAGGTGAAGTAATTTGGCGGGAAAATTAGTCTTGAAAATAATAAAGTAAGTAATATCACAGCATGCCATCAGTAACACAAACACTTCATAAATAAACTTATGCCTAAATTATTCTAATGATTGTCATTTTTTAACACTATAGGGTGTTGTGGACGAAGCCGTGGTTGCTGCGTAGTCCGACCTATTTTCCATATTTTCATCATCGTAGCCTGAGTTTCCGTGAACAGTGACTCCGTACGGAGTTCCTGTGACGTCATCGGGATCGCTGCTCCCCATCATATCCGCGGTGACTCCTGCGATCAAATGGTGTACTGAACTGCCGCCTGCAATATTATCATCGTTGATAATTTGGAAGGGATGGTGTATGTAAACTGGGACTTCTATCGGCACTTGGACCGGTACTTTAATAGGAACTTTCACTGGGTACGGAACTTTAACTGGGTAAGGGACTTTCTTCTCTACGGGGTACGGCTTGGGAACGTAAATTGGGACCTTTTTCTCGATTTCCACTTTCTGTGGAACGGGTACCTCTACTCTGACTGGGACTCTCTTTTCTACCTCAACTGGGTAGGGAACTCTCTTTTCCACATGGACGGGAACCGGATGGGGTACTTTTACCGGGTATGGTTTTGGATATGGTACTCTAACAGGGACGTGTTTAATTACTTCATATGGTTCTCTTACCCTAACTTCGATTGGGAACGGTACCTTCTTTTCGACGGGATAAGGACGAGGCACGATGATCTTATACGGGACTGGATAGGGAACGCGTTTCACGACTGGGACCGGAACGGGGTAGGGTTTGTCGACCGGAACGGCCACTTGTACCGGGAAAGGTACCCGTTTCTCGACCTGCACAGGTACGGGATGGGGAACTTTAACTTCTACTTGCTTTATAACAGGCACTTGATGTACAACTGGGAACGGGCGCGGGATATACTCCTTTTCCACAACTTTCACCGGGATAGGTTGGGGAACCTTCACGTGCACAGGGTAGGGAACTTTTTTCTCAACCGTAACGGGATATGGTCTATTGACAACTTTAATTTTTTCTACTGGCACCGGCACACCCACTTTTTTCACGACAGCATAAGGCTTGGGTACTTCTACTTTGACCGGGATTTGGACGGGTTTCTCGACAGTTTTAATGTATCGATGATGGTGATGATGATGATGGTGCTTTATCTTCGTATATACCTTGGATTGGCCGCTTGCTTCGCTATGAAGTTCGCTCGGATCGACTTGGGGAGCAGGGGCTAGCGCTGGCTTACGCTTCTTTTTACCAAAAATCACCACGTTCGGATTCACTTCGGGCTTGGAACTCTGCAATGACTCACTCATTGGAATCAGTCCGTAGGTGTGTAAATATAACGGGTTCTTCTGTGAAGCGGCATTTAATTGCTGGCTGGTAAGGAAGTTGCTTTGTTGGTTGGCGAAATACTTATTTTTTAATTGGCTGGTGAGGTAACTGTTGCTATGCTGGTTGGTGAAGATATCATGCTGGTCGGTATTATAAAAACTGCTGGGTAGGCTGTCTTTAAAATAATCCTCAGTTTGGTCGTCCTTTAAAAAATTGAGCCGGTAGTTGTTCGCTAAATAGTCAGCGTTATCCAAATAAGATTGAATGGAACGCTTTCTTCTGTGCGTGTTCGCATTGGCGAAATGCGACGGTTTAATCGGTACCCATTCGTTGGCTTTTAATGGTTTACTTGCCTCTGTCGTGGATCTGTTCTTAGGAGCTCTGGTCACCCTGCGGTGCACTCTAGTTGTCGCGTTAGAAATAGCCGTAGTTGTTTCTGACCTTCCGCCATAAATGACCATGTGCTGAGAGCTTTCAGCGCCAAAGTTTATATCGTTGATGTTATAATTGGCTCCTTCTATGTTAACACTGGAGTTGCTATTAGTATTATTTAATTTATCCAAGATCCTCTTTGGCCAAATGCGTTTCGTCCTTAAAAACTTTCTAGTTGTAGTTGGAATAATTGTCGTCGAGGGATAATCGTAGACATTTACATATTGCAGGGCAGGTTTGATGTATTCTGTCCGAATGCCATTGACCGTTTGGACCGGAATAACGACCTTGTGAGGTTTGATGTTTGCTGGATGTTTAGGTCCCTTTGATACAGTTATGGGTTTTCCAGTTGACGCCGAGTATACCAATGGTTTTGATGTAGGCTGATGCCTCGGTGGTGGGGTTGAACTTGCATATGTTGATTGAGCATGGGGTTTTGGGCTAGATGGCCTTGGAGTCGTTGGAGCGTGCAGCGGTTGGGGTTTATTGTAATAATGTTGATTTGGCGGGGGCGGTTTCACGTGGTAATTAACTCCATGGAACTTATATATGCCATTGGTCACTTTTATGGGTTCTTTTGAGTAAACGTGCCTCGGTGGTGGCGATTTGTAATAGTGGTGCGGTACGGGGACGTAGAATTTTTTATCTGGCGTGAGATATATTGGTGGTTTGCTCGGTGGTCTCTGTTCGATTTTGACTGTTTGGTTGTAGTTTAAATTAGTTACGTTTGGATAAGGTTTTATATTTTTAGTATTGATTGTGGTTAGATTTGCGATAACTGGCGCCGCTTTCGCCTCCATGGCCATTTGGTCGGCGCTGCCATCTTCATCTGCATGACACTCATTGACGGCCGTCGTCAGTGCGATTATCAGGATTACTGTCTGAAAAGATACAGACACCAAATTTCAGTAAGAACAATTTTAAACAAATCCTTATACCATTAGTTTATGATTTTAAATTTTTATTTTTAGCAGTCCCTTATTATTAAAATACGGAGTATATCATGACATGTCGTTATAACTTATTCATGGAGAAAACAGCGAAAGCACTTCATCACAACAAATGTAACGCGTCAGATGATTGCGTGATAACACTGGTTTCGTTTTTAGGTATGGCATTTCACTAGAAATATTTTAAAGTTTTTTTTTTCATGAAAAAACAGTCTTGCATTTTTATTTTATTTCTAAAACACTTTTAATTCATAACTTCCTATCACAATGCTATTTTTAGTCTCGCATTTCACAAAGCACTTCACTAAACAATAACGGTTATAGACTTTTGAAACACATGTCACAGGTCAACCGGAACTACCCGCATTTTTCGTGAAGTACCTACCGATATTTGATGCATAGTATGATAACAGTATTCGATCGCAGCCATTCGCGCAATGATAGATGCGCGGAAGCGTTACACACTTAAATAGCATTGGTTCGTGTTATACTTTCTCTGTCAATGCCACTGTTTTCAGAACATGCTGCTCATTATCTAGAACATCCTAAACTATATAAACAAAGATGTTCTTGAAGAGCAGCGATTAGACATTTTATGTATTTTTATTTTTAACATAGTATAAAAATAAATAAATACATAAAATAAATGATTTCCTTAGTTATTCAGATCGATCCATTATTATTGAAGTTAAAGATAGTGTAAAGTAGTTATAATCGATTTCTAATTTAAATAGTACCATCATGTTAAAAAATATAAAAATTTTCAAATAAACGTTTTCTTATATCCAAAACAACACGTAGGTCAGCTTTATATCCTGAGTTAGAAGTCTTATTCAATATTCTTTACACATATAACAATTTAATAAATAAGCACTAACAATTAAATGTCAATTTGAGAAGATTAAACAATATGTAGTCGTATGTGTGTAATTTTGTGTAATAAAATAGTAGTAGGTAATCAATTGTCTGCTTCAGCGTTTATTATTAATATCCAAAAAATGATGAGTTTTGCTTTTGGTAACATATTTTAATATTTACCGTTTGGTAAATTATTATGTTCTCGTTACTAAAACAGACCAACGACATGTCGAATGCAACAAAAATGACGGATAGTAAAATGGCGCGAAATAGTTTATTTCCCGGTTTCCTGTTTCCGTTCTTCCGTGCGTTATTTTAATGACGAGTGCTTTTGACTTACGCAACAATGTGAATATTTGCACGCACGAATTGCTATTAGAAGTAATTTGTGTGGTATATAGGGCAGAATGTTGTACTAAATAATCATCAATACAAGCAGCAGCCTTGTAACAACATTTTTATAACAGTACAATTGCCTCCTAAACTATTTTAATCTAATGTTATACTTTGAGTATTTGTTAAAATTTAGAAGTGCATGGCTTTAGATAAACGACGTGGTTCGTTAACGGACTTAGCAATTTCTATTTTATAGTCCCACAACAACTACTACAGAATATACTTTTGAAATCAAACTATTATTTTTTTCATTATTGTATTTCCTTCAAAATTTTGAGCCTATATTTATCATCTGGGAATCGTATCTTTATAATCTGCCTTATTTCTTCACAAGAATAGCTCGCGACTATTTTCTTATCTGTATTCCAAAGTTCAGCTATTTCTAATAGTTGTGCTTTAAGAAGCTTTGGCATTTTGATAAATTTCTTCCAGCCTTCAACTTTTTCTTCAGATTTGGAGGGGTCCTGAAAATATAATTTAATTATATGTAAATACATAGGTTGAAATTTTATTGCATTCTGTGTTTATAACTCTAGAAAAAGACGTTAAATATAATTGATTCTAGTTCTTATACCGAGGAAAGATGATTAGATGTTTTGGTTGATTAGATTGACTGACACCTGATTTTTTAAATCATTACATATATCAATGAATTTAAAAAAATATGTCTGTGTCTATTTATAAGTTATTAAAGAATGACGTGATGCGCGAAAGGTCCTGAGAATTTTGCTGAGTAATAACAAAATATGTTAGCGAAGACCAAAAACCAGCCCCTCCCATTTTTAAATATCTATCTTAAATAATGTATTGTACCTCAAATAAACTTCTAATATCACATATTGTGTCTTCAAATCTAACTGCCAATATATAGACTAGTTCTTCATCTATGGGGTGAATGTCGGAAAATAATCGCCCCAACATAGTCTGACATAACGCCTGCACCAGAGTGCAAAGGGATAGCTCATACATGCGTTCTGGTAAGATGCAATTCCAGTTCGACTGAAGGTCCTTCATCAATGTGAGTGAATGATTAATAGCATAGTTGAAGGTGTCATATGATTCTAATGACCAAGGAAGATCTGAAATTACATTATTATTAAATATTAAGAATGTATCATAAATTTGTTTCTTAATATGGTATGGTATTTGTTTGTTATTAATTTTAATAAAATTCGGTATCCTGTCCATTCACACAAACAACTTTTATGTTTGTTAACAGGTTTATAGTATGAATAATTAAACTCATTTTTATTCTTAATCATGTTGTATTAATAATGCTTATAATATGACTAGCTTGATTTAACTAACATAGCATTAGTAAAGACCTTAGGAACTTATATATATTTTTAGGATAGTAAGAAAAACTATTACCATTAGCTTCAACTTTCTCCACAATGGTGTTCTTTTGATCCTGCAAATATAATGAAATTTTCTCCAGACCAACAATCCTCAAATCTTGTATACACTCAAATAAAGCAGTATTTAGGAGATCTGCCAGTGGTTTGGGTAAGGTATTCCTCCATGGAGGTCCAAGCAGACTGTGAGCCAGATAGAAACAGTTGTTAAAGAATAGTGCTGGAACATAGACAACAGAGACATATGAATATAATATAAAAAATTGATGACGTTTATTATTCAAGCTAGATATTGTAAGATTTTAGGGCTCTTCGTTGATTCCCGTCAACAGTACAGTACTGATAAATAGATAAAAAGAATAGAAAAAATCCAGAACCATTACAGACTCATAAAAAGAGATCAAGCGGTGTGATCTTTAGTATGTTATACACTTTTTGGTGGAAATATAATTACATACCTATATCCAAAGGGCAACATTGTAAGTTGACTTTAAATTTTCTTGGTACTAAACTTTGATACATAACAGCTATGTCCTTGATATATAACACTAGCTGGTTACTGTATCTCTCTGGTAACTTAACACTTTCCTCCAAGTGTTCCACTATTATACTCATTATTTTTTCAACATTCTGTGATATCACACATTTTGGTAGAAACAGAGGGCTCTTCAAATCATAAACAAAGTCTTTTTGAGTTACTGACACCATTAATTCATTATCCACTTCAAGAATTGTGCCTGTGGTCATTGTACTATAGGTAAGACTCTGGTTCAACAGTTGACGAACATCATATAGTAATTTATTACACTTTTTATTGTACAGAACACATTCAGTGTCATTAATAAACTTATTTAAAGGTGATTTTGCAAAATCAACAAATTTTATGTCAATTAAAAATTTGTTAAACGAGTCCAATTCCAAAACAATATTTTGATAATATTGATAACTGCTATCGCAAGACGGCAAGTTATTCCTAATACAATCATCAATGATTTTATTAAAGAAACTGTTTTTTATTGACTTAGCAAACACTTCGATGAAAGTAACATCAGCCTGCATTTGTGCGCCGAGACTAGATTGTAAAAATTCAAACAGAGCTGTTAAGTTGTTAAAAATAGTTTGAATGTTTGGTTTCTTGGGATCACTCAGGTCTATGTTTATGTTAAACGTAAGAGCTTTCACATGGTTCTCTGTTAATATGATATCGCAATTGTGCCTTATTATGTTGTGAAGGAGTTTATTTATGAAGAAATTAGAAAAGGATGCTAACTCTGCATTCAATTTATCTATCGTGTATAAGGACTTCAACGTCTTTTGAATTAAAAGAGGGTCACTTTGTTGCACAGATAAAGAATATGATAGTTGATTAACACCCTTTCCTTCAGTCCATGAGAATATTTCTTCCCATTCAACGCTTAAGTGAGCACTGTATATTGAAATTTGATTCTGTGCCTGCTCAATCATGTTCTTCAGTGCTATAGCCATATTTCCTTCAAACTTTAGAGGCCGTACTTTAACAAGTAGATCCTTAACGCTTACTATAGCGTCACAATAATTATATCGCTCCATTTGATGATTAGCTTTATCTAGTAAGGGCCTACCTTCCACAACTATACACAAAGTTTTCAGGTAGTCCAGAGTGTCTGTTAGTTTTTTGCAGCTGGTGCAGAACTCTTCGTTTCTTTCTTTACTTTCGAGATTCTCATTAAGCTGAGTTATTGATTCATTTAATGTTTCATATTCCTTAAATATCATACATTTTCGATTGGTATAATTCAACTGTTCGAGTTTCTTAATTGGTGTGAAATTGTAGTATAATTCGATGAAGTGCTGTTGCAAGCTAAATGATAATAATTGTATTTTTTCGTTGAGTTCTCGTACTCTCGCTGATAATTCATCACGTTGTTTTTTGAAATCTTGGGGATTTTCACTTTTTTCTGGTATTACTTCACTCATTTTTAACTAAAACAGAAACGAAAGACAGAGTTCAAAGGGTAAAAAGTAAAAATATAGGAATTACTTCGCTAAACAAGTAACGAATGTTTTTTGAATTTGAAATCTTCAGCTGATATAAAGTTTACCTTTTGTCAGTTGTCACTAGAGTTGAGATGTCACAGCGAGTAGATTGCGTCAATCTACGAAATTATGAAATAATTCATTTATAACAAATTAATCTTATAATTGATAAGCTAATACACATTCTGAAACCTGTGTACCTCTTACGCTTATTAAATTTCTATGTTTATAACACTCACTTGTTAGTCTTCAATGGCAACATTTGCAACATGAGGGCGGTAGTATTTGAAACATTCTAAGTACGGATACCAATATTGTTTAATCAATATTCATTATAATAGTTTTAATTATCTTTCTCTGGAGACTCTAACGATAGAGTACCTCCAGTTTCAATCCTTCTCAGAAAATATGAACGATAACGAACTCGAAAGTTTAAAAACTGAATTGGAACATGAAAAGACTTGCAGGTAAGTTGCACATACTGTTTGAATTTAAAAGGGTGATTAAAAATATTTTGACGATAATTTAGAGAAGCAGCAGCATGGCAAAATGGAGAACTGGAGAAGCAAATAGTTTGCATCCAAGAAGATTTGCGTAAGCCAGACTATCATTGGGATTTCGATAACGATTTACAAAAAGAGAGTACAAAACACAGGCAGTTGTTGGAAGCTGTCGAAACTCTTCGCGAACAGCTGCCCTTACTAAGAGAGAAGATTAGAAATGCTAAAGTTTGCGGACCAGGTAACTAATCTATACTAATTTTATAAATGCGAAAGTAACTCTGTCGGTCTATCTGTCTGTCCGGCTTTAACTCCGAAAATACTGAACTGATTTAAATGAAATTTGGTACACAGATATTTTAGAGCCTATGTCCTTTAGGCATACTTTTAATGCCAAAGTTGATAGGGGTTGAAAAAAGGACTGGATGTGGGAGTGAGAATTGGAGTGAGTGTAGGAATGAGAGTGGTCCGAGTTATGTGAGGTGAGACTGTTGTGGCCAAGTAGCACTAACAACATAGATTGGCTGCCTTAAATGCGCCCTTACATAAATTATTAAACAACCTAAATAATTAAAAATTCTATCCCAAGTCACTACTCCACGGGGACGAAGTCGCGGGCACAGCTGGTAATAAATAAATAAATAATTATACGAATTAATAAAATCTTCTTGTTTTCAGATTGCAAGTTAAAACATGACGACTTGAATATTAACTTGGATATTCTTACTCCGGTAAAGGTCCTTTTGAACTACCAGATAGGCCTAAAACGCGAAATATATTCGTTAACTTATTTTAACTACGGCCCGACGCTTCGGATGCTTTGCAGCATCCGTGGTCACGGTGGTTTGCTGTTGTCGTAGTTAAAATGAATGGCAAATAAGCTAATATATTTCGTGTTTTATACCGTCAAAAGAGTTTTATTTTACTGTGCTACTCTAAACTACAGACAAGACTTAATTTCAAATCGAGTAAAGATAAACAAGTACTTTCTAATTAGCACCTTTAAAAAACAATAACATACATTCACTTACACTTACACATACATACAAAAAACACATCCTCATCCCTGGATACGTCAATTCAGTTCTTGTTTTATGCACCTATAATGTAGAAACTTGGGTAATCCTATTAAATTATTATATGTAAATCCTTGTAATTGGCGTAATTAATTGCCTAACTATAAGAAAACGTGTACTTTTAGCTGTAAGGATTTATGTAATAAATAAATAATAAAACATATTTCATCTTCTTTTTACAGGCAGAGTTATTGCGAACTGTGAAACGATTCGAGAGATTAAAAACCGATCTTGTTAGCACACTACGAAGTAAAGAGTGGCGACTTGATTCAGAATCCAAGGTACTCTTGTTTTACGACTTTTTATGTATTTTATCCCTTGAATTATTCTTTATATGTTTTTTATCCACAGCTATTTGTGAGGGTCAATGACCAGCGCACATATCTCCAAAACGAGTTGATGATATGCCAGAACAATATTATGCGTCTACAGAGAAATGGATCTTATTGGCAGTAAGTTGCAATTCATGTACATGCATGTCTAAAGACTTGAAATGTTGACGTGGTCCTAAGGTCCTAATCCCAACACTGGGATCCGTAAAATGATGACCAAAGTCCTCGTACTTGTGCGAATTAAATATGACTTCACTATACATTTAAAAAATAGACATATATAAGAAAAATAATTATATTATACTTTTAAATAAAACGCTTTAACGGTTTAAAACGCGATATATTAGTTAAACTTATTAAAAAATCATTTTCAAATAAGTTTAATTAATATATCGCGTTTTAAACCGTTAAAGTGTTTTATTTAAATGTGTACTACTCGCGTAACTCGCGTTTTTTTTGGGCATCTTGGACAGTTTTCGCAGTCCACAAAACAAAGGAAACCTTTAAAGATGAATAATTTTCCCGTGGCTTCCACCAATTCCCTCTATTTCTTTGCAACTATGAATATAACGGAAGGTTATATAGCCTAAAGCCTTCCTCGATAAATGTTCTGTCCAACACAACAATATTTTTTCAATCGAAAGTAGTCAAACAAACAAACTCTTCATATTTATAATATTAATATGGATAACTATTGGGTAATTTCCAGGAACATACCTCGAAGAAACGATGAAAGAGTGATAGACCCCAAACGTGGGCCGATAAAGAAAATATTTTGTAACGATCGTCTGCCACCTATCTCCACTTAATATCAATTTATTTATATATAATCAATAATTATGTTCACGTGTGGCTTATATTCTTGTAATAATCAACAGCTGGTAGTTCTTATATAAATAGCTCGACATTCGTCACATCGGTATCATCTTTTTTGAGTTAAATTTTCACATTTAGAAAAATAGTTTTTTATAGTAATTGTAATATTCGTAAATTAATAAAATGTATTGACGTTATTTGGATTTGGAGTCATTCGCCCGTCGTAATTTCCAAATGGAAAGACGATCATCATCTTCGTTTAGTCGAGAAACTTCTGATTAACCATTTTCTCATTTACGTCGGCCGAAACGGTTGAAACTAGCAACAAGTAGCTTTGCAAATTGTCTTAGATTATTTATAAAAAAATGTTTGGTCACTATTGTCGTTGATATAGAATATTATAGATGGTGTTAGGTTTGTATATACGAAAGTATCTGAAGTTATTATGTTTAATATTACCGTAGAATTTATCTATTGTTGCAATAAATGTTCATTTTTATTGGAGTGTATATTATTTTGAACTAGCGTAGTGCATAGGTAAATTATAAATCTATTTTTATTGAAAAAAAATACCGATTCCGAATTTTTGATAGTTTTATAACAAATGTTTTTCTTTATACCATAAGTAGATAAAATGTAAATTAGGTGTAACATTATACGCGTCAGATACAGCATCTTCAACGGATAATTTTTGAAATTGGGTTTATGTTCGAGTTAACAGACCTTGTATTACACAGCATACAGCAAGCTGAACATAAGTTACTAATTGTAGGCGAAAAGAAAAGCGCTTACGTCCGAAAGCACTAGACCATGCTTTCGGACGTAAGCGCTTACAAACAGACAGATTTTTTCTATATTATCAGTTTTTCTAACATTCAATGGACAAACAAACTAATATGTACAAATATATATGTACTTAATTAAGACAAACAGGCAAGAGATAATAAAATAGAAATTAATTATGATATTATTATTATTAACGCCATCCTCTAGAACGCTTGTAAGGAATTTCAATGGATGTGCTCAAGTAGTCTTCACCCAGATCTTCATAAAAATGTGGTTTATTATACTCGAACGCTGAAAGAAAGTTTCTTTTATTATTTCCGTTTAGAAATATAGCCTACAATGTAAAAATAATTAATTTTACTTCCAATTAAGACAATAATGACCCAGTCCATAATATATATTACGTTCTTTACAAGCGATCAGATCAGATCTTGCTTAGAAAATTTTGAAATGCTTTCCACCTTAAAAGAAATGCTGTCTGTACTTTACGCGAGTAGCACACATTTAAATAAAACACTTTAACGGTTTAAAACGCGATATATATTAATAAAACTTATTTGGAAATTATTTTTAACTAAGGCCCGAAGTTACGGATACTTTGCAGCAGCCGTGGTTTTACGGGGAAACCGGTAGTGTTTTATTTAAACGTTAAAAGAACTTCTGTAATTTTACTGAAAACATAAAGTGAGTTCATTACTTATACGACACGTAAGCACACTATGTATTTACGCGTGTTAGAGTTTCAGAGTAACGTAATATAACAAAAAAATAAAAATTCATAACACTTACAAAACAGATATAAATTACGATTTGTGCAACTTACGCGTTACGCAGTGATGTCGGTCTCTGTGTAAGCGCAGATGTTTGGGGCACGCACAGACGTAACCACCCGCAGTGTTTACGCACGCGAATTCGCAACGCGCTATGTTCTGTTCACACTCGTTTATATCTGTAATTAAAATATATCTTTTTAAAACTAATATTTTTCACACGATGGCCCTATATTAGTTAAAAATCGATTCCTGCAAGCGGTGTATGTTAAGGTTGAAAATATTCGTCGATGACGTGAAAGACACGATAGCACAATTGGTTAATAACAGCACGGAGCGCTGTGGTTCCGTTTTAAGTCCCGACGTTGTCGTAATTTTTTTACAACTTAAAGTCGATTTTAATTTAAATACATTTTGGTAGCTCAATGGGCAGAGCAACAGTACGGTACGCTGACGATGCCGGTTCAAGTCCTGCCCAAGTCGAAATTTTTCGATTTATTTTCGACTTTTAAATTATATAGTGCGTTCATGTGCAATAACATGTAAAAAAATAATAAAGTTTTCATATTTTGGAAAACTTAGATTAGACTTTAACTGGCATTCTCTAGCGGAAGACTATGTTTCTTTTTGGCAGGGTGTAGAGTGAGGATTTTAGACAAAGTTACAGCCGTTACCAAACTTACTTTCACTGCAATGATGAGCCTTTGGAGTTTTAGTGGGTAAGAGTACCACATTCACCACACCATTTATTGATAGTCCTGGTGTAGGGGTGCATAATGCTGTTCTCCAAGTAAAAAAAACACTAGCATCCACAGTGATCCGGACAGCTGCTCTGACTTAACCAACTGAGCTACACTTGACAGACAAGCTATATAATATCTAAACTAGATGCACTGTCGACTTAATATATTTGGAAATCCATAGACTGCAAACGAAACCTCAGAGCATCGTTATCTGTGGACGGTGGTTCGTGAGCCGGGACCGAGAAAGACGTTGGACCCGGTAGGAATCGACCCCACGACCCAAGTAATTATATATAATAACATCTAAATATAAAAAAAGGTTTCAAAGTTTAATTTCATAATAAAAATGGTTTTACGTAAAGTATACACCTGACAAACCACTTAATATTATTATCTTCTAACGACAATTAATATTTGATTGTTTGAATAATTATTTTGGATATATTCTTAAATAGATATTTAACCTAATACTGGCCCGAGGAGTCCCGTGAATGGAACATTGCTCAGATACATAGCTGCTTACCCCTAAGTGCTAAGGGCAGACACTTGTTACGTGCTTACCTAAACATCTTTGGCCGGCGCCAAGCGACGTAAAGCCTTCTTGGCAAGAACATCCGTATCCGCCGGGGATATTAGAACACATTTGAGTTGCATGACAATGGTTCGCATCTAGCGTACATTCGTCAATATCTGTTGGGAATGAAAATATTTATATGAAAACCTCATATACACGAATATTGAACGACATAACCCTTTAAAATATCTATATATAGAGTGAAAAAGAATTACGACAAAGGTGGAACCTTGAACCAACGTCCCCCCAAAGAATTAAAATTTAAGATATTATCGGTTCGAATTGTGTCATTTATCAAAGTGGTATCTGGCTTGAAGGACCAATAAATGAAGCGAACTTCTATGTTATTTTGGTAAAACAATTTCTTTATGTAATTATATATCCTGTGACTATATATTTTATTTTATAGTAGTGTATAATAAAAAAGACTTACCAATACAACTATTGTCCTCAATATTATACCAGTACCCGGCCTCACAAATACCCCTCTCGCTGTGATCTAGATTCTCAGTAACGTTAACTTCATAAAATGGTGACGCTTTGTAAGCTGTAAATACAATCTAATTGGTAGAATAATAAATATAAACTTTTTAATACTTTTATGTATGATTATTTATTTTAATGTTTGTCTATTATACGTTCTGACAATACCTGGGTTTGGAAAAATATCATCGTATTCAATCGGGTCTGGACTTCCAGAATCTGTCTCTGGTTGTAATTCAAACGTAGCTTCCGGGAGGTAGTCTAAATTCTGTAAAGAAATACAGTATTAAGTTGAATACCTTTTTTTTTATTACTGATTTCAACGCTCAATCAAAACCAGACCATTTTAAGCCTCCTTACCCTGTCAAAGTGTCTTTCTCCATTTTTAAAGACATCTTTCGTTGATCTCTCCCTGGCATAGCAGCGTGGAAGACCAGAACATTTACGAATCTACAGAAACGCATAGTAATAAGATATATTAATATAAGTGTATACAACATAAGCATATTTTAAATGTACTTTTACAAAAGAGAATATAATTATTTAAATATAACACTTTAACGGTTTAAGACACGAAATATATTAGTTTTTTTACACGGCCCGACGTTTCTTTAATATATAATTCTTTAATGTATAAAATGTATACTACACACAATATTTAGAAAAATAATTTTTATTTCTTGTTATTTTGGTTCATTCTTTTAATTTTTTTAGATTTTTAGCACTAGTATTTTTATGAATAGCATTTCAATTGAATAAAAATAAAAATTTACCTGTATATTATCCCCACTACAAGTTCCCGGAGGAATACAACGGCGCGTGCGCATCTGGGTAGCCGCACCGCACGTCGCGGAACACGACGACCAACGGGACCACCGTGACCATTTAGATTGCGATAAATCCTCCTGAAATTAATTTCATTTATGTAGATTATTCACAATAAAAAAAATACACATATAAAAGGAACCATCATACTCAGATTAAACTATTACTTTATATATTCATCTCTAACAAAAAAAAAAAACATGTCCATAGAATTTTGAGAATTTTAATATTTATCACACGTTATGCACATGGCGGCACTATATAATTTAAAAATCTAAAATAAATTGAAAGACATTTCGACTAGGGCAGGGCTGTTATTATAATGAAGTTCCACTTTTATGATTTTTAAATTATGTTAATAGAAATATTTTGGTTACTACCAAAAGTATTTGATCAGATTGTCATAAAAGTGATATTACAAAAATATAAAAAAATAACCTCGCATGGTGGCATATGACATTTTCTTCTATCCACCACACTCCCTTTGCAGGCAGAGTCGTCTAAAATAATTTTGCCAGTTTGAGTAGTTTTATCTGTAAACATTTAAATAATCTACTTTTTAAAATTGTTTTTTTTTTCGTTTTAACGTGTTTAAAGACCATTGAAATTTTAAAAATAGAATTACATAATTAAGATTGATTACCATATGTATTGTTACGTTCGTCAATGTATTGGCATATGCGCGTGCGTCGTTGATAGCCCAGGCCACAAGTGACATTGCAATAACTCCATCCGGACCAGCTGCTCCATTTACCAGGTACTGAAATAATTGGTCGCAATAGATATACATATCAGAACTGTCCTTCTCTTCCTTCATTATTTTAATACAGAAAGAAGAATTTAAATAGCTTGCATAGCTTTAAACATGTCTATGACATTTTAAGAAACTAATAAGACATTACCATTAAAATTTTAAAGCATTTTAAAAGTGGTAGAGTATGTGAATATAGCGCTGTAGATGTGGATTCCACTCGACTAATCCATTTTTTAAATTGAACAATAGCTAATTCCTTAGACCTTTACATAAAACACGGTTTAAAACGCACAATATATTAGTATTAGGCTCGATGTTCCGGATGCCCTGGTCCATGGGGGGGGGAGGTAAGATGGTGGGTGTCCATAATGTCAAATTCAAAACTTATTGACATATACTTTTTATGACGCTTTCCTTAAGGTACCTTGCACGATAATGTTGTATCGTCTATGCGCTGTGCCAGCGATGTTCTCAGCCACGCAGATGTACTGGCCAGCGTCACGTGTGCCAACACTCCAAATGGCCAGTAAACTCGTACCAAGTAAGTTTTGTATGTTTGGCAAATTTTCATTAAGCTTTTGTATATCCTAGAAAAAAAATCTTTTTCTAGAAAATTTTCATAATTATCAAATCAGTTGTCAGGAACATTGATTAATATACTTAGTATAGTGGTAATTTTAATACTAATCAATGTTTCACTTAAAAAAGAAGAATTTAAAAAGTACCCTTCAAAAGGTTACAAATGAAATCTTGTCGCTTTTACATTAGACTTGGGACATCGGGTCCATTTTACATATAAATGTTATATACTGACATTTACGATCAGTATTTTAAGAGCAAGCAAAAAAAAAGTAATGCTTCCAAAAGTATGTTAAGAGTAACAAACCTTTAACCAACTAATTTTTGGCGTAGGACTACCCTCACTTTCACATTTTAATACAACGCTGCGCTGCAATGCAACCACGTGTTTTTCAGTCGCGTTATTCCCTACATTACCAGCGATGGACGGCGGCTTTTCTATAATCACATCGAATATTATCTCAGTCGTGCCAACTTTGTTTGTCATTATGCAGGAGTATTTACCAGCGTCTAACACTTCTGTGTTGTTGATTGTCTAAAAGATAACACATGCCGTTTAAAGAAAAATGAGTAGAAGACTGTTTATTAGCTTGTGCATGTGCTCTTTCAAAATACAACGAAAATAGATAATAAAAACGTAACTTACTTTTAACCGACTTTAAAAAAGAGGAGATGTTTTAATTCGATCACATATGCTTTTTAAGAGAAATCGACTTGGGCAGAACATAATATTATGAAATTTAAATATATAACTATATTTTTATTGGTAATAAAGATTTTACTTTACTTTAGTACAGCACGAAGTATTCAATAATTAACCCCCTACAGTGCTATTCGTTCGATTATTTAGATAAATTGTATCTAAATTATACATTTATTAATCTGGTCGAAGTAAGGTTATGTTTAAGAATGTTATATTTATTTTTAAATAGCCCATGAAAGGTTTTTTTACTCTCTTACCAACTAACTACTTACCAAAGTATAGTTGTCATTCGTTAATATAATTCTGTCATTTGGTCCAATCTCTGTATATGGATGTTTGAACCAGGTTACATAAGGCAGAGGTCGTCCCACGGCTGGGCAACTTAGATTAAGCGATTGGCCTGTTCGTACGTTCAAATGTTTCAGATTATCCTTCGGTTGAGGAGGTGCTACTGCAAAAAGGAAACTATATTAGCAATTAGGATATATTAAACTAGCGACAGTCCCAGGGCTGCCAATTCCAAGGAAGTTTTTTATCAAGAGGTGATAGAGAATGCAGTTTACGTGTATCAATCAAAACGTCGGGTCGTGGATTAAATATTACATTTCGCGTTTTAAACTGTTAAAAGTGTTTTACAATATTACAATCTCAATTTCTTAATTTACCGTTTGAGGTCATTTAAGACGTGGTTAAAATACAAACAAACACAATTTTGCGTTTATAATATTAAATATATCAATATTATATACCTTTAAAGGTGAATAAGTCGCAATTTACTATGACATTATGGCAGACATTTATTTGTCCAATTGGTATATTTTCGTGGATATGGTGGAGATACAAGCGTAACCACTCACCCAAAACGTCAATTAAATAAACAAGCCTGTCTTCACCGACAGCGTTCCTGGCAACACAGGTATAATTCCCGGAATGCTCCTGTATTGCCCGCCGCACCTCTACAATTTCCCCAAAATCCCTCGAAACCATTGTATCGTCATATATTTTTAATGGCAACCCATCTTTGAACCAGTATATTTCTGGGACAGGGTTACCATACGCGTGACAATGCATGTAAAAAGATTGATCGGAGAGTACATTCAAGTTAATTGTTTGTGATGTAGTGTTTATGTCTTGGTTTAAGGATCCAAATATTCTCGGAGGTTCTGTAAAAAATCCACAAAATTTTACTGTCAAAAATTATTTATTTTGAGTTGCAATCCTTAAAGGGAGAAACCGAACTTAAATCCTTGATTTTGTTATTACTCGATATTTTTAAAGTTGATGAAATAACAAACATTAATGAAACAATATAATAACCTTTTATAATAACCTTTACTATATTTTTATAATAACCTTAACTCTATTTTTAAATCAGAGATGTCCTTAATATTGCAACATCGTGATGCAAACTACATATTCTATATAAAAGTTTTTGATAACAAAAATAAGCTAAATAAATTCTTACCTAAAACATTGACTCTGATACTTCGCTCTTCGATTCCACCTTCATTCACCGCTACACAAGTATAAACGCCAGGGTTTGATATAGTAATTTTTAATATCAAATCAGCATAACCGACCTCTTTTAAATTTTGACTTATTTTATTTCCGTTTCGTAGCCATTGGATTACAGGCATGGGGTTACCAGATGCAGAACATGCGATTCGCACATTTGAATTTAGCTAGAAATGTTAAGATAGATACTGTCTATAGTTTACGCGAGTAGTACACATTTAAATAAAACACTTTAACGGTTTAAAACGCGATAATTTACTTAAACTTATTTGAAAATTATTTTTAACTTCGGCCCGACGTTTCGGATGCTTTGTAGCAGCCGTGGTCACGGGGGGACCTGCTTAACTAATATATCGCGTTTTAAACCGTTAAAGTGTTTTATTTAAAAATGTTAAGATAATTATGACTCAATACGATAACACAGTACAAGGTAGAAAAATATATTATCCTTAGCCTTTAAATTTAAATGTTTATGACCATTTTAATTCTAATGACAACAGTTAGAGTCCTTTTCTTCTGCATTTTGTAGTAATTAGCTGCAAAACAAGAGAAATAACTTACCGTTACATCCACAACTCTATCGAGGGTGCTACCCTCCCCTCCCGCAAATAGAACAATATTTTTTATCCTGGCAGCACTGACAATAGTAACGTTGTACACGAGGTGAGCAACACCAGCTTTATTTGTCGCATCACAACGAAAAATACCCTCAGATTGTAGAGATAAATTTGTCGTGATCAGCGTCGTATTCTGTTGCTGCCAATGGCTGTTACTATAATTTACATAAAAGTCAAACAGTAAAACCGATTACGCTTATAAAGAAAATCAATTTTAAATAAAAGACAAATGCTGTATAAATAAGTCATTCTAGTTCCTAAAGATCGACAACAACTGTTGTTGTTTTATCGACATTTGAATAAAATTCTTGTAACACTTTAAATGCGAAATAAATGCACAAGTAGTCTTAGTTTCACGCGGCCTCTCCGCAGCGTGGCACAAAAATACATTGCGTATTTAACGCATAAACGGACAGTACATAGTTTAAAAAACACCGCAATGATATTATTTTCCTTACTTGTAACTCCAAGATATTTTCGGTTCAGGAATACCTTTTGCGGTACATTCGAGAGTAGCATTAGTTCCCTCTTTTAGTTGGACGTCGAGCAAATCAAATTGCGATATGTATGGGGGCTCTGGAAAGTTTTAAGGTTTAACTACAGTTTATGTAAATATATTTATTACTAAGTGTGTCAGCGAAGATTAGTTCTTTTAGGCCTCAAAATTTGCTTCTGCAAACCTCCTCTTATCTTGATTTTAAGCTGTTATCAAAGTCGACGGTCGCATCACGTCGTTCTTGCAAGTTAATCTATATTTATACTATAATATATAAAGCTGAAGAGTTTGTTTGTTTGAATGCGCTAATCTCAGGAATAGGGTTTGAAGATTGTTAGAGCATTTATGAAGAAGGCTAAAGGCTAAACAGCTGTGCTTAAGAAGTGAAGATAAGCGGGAATGTGAACAAACGGGGAAAATTTTCTCTCTGTGGGCGTCAGATGTGTATGAAATAATGATCTCTTAAATACCTAAAAAATCCGCGACCTATACGTCTTCTTTTAATATTTACATGCAAAAACAAGGGAAGGGCTGCGACCGACTGTGTATCCTTGTTATAAAGAACGAATTTGTCCAAAATGAATATTCTTAGCAGCCGAAGTCGCTGGCATAGCTGTTAAAAATACTTAGACATAAAGTCAACAGGTACGCAACGGAAATCCTCGAAGAAAAATAATTTTCCCCCCATTTTCTTCTCGGTTTCTATGAAACACAGCGTGATGTTTATAGCCTAGAGCCTCCATACAAAAATAATTAATTGTTTAATTCGAATGAAAAGTTCGTTCTATTAGCGCGTTCAAACAAACAAAGTCTTTAGCTTTATATATTAGTACAGATGTATGGTCAACAAAAACATATTATTCTGCGACCAGTGATCTGATTTCGAGTAGAATAATACAACAAACCAACATCTCAATTAATTTATTCTATAAAGCAAAAGAGAGTATGAAACTCTACAAACCTAAAACGTTTAAGGTAAATTCCCTATTTACAGTACCATACTCATTGCTGACTATACACTTATAGAGGCCACTGTTATGCAGCTTCGTATCCAACAATTTCAATTTACCCTGGTTTTCATCAAGCATTAAATTGGAATTGAATAACCACTTTATCTGAAACGATAAAAAAAGTCATAAAAATATGATTAAGTAATCAAGGAGTTGTGGATTCGATTCCCAGTGGATCCAATTAATATTTTCTGATAGATCTTAGACTTCATCTGGCGTATTTGGATGTTAGAAATAGTAAAAATATAGAAACGGAGTAATCCACAGTTCCCCCTACAAACAAGATATAACGTAGCGTACCAAATATACCTTGACATAGTAAACGCCTTGTTTGCGCATCTAATAGTTTAAGTTTAATATTTAAAATGTCTATCTATCTTTGACTGTCATAAAGAAATGCAAAAACTTACCCTTGGTTTCGGGTTAGCATTAACCTCGCAGTCTAGAAAACAATCGTCACCCTTTATGACTTCATTTTCATGTACTGCTTGACTTACAAAGCTTGGCGGCCACAAAACATTAATAGCGACTTGCGCCTGCGCCGAACCGACCATGTTCGATACCACACACGCGTACGTACCCACTATGGAACGGGTAACATTGGCGAAAGTAAGTGTATTATTTGCTATTAATATAGCATCCTGAAACGACAAATTCTATATTTTATCCACTTTTAATAAAAGTAATGAACCAAAAATGTTAAATAGAATTGAGAGTGTCGTGTATCATCTTTAGTTTACGCGAGTAGTAACACTTAAACGGTTTAAAACGCATCCACAACTTCAGGCCGTTGTAAAAAAATGAAAATAAGTAAACATTATGAATGTTTGGCATTTTAAACCGTTAAAATGCTATTATGTTGAAATATAATTCCGTTTCCTCTAGAGCAGGAGTATTTTAACTTTGTGGTTACTGTTCTGTAGGTACGTTCAGTTTTTAATATATATTTATAAATTGATCCGTGTACCAGCTCTTAAGTTAAGTATGAAGCTAAATAAATAAATAAATAGCAAATTATTTTATCCAAAAAGTCGAACCTTATACCATTTGACATGATCAGCGTGCTGTATAGGACAATCCACGGAACCACTCTTCCCCTCTACCAGTTTTACGGAAGTTAGTGTCTCATCTGCTTGTATATGACTTGGTAGTGCTAAAACATTAATAAAAATTATGTCACAATTTAACCTTTTCTAGTGAAGTATACAATGCTCTACAAAATACGTACAGTAAATATGCACCTGTACAGTCCTACTAATATTTCCTAATGGATTTTTTGCCATACACGTATAATTGCCACTGAACTCCACTGCAGGTAGATTTATTGTTAAACTACCTTCATTATCTATTTCGTAACGAGAATCTAGAAAATAATATCACAATACTTTGTCCTTTTTACTTATAAAAGACCTTAACAATATAAAAACGAACACTAGTTATTTACAATTTACCTCTATCCAAGTAATAACCGTCTTTAATCCATAATACATAAGGTCGAGGTTTGCCTGACACTTTGCATGTAAGAATTATAGAAGAATCTCTTCCAGCTATCCCAATGTATTCTTCCAAGTTTTCTGTACTGAATTTTGGTGGTTCTAAAGAAGTAGAATTATTTTTACTCAGGAAGTTATTATAATAATATACAAATTATATGCGACATATTACGGACCTTGTACGTTTATGAAAAATTGTTTGACAGCAGCACCAGCAATATTTGTTGCAATACACGTGTATTGTCCTTCTGTGTGGGCGCTTACATTGTAAATGTATAAATTTCCTACATAATTAAAGCTGAAATGAAAAATATATCGAAAACATCAAAAACTAGTTTTTACATACAAGCTCTTTAATCTCTTTGTCGCTATTGTATGTTAAACCCAAACACACCAGTGGATGGGCAAGGGAGTAACAACTTCTAATCTGCAAATCAAGTTCTCTATTTAGTAAAATCTGGTATCTAGTTCAAACCAGTTGGTCTACAACGAACTTCGTGTGAATTCCAAGCTGAATTTTACATAAAAACTCATGAGCTTTATAGCTTTACTTTCTACTAGCCTGATGTTTGTGTCGTTCTGCTGTAATATGTCTCCGTTAAATTCCCACGATATGTGCGGAAGAGGAAATCCAATTGCGTCACAATTCAGTGTTATATTGGTAGTTGGTAAAACGTTAAGCGTAACTTCTAACGGTGGTTCTATAGATGGCGCCACTGAAAGTTGAAATTTGTAATCATTTTGTATAATATAAATGTTGTGTTGCAGAAAAAAATAGTAGCACAGAGGGCAACCTAAAATTATTTATTTTTAGAGGAAACCAAAATGTTCAATCTGGGTTAGGTGAAACAATGATCCAAAACCCTAAAGCTCCAAATTAAGTTAGTCTTGCTGTAGTATATCATGTTCAATCTTTCGCTGCTGTATCATCAGTACAGTTCCCACAACTAAGACACGTCCCTAAGTACTGTCAAATTATAGGTTCACAAGCTTGAATCGAACTGCCGACCTTGAAGTCGGAACCCCTTACAGATATATTATTAGAAAATGCATAACAACGAAGTAATCTAACATACCTACCCCAGACATATAGCGTATAATTAAATGTATCGGTTCCATGTTCATTGCTGGCAACACAACTGTATTCACCAAAGTCCGTCAAATTTGCTACAAATCTGTAATCCAATATTGGAAAAATTTAAACTTAGTAAAAAAAATATTTAAGTTGCGAGTATATACGACACGCGTTTTAAAGAGGTAACAAACAATTTCGGACTTGTTGGGGTATGTAATGACTGTCTGAAGCTGGATGTCAAAAGGGTTGTAGAAATATCCGGTCCGGTCAAGTATAACATACATTTCGTTTCTATGGGTTTCCGAAAGTCCAAATCTAAAAAATGTAGGACATCGATGTTTTAAGAAGTTACATTCCTTTAACCTTCCAACACGTTTGTCTTTTGTTTATCAAAAAAATATATATAGCTTCAACAACACTCGATTTTCTGGGTCAAACCAGATAGTCCAAAAAATAACTAAAATAAAAGATCCAATAACAGTAATACATGATAACAATACCCTAATGTCTGGCCACGAACAACGACCGTGTCTGAGTAATAAGTGTGAAAGATTTACCTCAGACCATAATCATCAATATGTTTGCGTCGTTCAGAAATTAAATTTTCATTATGGAGCCATTTAACAAAAGGGGGTGGCAGACCCTGAGCCGAACAGGGAAACTCCACCAGTTGTCCTTCTAATACTTCTTTCTCATTATTATTGGAAGAAAGTATAGCCGGAGTCTCTAAAAGTTAGTAAAATTTGACTATTACAATAACTTTTAATTATTAATTTAAAGATTAATTTTTGTAATCCTTACTAAAATTATAAATTCCAAAGTAACTCTGTCTGTCTGTCTGTTACTCTTTCACGCCAAAACTACAGAACGGACTTGGGTACACAGATGGTCTAGACTCTGAGAAAGGACAAAGGCTTCTTTTTATTGCGAATAAGGGGTTGTAAGGGGTTAAAAGGGGGGAGTGAAATTTTATATCGGAAATTCGTGGTTTTTGAAGCTAGAACAATAAAACTTTCAGGGGGGGGGGGGGGGGGGGGGGGGGGGGGGGGGGGGGGGGGGGGGGTCGGGCGTGGGAGTGCTGCGGCAGGAAATAATTCTGCGATAAATGCAATTACAAAAATGAATAAAAAGCCTAAATAATTAAAAGTTCTACCCCAAGTCACTATTCCATGCGAACGAAGTCGCGGGCACAGCTAGTTTAATATAATTTATTAAATTGTCCATACTCATCATGTCTCTAGTTAACGAACAATTAAACAGCAGTACTAATAACAAATTATATTATGTGGCCAGAATCACAACGAGAACACATTAGAATAAAACACCGCATGGCTTACCAATACCTCCCGTGACCACATTTGCTGCAAAGCGTCCGAAACGTCGAATCATAAATAAAAAAAGGTTACCTAATTTACTTTGCAGTATTGTACCCTTAAAAGTGTTTAAAATGTTGTTTCTTATTATACAAATTCACTTTAGCCTAATACAAAATCAAAGGTGCCTTACGAAAAGCGTTAATGGTGAAGTTTCTCTGCACAGCACCAAGTTGACTGATGGCTTCACAAACGTAAACACCTTGTTCATTTTCAGTCATATTGTTTATCACTAAGTCACCTTCGACAAGATATCTACAATCAAGTAAGAAATTAGTTGTAGTTTGCACGAGTAGAACACAATTGAATAAAACACGATTAACGGTTTAAAACATTACGCAAAGTGACGGCTGCAAGGCATTAAAACTTTGCGTCGTAGTTAAAATAATTTCGCTAATGTCATCATCAGGAGATGATGAGTCTACCTTGACAAAGCGAAGACTGAACGAAGGTCGAGAACAATTTCCCAATTACGACGCAAAATGGCAGCAAAAGATTGAATCGATTTACTCACATATTCCTAGAAAATGCAACAGCTTGATAATCCTTAGTCCAAACTACCATCGGCGGAGGATTACCCGATACATTGCAACCCAGTTGTAATTTCTCCCCTAATTTTATTTTCTTTGGCTCTTCTATACTCTGCGGGTTATTGAATACAGGCGGGTCTAAAAAGTTATTGATTGAATAAAAGGACGTGCATGAGAGTTGAGAATAATGATGGATGGAGTAAAGACGGTGACATATAAGTTCAAATCGGGGTATCGAATCGTGAACATTATATGTATTCAAATTACACCGTTTCTTATATCTTTTAACACTGAAAGCCAGCTAGGCTTTAAAATATATATAATATTGACCACAAATCGGCTCTTTAGCCACACTGTGGGTACAGCAACAGCAGAGTGATGTTCAAAGCAAAGTATTTAAACTTATGTTGTTTTGAATTATAACTAGTTTTTTAATATTAACTTATTCTGTACAATTTTGTATGTGTACTTTGGTGTGGTGAATAAATTATTCGAATTTGAAAACATACATTGAACAATCAGCTCCACCGTATAGTAATCTTTTCCTATTACGTTTTCCGCAGTGCATTGATAGAATCCACCATGTCCCATTGAAGTTCTTGATATATTTAGGTCGTCTTCGTTAACGTCTACAGCAGCTGGTAATGCGGTGAATCTTGAGGAGTTGTAGCTCTTGTACTTCCACGATAAAGTTGGTTTAGGATTGCCTTTAAGTAACCTGTAAAATAATTCATCCTTATATAACTTGTACGCGGTAATTTTTCAATGCTACGTAAGGTGTTCGGCTGTTGTTGTATTTGAGAAATGGTTTCTCGACCAGGGGCCAGGTGGTGTTGTGCACCAGGACCCCGGATATTACCCCCCTTTAAAAGATAAGCTGTCAAACCCCATTCTTGAAAATATATCTTCCGCCAAGTAGCTTTTATTCTTTAGGTTAGGTTTACACGCGACATCGTAAATAAATTTAATTTATGAGATATTTGGGCCAGTTCAGAAATGAATTAATTAAAATCCTACTATTTTCAGATTTAGCAATACAAAATCTTACCTACATGTCAAAATAGCTGATTTTCCTTTTTCAGATACTCTTTTTAATGGCTCCTTTTTCAGTAGAGGGGGCTCTGCAAATAATATGTTCAGTTTATCAATAGAAAGATAATGATTGACAAAATAAACAATATGTTTTTTCTAGAAAAGAATGTGGTCCATAATTCGACCACAGCTGGAATGAAACTTCTTTTGTAATGCCATCATACTTTTAGTTTTAACTACGGCTCGACGTTCCGGATGCTTTGCAGCAGCCCCGGCAGTCTCCCCGTGACCACGGACGCTGCAAAGCATACAAAACGCCTGGCCATAATTGCGTTTAAACCGCTAAAGTGTTCTATTTAAAATTTAAAAATATGACAAATATAACGCCTTATTTATTAAGTTAATACGTACCAAGATTTTTTACCATCAGCGTGGCATTAACTTCCAAAACTTCATAACCATTATCTGCTACACAAGAATAAGCTCCGAGATCATCAAAATCTACCCTTTCTATAAGCATGGTAGATTCTTTGAGGGTAGATTGTAAAATGATTGTGTTATTGTGGTACCATGTGATTCGCGGTGGGGGGTAGCCGTCAACAACACACAAGAGTTCTACTTTGGAGTAAAGATCCACAGCGCTATCTAAAAACATTAAAGCTAGTTGGAAACAATTATTTATTTCAATTCCTTGTACTCCTTGTACAAGGAATCACATGGATAAGGAACAAACCATTAAATCCCTTTAGCAAAATCATCTTCCGTCTCACTTCCACGTTAATGCTGTCTTGGTCTATTCCCTCAGCATTCTCACCGAAGCAAAAATAAGTGCCATTCACAAGTTCTTTAGTACTGTCCAATGTAAGGACACTTTTATATGTATTTGCAGACACCATTGTAACCTAATACATAAATAATTAAAGGGTATAAATAAAAAATATAAACTTTCCCCCACAAACTTAAAATAAGTAAAACACTTTTAACGGTTTTAAACCAGGAATATACAGTTAAAAATATATATTGTACCTACGACCCGACGTTTTACATGCTTAGTATCAGGCAGCAGGAGAACCATATAACAATAAATTACCTCGTTTGGAAGAAATCTTTCTGTTTCCATATGCCACAGTATTCTTGGAGCTGGTTTAGCGATAATCGTACAAATAACTTGAACTACTGTTCCGTTTAGAACTGTAATATTGCTAGGGCCATCTATCTTCACTTCTGGTTTTATGAGCACATGTAGTTTGATGGAATCAGATACTGAAACAGAATAGGTAAGATATATAAAAATATACAAGCGGGACAGTAGTAAAGACATTTAGTGGGGTGTGCAATCACGTTTAACACACACATGGTGCACTTTCACATATATAGCATAGTATTGATCATTTGTTTTATAAAAAAAATATTTAAATAAAACACTTTAACGGTTTAAAACGCGATATATTAGTTAAATTTATTTGAAAATGGTTTTTAACTTCGGCCCGACGTATCTCCCCGTGACCACGGCTGCTGCAAAACATCCGAAACGTCGGGCCGAAGTTAAAAATCATTATCAAATAAATAAAACACTTTAACGGTTTAAAACGCGATATATTAGTTTAACTTATTTGAAAATACTGTCTATAGTTTACGCGAGTAAACCGACGAGTTTTAAACCGTTAAAGTATTTTATTGTAAAAAAATACTAATGCATGTTAAAGTTATAAACTAATAAAACTAAAGGAGACCAAGAAAGTCAACAATAACATAACAAGGGTTTGACAATGCTTTAAACATTTCATAGAAAAATTTACAGTATATTACTGCAAACATTTGTCTTATAATATACGTATTATATGTACTTATACGTTAAGGTAAGGAGGGTATAATGTAAAATCTACACTTTACCTGTATAATTATTATGAACAGCAACACACTTCCAAACTCCATCATCTTTAACATCTGATATATCCAACATCGCGTTATAACTTCCATTAACCATAATTTTATTTAGAATTAAATCGTTTGGATCAACCCAGTACATTTCTAACGCGTTTTCTACACAGCACACGAATTGGACGTGTGTATGCGCACGTCGTGTCAATGTGTGCGGGCCGAGAATGTGCGCAAGCGGTCGTAATTGGACGGTTATGTGTGTGGATGTGTTTGTTGTTCCACCTGTGAATGTGTGAATGTTTTAAAATACCAGCATAAAAATATTTTAGAAAATAAAAAAAATATTTCGTATACAGAAAAAACAAGAATTAAATTTGGTTTATGATGCCTTTTTACCAGAGGTTAGCAACTCGGTCTGAATAAATTTTTGTTCAGCCCGCTGACGAATTTATAAAAACAGTTTGTAGAGGTACATTAAAAACCTAACACTATTTAAAATGGAACATACGTTCATAATAAACTTAGTTACAATGATCTTAATTTTTTTTTCATAATTTGAAGGTCACTGTTTCGTAATTTTTATTGAAATAATATTAATTTTAATTTCTAGAAGAAATATCGTTGCTGTCCATTCATAAAAAGGTTGCTCATCCCTGCTCCAAGCTATTATGAGTGTGATAGCTTGTTTTATATGGCAATAAGCACCTTCAATAATTCGAGTTCATAGCGAGCATGTCCAGATCGGTTATTTTATGGGCAGGTAGTTGATGAGACTACTGTTTCTAACCAAAGCTACCTGTTGTGTCCCTGGAGTTCGAGCCCAGGAACTCTCAGGATAAATTGCGTTAAAAACACCTTAAATCAAGTATATAAATATGACAAAATAGTTAATTTTACGGACCTTTGTTGGATGCCATACACGTGAATACGCCTTGGTCGTGTTCAGTGACTTTGTCTATGATACTACTAAGAGTATAAATACCATTTGCATCGTACGACAACTTAAATGTTTTTTCTGAAAAAAAAATCTGTGTCACTAAGAGTTAAAAAAATAATTAAATATCGAAATAATTACTGTACCGTAGTTAAGTTTGCTTCCGTTAAAAATTAAAGATGTTTTGCTAAGTAAAACTTCGCTGAATACTGAACATGTGATAGTCAAGTTGGTACCCACGGGTACTGTAGAGTTCAGCGGTAACACTGACACTTGCGGGGGCTCCACTGAAATAAAATAATGATTTAACATTCAGTATACTATCTACTAATCCATTAACAAGAATACAATATTCACGCACAATTTAAAAAAATGTAGATGAAACAACTCTAACTGTTTACAACTTGAATTATTAAATTTTGTTGTATATTGTTTCCCCAGGATTTGAAGCTAAGTCCTCTTATGCTTAACGCAATAGGCACATTTAACCATAGACCTCCCTTTTAAGCATTTGACGTCCTTTTGCTACTTTGATAATTCTATACGGCCAACGTTACATTATGCTTTGTAGCAGCCGTGCTCACGGAGAGCCACAGTAAAAATAAGTAAACCAATATAATTTGCGTTTTAAACTGTTAAATGTATACGTCACCTATTAAATCCAATACTGTTTCTGCTGTCGCTGTTCCAGCTATATTGCTGGCGTTGCATTGATACATCCCAATATCAAATTCTGACATATCTTGCATCATATATTGTATTGACGTACTTTGTCTAAAGGGCGGTGAATAAAGGTGTAGAAAGACAGAAAATAGATATATAGATATAAATGTAGATATTATTATACAAGTCATGTGTAACTTGTGTGTAACATGTACTTAAAAGTGTGTTATATTTGGCTTCTCATATTTATTTAGTAACGTGAGAGTAATAAAGATATAAAAAATCAACGTTGAATAAGCCACAAATTCACAAACACAGGGTACTGTTGCTTACCACTTGAGCTACCGCGTACCAGTTCAAACTTCATTCCATTCTTGTATTACTTTTTTAACCTAAATATTTTTTTTATAAGCTACCTTAAACTGTCTCTAGTTTACGCCAGTAATACTTAAATAAAATATACAATATTATAAGCTACTAACTGTGCCCGCGTGGAATTGTGACTTGGGGTAGAATTTTTAATTATTTAGGCTGTTTATTAATTTATGTAAGGTGCTACTTTGTCACAACACTCTCATTCCTACACTGACTCCTACTCTTACTCCCACTCCCACTCCTATTCCCAAAAAGCCAAAGAAAAAAAGTTTCATTGTTCTAGCTTCGAAAACCACGAATTTCCCTACAAACTTTCATCCCTTTTTTACCCCTATCAACCCTTTTCGGCAATAAAAGGCCTATGTCCTTTTTCAGACTCTAAAATATCTGTGTACCAAACTAAATTAAAATTATTTTAGTCGTTTCGGAGTTAAAGCCGGGCAGACAGACAGACAGACAGAGTTACTTTCGCATGTATAATATTATAGTTCTCACATGTCGCTGGACGCAATCTATATAGTAATAATTGTTTTAAAGAACTCACAAACTTGACGTCGTTGGCTGTAATTCCTTCCCATCCTTGAACCATCCAGCAGTCACAGGAACCAGACTCTCTACCTTGCAAGTCAGTATCACTTGCTCGTGTAAATGTGCTTCTATCTAAAAATATATACTTCGTTTAGATATATTGTGGTTTAGAGAAGGCTTTGGGATGTTTTGTGAGTGTGTATGTAAGTGTTTGAAATGGGTGTGTGTTAATTAAACTCAAATAAAAGGAACCAACCTTTTGGGGTACATTTAAGTACGGAACATCTGGAAAGAAGAAATAAGCAGAGAGTAAGAGGAATATTTAAGAATTGGATAATCTAGCATTTATTTACTGTCGTATACTAAGCGTTTGCATTTGTTTCGTCTAACGGTTTATAATGTGAAATATATAAGTTAAAGTTATTTGAAAATGATTACCGGCACCACGTGACCACGACTGCAAAGCATCCGAAACATCGAAATGATTTCAAATAAGTTTACCTAATGTATTTCGCGTTTTAAACCGTTAATGTGTTTTATTTTAGTGTGTACCACTCGCGTAAACTACAGCCAGTATTAGACCTGAGAAGATTTTCTATGCTCACAAAGCTTAAGCTAATCTTATGGGAAATTACGTTTTTTGAAGTTTCATATCTTTAATAACTTACCAGGCGGTTTCGCTTGCACGGCAGTGCCACCGACACGTCTTAACTCTTGACCGTTCTCATCAAAACCGTTTATCTAAAAATCAATCAAGTAGAACTTATTAAGAGGAACTATAATATATAAGTCGTACAAAGCGACTTGATAAGCAATGTTAAATATAATAACTAATCAAGGTCATGAACTTGCAAACTCAGCGTTCCGTGTTGCTTCTCTAATATATAAGCTACTGTGTCATGAATATTTTTCAATTTAATACATTTTTAATTAATATGACATCATGTGAAGTATTACAAAGCTTTCAAATGTGTATGTTCTACCAAATGTATGTGTGACCGTTGCTAAATACTTTATCACTAACAAACCTATATAGAGACCTTTCGTGTTTCCTCGCCCATTTACATCATTTTTTTCAATGACACAAAAATGTATTTATTTGTAGTAAGTAAGTAAGTAAGTGCTTCCTACATCATTCCCGTGATACGTATCATAAATAACTTACTGGTGGTATTCGTAAACCCAACGCTAAAGCAGCGAAGTACCCTCCAACCTAAGCTTAAGAAGCTCTTAAATTCTGACTTCTTTTAGTCAATTGACTAGCCTAAGATTGAAATGATACTCTTTGAAAACCTAGATTGTATAGCACGTATTATTTAGGAAAATAACAAGACTTACAGATACATAGAACATTTCATCGGGCGGTACAAACGCGTCTGCAATAAAAAGCTTCTCTCTAGTATTAAACACTTTAAGCGGCACTTCAAATAGTGATCTACCCTCCAAATCCAATATTTCCGCGAACGTTATTTCAATTGGTATATCGATTTTGGATAAAGATACCATCATGTGGTTATAGGTGCCTGGAAATAAAACATTTGTATTACGATTATTTAACAATGACGCACATAGAAAATAAGTAGCTATAGTAGACTTTCCCGACCAGTAGTTTGTAGCGCTGTAAAACCAGGCAGACACTATCATAATTTAATCATCATCATCATCAGTACATCACCAGTTTCTCATGGTAAGGGCTATATATCCCTATATAAAATTAGCTAAAATTAGTTCTAAGTCATGTAGATATTCGTACAATTTATTTCATTATGGGGATTATCTGAATGTCGAATACAAAAATTTTAGAGAAGGTACTCCAACCAGGGTTTGGAGTATACCGTAGCGTTTTTTATAGAGTACAGTAGCAAAGAAGTACCTTGTAATGGTCTGTAGCTGGTATCTGCCATAGATGTTGGAGGGAGAATAGAAAAACCATGATCGAACGTGAGATTTGATAGACCTACAACCTTCACGGAGTGCTCCACCGTACTTCCCACTGTTATACTCCAGTTACCAGGTTCTGGCTCTAAAACTTTTATTATCTGAAAAAAGAACCTATCTAAATACCAGGCGTTAGTCACGAAATCGACAATAGTGGTCATAGAGCCTAGTGCGCAAGAGCGCAAAATAAGGATGCGCAAATTTTCAATCTAATGTTTTGTTTAGTATTACAGCTATAAATTCTTCTGTAATGTGTCCTATGGGGCTTAATTATTCAAGACAAATTTCTTATTGTGTATTTTTTTAGAAGAGAAGAAATACATATTATTTACTTGATGCTAAATTGATAAAATAGAAAATCTAACAAATATATTTTTGGTGAATAATGAAAACGCGATTAAAATTCACGGCTTCTTTATCTGTGGACGGTGGTTGATAACCCAGATAAAATTTGGATATTCCTATATTTAAGGTATGTGCCACCTTTATTGATACCAATTTATCGGTATAAGTTAAGTTGGTATGAGGGGTAACAAAGCTCCAGACTTTAAAAATCGTCCTTTTATAATAATTACCATGATTTCTGAGAGATCCAAAGTCGTGATTAATTGCGGTGGGCCCGTGATTTCTTTTCCACTCGGATTTACCACCCGGATGTTTGGTTTCGCCCCTGAGACGGACACAGTCACCTCATCAACTGTGCTGTCCACTGGTATCTAAGAAAATACATGTATAATTCAAGTCAATTTGTTCATAAAGAAAGTAGTTTTCTAGTCAAATTGTATAACACGTGCAACAAAATTAAAAAAAACTTTTTAGATAGAAAAATAAAGGTTAATAAAACCCATTTTAACGGTTCGAACTTAACTACGACTCGGCATTTCGGATGCTTTGCAACAGCCGAGGTCACGGGCTATATTTCGCGGTTGAAACAGTTAAAAATGTTTTATTCTAATACTACTCATATAAACTACAGACAGAATAAGAGATTTACAATAATACCTTTTGCGTATGATTATAACCGGCAGGATTTATGGCCGACGCAAGATTGACTGCCCTGTTCTTTATTGAAGTCCTAACGAACTCGAGAACCTATAAAAATCACACGAAAAATAATATTTAAATGTTTTGTTACATAATTACATTCCCACTTCAATAATACACAAAAAATATAGCAATTACAAATGAAAGGAAAGTCAAAGAAGGAAAGTATGTCTTTATAATATAAAGTAGACTGGAGAAAGGAGAAGCCACGTCGTATGTGAGTAACAATTTAAAAAAGTCCTAAGTACAAGAACATAATTACACAACACAGAAAATACACAATGTGGAGAAGACTTAAATTTTTATTGACATATATATAAAATTACCTTATAAACACTATTCTTTTTCAAGTTAAATATCTGCCCTGAACTTGCAGCAGCGATCTGCTGGTACACTTTATATGTTGGCTTATGAAGATCATTGCAGTGGCCAGTTAATATGAAAACAACCTGAAAACGAATGAGTATTTTGACAAATTAAGTATTTCGACTGAATTAGTCCAAAGGTAGTCATTTTGCCTAATCGAATCTGTGCGGGTTCGATTAGTAACAAACTCTGAACGGGTCGCTGGGTCACAGTGAAAACATCTTCAAGATGAAAAGGCCGTGATGTGGAGAATATTCGGTTTTAGTCGTTATATTTCTGATTGAAAGCCAAAAAATAAGTCGACATTGTATAACGTACTAGCTGAGTCAGCGACTTCGTCCGCGTAGAATAGTTATTTTGGCCATCAAGTTTGTTATTGCAAACCTCCTGTCCAACTCTATACATTTAAGTTTTGACCCACGACTTCATCCGCGTCCCGTCGTTCTTGCAAATTAATCTTAAAAGATAGACATATTATACTGTCACAAACGAAACCCCCAACATACAAAATTTTACCCGTTTACCCGCTGTTTCTCCGCTCATATTAGTCGCAGCGCGATGTTTTATAGCCTCGATAAATGCTCTAATCAAAACAAAACGGAATCTTTTAATTCACACCATTACTTCCTGAGATTAGCGCGTTCAAACAAACAAACTCTTCAGCTTATTGGTATAGATAGATGCTATAAGAGTTCAAAGTCTCTCTTTTGTCACTTAATTCCCGTTTCAAGACGTTTGTTTGTTATATGTGTGAGGCTTGTCTTAGTAATTTGTAATGAACCAACCTGGCTTTGTTTCCTCTGCACCAAATCTAGAACAGATCCAACCAGCTTATGATCGGACGCCGTCGCATCCGTGAACACATAGACATAGGACTGCGGCCGACTTACGTTTAAAGCCAGCAGGATGCCCCCCAGTGACATCTCGGGACAGTCACCCCCACCATATACTCTAACTTGTAATGCAGATTTGAACACCTGTTTGTCTCGTGTTACTGTTGCCGGGCCGACATCTTAAAATGAACAATTTACACACATTACATACATGGAACGCTGTTGATGCCCGTGTCATCATTTCTTTTCATACCCAAAAGATTTTTAATTTAAGAATAATATTGTTGCACATATTAATAATTTTTTTTTTCAACCTATTAATACCCCACTGTTGGGCACAAGTCTCCTTTCGCATAGGAAAGGACGTTCGGTGAAGATACAAATAGCTGGTCCTCTTTTCCGGAAACTAATCAGTAGAAAGTCCCAAAGACCGAACTGTCCCATGGCCCAAAAACACATACTTATTTTGAAAATATAATAATGTTCCAAATAACCCTGACCCATTTTTGCTCGACCTCTAATGATGCGATTGCATTCGTGATCTTGACACAACATGATAAAGATTCACATTATTATGTTTCTGTGTAAGTAGGTACTTAATATATAAAATATAGAAGAATCATATAAGGTGAACCGCAGAAATGCTTATATTTTGACAGAAAAAAAAAGATACTTCTGCTACCAATAACAGCTAAGAATCAGTGGAAATGAGGAAAAAGACGGGGAAAATTTGTCATCTTTGAGTTTTCATTTTAAGCGCTGCGAAAACGGTTCAAGATACTCGAAATATATGTGGGGAAGATCTAAAAAAAAGCACGGGGACAGCGTAATGTCTACATTATTATTTACACGAATTTACAAATTATTTTAAGTACATCCCGGGCTTCCGGATTTGTTAATAAGTTTAAATTGGTTGGAGCAACAGATCGATACGCTGTGGGTGCCGGTTCAAGTCCTAGCTGTGTTGTAAAAATTATCTAAAATCGATTTTCCATCTTATTAAAGTTTTTAAATACTTGACTTGCCTGGATCGTGAAATGGGACAAACACGAAATCCGCAATAACATTGCTGTCTTCCAACGCCGTCTTCAATATCATTTCTGCGCCAGCCCTCAACTGCCTCAGATCATTGGCCATCGACATAGTGGTATCGAAAACGAACACGAGACTGCTTTTACCGTCATTGTCGGCTGTACTAGACACAAAAGTATTTGACATGAGCATAAGAAATACTACCGAAAACATGATAGTCGCGCAAATTACGATCTAATAATGATTGCGAGTAAGCAGATGTGGTTGACCTATGACAGTATAATCGATGTGAGCTAGAACTGTGATTGTTTCGTATCCTTATATTTTTTGTGAACAAGGCTTTACAGATAAACTTCACTAATTGATTTTTTATGGTAGATGACACACAACCACTTGATGGTAGGAGTACCCCAGCCATATAACATCTAAAGAAGATGACTTCATGATCTGAGAAGCTGTCGACCTATGTTGACTTTTAAATACAGACATCAGAAAGAAATCGCATGGACGGATTTGCGATTCGATGAGTAGCTATATCTCCGTGTGGACGGTGATTCAAGAACAAAGGGACGTAGTTAGAAAATATTAACCGTACGGATCACAATTATTTATTATTAGTTATTAGCCACACATTGCTACCATTACACACGAGCCCGTCAAATGTTTGATGATAATTTTTTTTCACAGCCAGGGGTATATCTCCGAAAGCTGGAAACGATCATATCATAGGGGTAAAACTAAAATATGTGTGTGTAAATGTTCGTTACCATTGTGAAGATATATACATTATTTGTCAGTACATTTATATATTAACAATAACCGCGTAATATACGGGGTGAAAATGAAGTGTTAGAAAAATAGAAAATATTTTCCCCCTTTTTTTGATTTTATGTACACTCAAACTCCCCAAAAACACTACATGTCTTTTGGTGGTTGACCTAAACGGCATGCTTTGAAATCAGAATCAATTTCTAAAGATTCATGAATTTTTATGCATAATGCGTACAACACCACGTATGCTTTAAAATTCACGTTTATGAACTAATTCTGTTGAATAAAAGACAATTTAAAAATAAAATCTTTATTAAAATTCACACTTTTCTAAGACATATTTACCTACTTATAGAAAACAACACGGGGCTTCCCAGAAAAATGCTCAAAATTTTAATCAATACAATTATTGCTCTAAAATACATTTATTAAAATAATTATTCTAGCATTAAAACTGTTTAAAATGTCATATTAAATATTTGATGCAATATGAATAATCATATTTAGCCTTTACAATATATATGGCAATTCTACTTAAAAATAAAATATTGAACCGTTATATTGGATTTAGTTAGTTATTGTTGCTGATTGCTTCAGCTAACTTAACCTTTACTTTATTTTCGGGACCAGTAAAAAATTGTATTGGGTCTTCACAATTCAAGAAAACAATTTATCAAAGCCCTTGCCAAGGCAGTCTACTCAGTAGTCAGTAGTCGTTTTCTCTACTCAGACTAAACATGCGACTCAGTGAAGTCCCGCCTTTGCAATACAAAAAGTTCCGATGTCTTTAAAAAGTTGAGCAGTACTTATGCTAACAATTAACGTTCTATACTAGGCTTATTAAAATAATTGCAATTCAACTAAGTATTGCGTCGAATTATCCAGAACTTTCCAAAACATTAGAGCTAAATACAGAAAATAATAATTTGAATATTGCAGATGTCATTAAAAAGGTTAAATATCGGTGGTTGTCAATCTTAGGAGTTAAAAAGCAGTCTACAATAGATAAAGGTAATCGCACATTTGTCGTATCAAGCGGCATGTGCAGCGCGTACGCCGACTGATCTGCGACTACCTTAAACGAAACGGTTTATTCTATAGTACTACACAAGTTAAACAATGCTTTGGCAAGTATATAACGAAACACTTACTATTTGTATTAAACTACTTCAAGTCTTTATTATTAATTTATTAGTCATTGTGGTTGAGATATTTTGTTTTATAGAACTAAAACTGAATTTTGCTACAAAATTATTTTTAATATCAAGTTAAAAACGTTAGTCGGAAAACGTATTAAAATGCATCAAAATTAGAATAAAGCTATAAATCCTCAAACCAAAACTAAACCTAAATAAAAACTTGATAAGTTATTAATGTTAGTAAATAATAATCGCGTTTTAATCCGTTGTATTTTATATACTAATGTAAATATAGTTATATCAACTTTAAGAAGAAATATTACTTATATTTTTGTCATATTGCCTCATGTAATGATTCCATATTTCATAATATGAAATGCTTTGTATTGAAGATTCCTTTTCAAATGTTTATTACAATTTCAGCACCTAGAAATTATTATTTAATAATTATTGGTCTCTATAAAATATTATATGAAAATAATTAGAAATAAAATGAATTGAAGAATAATTAAAATAAAACCGACCTGTCAAGTCGATAATTCTGAATTCACTTTTTCATATAAGGCTGTCGTCGCCTATAGCATCGCTTACTAGCCGTATGTCGTCTTGTTGTCTCTTTCTAAAGATGGTGTTTAGAAGTCGGAGTTCAAAAGCTTAACACCGCTTACTATCGTATAAAAGTGTAGATGTCTCTTTCTAGACGTTAGCGTTTAGTAAACTGAATGCAAAATCATCGAATTATATTTTTATTATAAACATCCAACTTCGGCAAGTACAAAAAAGACATCTTTTAGCCATGGTCTGTAGATAATTGCCAATAGGATTTTGACGCAAAGTAACGCGTTACTCTATACAAGGCTATATTAAGAACAGGTGAAAATATAATTAATCTTATAATTGTATAAGGCTTCGGCGGCCATTTAATAAAAATTGAGTTGAAAATCATAGTCAAGGAACGCTTTTTGCATTCAATTCTAATGGCGATAAATCGTAAACCATATCTCGATATGGACTGTTAGAAAACTCAAGAAGCTATTGATTAGCTTTATTTTACAACTTAGCACGATAAAAGCTCGTTTGTCACTTTTTAGTTTGGAAGACAAACCCAAAACCTGTACAGCCTTACCGTCCAAGAACAACAAAACACTTTTATTTTGTACATGATCTCATTCTTCTTTCCTGTACCTATCATCGGTTATTTTGAACCTTACACCTAAATAGTGAGAAGAATTCGATTTTTCTAACTACAGATGGCGTTAGACTAACAACCACAATGAAGAACTACACTAAACTCAACATTTAACGGTTTAAAACACGACAGATATTGATAAAGTTATTTTTGGTGGTTACGTACGGCTCTCCTAAAGTAATATAAATTGTGTTTGAAACCGTTAAAGTTGTCTACTCGCGTAGAGTACAGGCTATAACCAATTTCTGATCTCTTTGATATTTACTATTATCCGGTATATACCAGTAGATTGATCGGAAGACATGCCATCAAAATGTGGTGGTGGATGAATTGAAATTGTTATTATTTCCGGTTCTTAATTAACTAGATAATATCAATCACCCGTATATTGTTCAAATCGTCTATTTTAAAACTAAATGTCGTATTTTCAATTTATCAAATCGATAATATAAGGTAGGCGGTGTAGTATGAAGTCGGTACAAGGATTGAAATATACTCTTTTACCAAGTTTTCGCCCATAAACTCTTCTAGCGGGAGGTCAGGACGGCGTTGCAGATTATAGATCCTACTATACTTGTCCGGTTCCAGTTGTTCGACGCTCAACCCGCTCGAACACCAAGATGTTTTTTCCCACTTCGCCCGAGGGAAACTGAGAAAAAAAGCAATCGATAAATACAATTAATATCGAACTTAAAAAATTGTCGCAAGTGAGACTCAAACTAACGGCGCTGTTGTCGCCTGTTTCCGTCGTTATCAAATTTACTTAGACGTGGCAATGATTAAGTTTCAAAAATCAATGGGAACGCTTACAAAATATACACTACTTAATTTTGAAATTTGCTCTTTTTAAGACGAAGGACGTTTGAAATGTTTAAAAATTCCAATAAAGTATATGAAAGGTTTAAAAACGCAAAATATATTGTAAATGAGTTTACAAATTCTTTTACGTATTAAACCATTGAAAGTTTAAAAATCGAAAATAAATTGAAAAAAATTTCGACTCGGGCAGGACTTAAACCGGCATCGTCAGCTTTCCGTGCTGTTGCTCTACCAAAAATTTTTTCAATTTATTTTTGATTTTTAAATTATATAGTGCCTTCATGTGCAATAACATGTGAAAAATATTAATGTTTTCAAACGTTATAACTTTGTAATTTCATCTTCAATGATTTCTTTAAGCTGCAAAGCATAAGACGTTAAACCTTAACACGGAAGTGTTAAGGTTGAAATTTACACTGCGCGAGAGGTGCATGTATCATTATAAACACGATGAGGTGTAGGACTCGGTAGCTCAATTGGTAGAGCGCACGGAGAGCTGACGATGCCGGTCCAAGTCCTGCCCGAGTCGAAAATTTTTTCAATTTATTTTTGATTTTTAAATTATATAGTGCCTTCATGTGCAATAACATGTGAAAAATATTAATGTTTTCAAACGTTATAACATGTATCAATAAGTTGAAAATTTGTAATTTCATCTTCAATGATTTCTTAAGCTGCAAAGCATAAGACGTTAAACTTAACAGGAAGAAGGTTCGACATTACACTGCGCAGAGGTGCATGTATCAAAGATGAAAAAATTCGACGATGAGGTGTAGGACTCGGTAGCTCAATTGGTAGAGCAACAGCACGGAAAGCTGACGATGCCGGTTCAAGTCCTGCCCGAGTCGAAATTTTTTTCAATTTATTTTCGATTTTTAAATTATATAGTGCCTTCATGTGCAATAACATGTGAAAAATATTAATGTTTTCAACCATTGAAAGTGTTTTATTTAAATGTGTACTACTTCCGTACAGACAATACTTAAGGATATATATTTATGTATATATAACCAATTATTATGAGAAACAATCTAATAATAATAATATTCTTATTATAACTAACACAGATATTGAGTTTGTTTGTGATCTAATATTAAATTTTTTCTAAAGACTATAAATCCAGCAACACCACGGAACGCTGTGGATGCCGGTTCAAGGCCTGACCGTGTCGTAATTTTTTATAAGTTAAAATCGATTTTTTATTTACATTGTGCCATCTTGTGCATGCAAGCATCAAGTACAAATAAGAGAATGTGTCGCGAAATATATTAGTTAAACTTATGTGAAAATTTCCCTTAGCCTTATTTCCATTATCCAACGTTTCGTATGCTTTGCAGCAGACGTGGACACGGGGAGATTTTCTTATAAGTTTAACTAATATATATCGCGTTTTAAACCGTTAAAGTGTTTTATTTAAATGTGTGCGCTACGCGTAACGTACAGACAGTATTCAAGAGAGACGTTTACCTGTGTATGAGGTAGTTCATATAACAGCTGATATCTTTCCAAGAGAGACTCTACTCTTCCTCTCAGCACGTCGAAAAGCACGATCAGTGTCGGCGGCTGCTTTGTAGAGTACTCTTTACTCCACCACGTCTGTGGATTATTGAAGAACGTCTCGGACTCGTAGGTTTTACCGGGTGGTGGCGGTGAACAGTCTAAATAACGGGCCGTTACGTTTGTATGGAGGTGGCTGCAAATAAAGAAAGTTTACAATAGATTATATAAAATCAAATTGGTCCTTGAATATATATGTTATAAGCACCGCTGCAACATTCGAGTTAAAATAATAAATATCTTTATTTAGCATTCATTTAATACACGTAGTAGTAGAATTAAATGTAATTACAAAAATAAGAAATACAAAAAATTTATATTAACAAATAAGTTAACTAGTATAATTCGCGTTTTAAGCCGTTTTTTACATGTGCAATTTCGAAAACTACACATACTTATTAAAAAATCACAAAATTAGCAAAACTTAAATAACATCTTGGGGTGTGCACATTTTTATGTCTGTTTAAGATGAGTTTCCTCAGGACTTGAACCCAAGACTTCTAACACTAAAAGAAATGCTAAACGGTATTCAATGACTTGAAAACTTTTGCCTTACTCCTATTTCTTTTTCAAATGTAAAATCATACTATTGTTATATAAAGTAACAAATTTATTACCTGTACAGTGGTGTAGAGTGGCAAGGCATCATAAATAGCAAAGAGGTCCTATTGTGAGGAATTGCTTCCCGGAGTAATGGCATCACCCTTGTACTCGCTCCCTGGTGCAGCAGACCAAAGTAAACACTTGGTAGAGCGTTGCCCACAAGCAGAACTGTTGCCAGCGTGTACAGCTGCCATCTGAAAATTGATAATTTACATAGTTTAAAGTCCAGTTAGGGGGATGTGAGCCAAATTCAATTCAGGTATATAAAAATCACGTTTAAACGCGAAATATTAATCATATTAGTTAATTAATGTATTACTATGAACCAGTGTTCCAGATGCTTCCAACAGCCATGGTAACACGAGAAGAGACCATTGGTTGTAGTGATAAAACCGTTTCAATTCTGGTTTATTTTACTATGAACTTTATCCTCTAATAAATCATGTTTACAACAGACATACCTCTTGGCTTTTCTACTCCACGGCACCACCACACTCTGAGCTAAGTATAGCAATATTGGAAGTAATGGCAACACAAATCTAAACTCCTTATGAGGTATGCAACTGCAACAAAACATTTATATATAAAAAAAATATAAGTACATATTTTTAATTGTTTTTATTTCCTAAATACACACATAATTGAATAAATTACCTGTGTAATCCTACATGCACTGCTGCTGCTGCCAAAAGAACTGCACCTATTATATTTTCTTTGGGTCTTTTCACTACTGAAATCGCACCCCATAACACTAAGGGTAAAGTCACCCCCAAAACTGCTGGTAGACCTTGACTTATATACCAGTGCCTGAAAAACAATTATACATACATTATGGTACAGCATTATGATATTATCTTGGTGATAATACAGAATTTATAACAAAAATGTTTAGTTTCCCACACAAGACCGAGCTAATCAGTTATCTATTACACATGTATAATAAGAAATAAAGTATTTTAGTGTACATTTTATATTTAAGATTTTTTAAAGGTTTCCTTTATAAAGCTGTTTAAATCGAGAAAGAAACTAGTAATATATAACTTACCATGGATGTGTTCCATAGAATGATCCAACATCTTGCAAGACATTGTATTGGAAGAATTCCCAGGGTGTAACTATCAGTTTTCCATAAAAGTAGGTGTCAAGAGCCACTAAACTGCCTCCGGCTATCAAACTAGAAGAAAGAAAAAAATTGTATGGCAATGGGAACAGTCAGTAAAACAATATTATGACACTAATGCTGAATCACACCTTATGGGTAAATATTTCTTTAGTATAAGTGCTTTTCCTTGATTTGTAGTCAATAGATTGTAGATTCCAAGTACAAGCCACAAAGGAGCCGAGGTTGGTCTCACAAATACGGATACTACAGCAAGCCATATCCATCTATTGTCCTCTGCAATTAAACATACATTAATTTTAAGGAAATATCATACTTTTACGTTAACTAAAACAATTAAACAAGTACAAAATAATAAAAATATAGGGAGCAAACAAAGGTATAATACCATAATATTTCCTTAAATCTGTAACACATTACCTTGTTCATATTGAGCCAACTTTCCTGCTTTAAATGGAAATATTGATAGGGCAACAGCAACCAGGGCCGTTTCAAATGTTTGTAATAGTGTCCGACTGGCTGTGTAAAACCAAAACCAAGATGTTAAAATTAGGAATAAAGCCCACTTTCTGTTCCCTGTCCATTTGTAGAAAGAGTAGTCTGCGTAAGAACTAATAATGGCCTGAAGAATTCTGGGAGATGTTGCCTGAGAAAAAAAATAGTTAGTGCCACTTTATAAAATCAATTTCTCAATAGATAACATTTTATATTACATTCACTTGCCTTTTAAGTAAATAATATAAAAACTTACCACAACTTCAGGGTAGTCCAATGAAGTAAATTTCAAAATGGCATAAATCGCCGATACGAAACTTGGATATAAGTAGTTTCGAATGCCTTTTTGCCACTCCCAAGTGAGGGCTCCATATCCAAAAACATGTTTATGTGCCACCTCCAAAGTTTGCCAGTACTCATCTGGTACATACCACGTTTGCACCAGAAACACTGACAATATTCTCACAAATAATATAATCGAGAACACCTGGAGCGGCCTCAGTCCCTTCGCCAAAGCCATTCTCCCGCCTAAAAGAGGTTACTTTAGTTATAAATAGATCACTTTGCAAACACGGCTCTTAGAGAACTTTATAAATCATTACTTCATTGTATTTAATAAAAAAAAATTAGTTTCATACAATTAAAAATAGACGCTATCAGGTAAAAATAAGTTCGTTGTATCTAAGCGTAGTGTCAACTATCGCGTCCCCTGATTAGCGGGAAAGTTGAATGAATAACATGTATTTTATAAATAAAAACTACTGTACAAAAGGAATAGATGACTAATGGTCCATTAAATAAAAGTAATTGTTATGTACATTTACGATTTAATTATAGTTTGGAAAATTCTCTACTAACCTCAATAAATACACCGCCACCGAAAAATACTAGTGACGTATTACTACTAACGTACGAATAATTAATAGACATGGCTGTGTAATCGTTTTAATCGACGTTGTCAAATCGGTTAAAAAGTGCTGCATTTGTTTTTTAATCACAAAAGGAATGATATGATAATATTTTTGAGCATCAGCTAATTATATAACTTTTATGCATCCAAATAAAGCTTAGTTATGATTTGTAACCCGAATCTTATTCGCAAATCATAAGTAGGATTCTTTACAATCGAACTCACCTCAACAATCATCGATTTGTAAATAAGACACTATGTCTGGGTTCCAGTTCACGATCTTATGATATATTCATTTTCTAATAAGAAATAATGTATTCTAGTGTACAGTTTATATTTGAGATTTTTTAAAGGTTTCCTTTAAAAAGGAAAATAATGTTTATTGCGCAAACACTGCATACACTTTTAATACCAAACGTCATATTTTAATATGTAATAGATAGTATAAACGGAACGGTACCGTAATGTTGATTGTTGATTGAAAAAGGTGCATCGAATAACATTTATTTAAAATTTAAAATGCTCTAAGAATTCCAAAAATGGGTAGGTGTCGTTATGTATATTTGAATAATTTATTTCTTAAATACGGTTCTTTCCTTATCTTTCCTTTGTAGAGCATTCCAAAGATGAAACGTTGGACTTATCGAGGCGTGGGCTGAAGAAAATAGAGAAAGCACCACCAGAAGAAGCGAAAACGATCATCAATTTCATTCTTGACGAGAATGAACTACAACGCTTGGATAATCTTGACACGTACAACCGCGTTGAAAATGTACAGTTTTATTGTAGTACCTTTCATTATTTAATTGTACTAGTTAATAGTTTTGCTTATCCGAGATTTATTAAACGGATGAACTTATAGTATTTTTACCAATTCTAAAATTTTCAGTTATCAATATGCAACAACTTTTTGCTAAGAATGCATGGTGTGTCTCGGCTGACAAATATCAGAGTTCTCTCCCTGAATAACAATGGAATTTTGCAAATAGAGGGACTAAAGGATATGATCTATCTAAAAGTATTAAAACTAGCCGGTGAGTAGATTTAAATTATAAAACAACAGTGATTTAAGAAATTTCATTGCATTCATATTTACAGGTAATAATATAAAGTCGATTGAACATCTCAATCACAACATGCATTTAGAATATTTGGATCTGTCGAGTAATCAGATATCATTTATAGCTGATATTTCTTACATGAAGCATCTTAAGGTCAGTTTTACTAGACAGTATAGTTTTAGTTAATACTCTGAGTCTAGTTTATGTAAGTAGACTTGATTCATTGAAAAATTCATTACAATCATACTAGCATAGTAGCTCTTTGACTTCACAGATTGATGATGATATTATAATAATAATTATTATATACAACTATAATCATAATCTTAATACATAAATATTACTTTCTCCTAAAATCTGAATACATAAATATTACTTCTCCTATAGCTCAAACAAATGGAGATATAACTACCGAATTTGTCATTTCCGAGCACTTATTTACTTCATTCATAAACTAAAGTGTACATAGATTTTTTTATCCTTGCTCAGGCTCGATAAGTTAGAGTTCCAATTCAATCTATGTAGATTCCTTTAAATGAAGCTTAGTTGTACCTTTCATCTTCCAGCATTTAAGCTTAGAGCGCAACCGAATAATGGACTTGCGTCAATGTGACAGATATCTGCCCCCGCAGCTAACACACTTGGGGCTAGCCCATAACAACATTCCTGATTTGAATGAGGTATCTTTTTTGGTACACCTAAACGAATTGGATAGTTTCACAATACAAGGAAACCCATGTGTCGCTATGGCAGGAAAGGATAAATTGTATCCTTTGATGAAAAAAATATTATATATAAATGGTTTAACATTTAGTTATGCTGGGTTGGAATCATGAGGACTAGAAGCCAAATGACGTCTAAATAATGTGCACACTATTTTAGGTTTGGAGATTCTGATATAGAAATGCGAATGAAAACATGAATCCATCAAACCCACAGCCTATTGATTACTATGATTTTACTATAGTTAGACAACATAAATAAGAATACTTCACATTCAAATGTGCACATCATTTATATGTATAATGAATGTGTAAATAGATGATGTAGGATGCAGGTTGCCTTTTGATGTTTATCTTTACCATATCTGTAGAATTACAATTATGTGCATTACATTCAATGGATGTGCTTATATTTATTAAGGGTTTTCAACAGCTAAAATAAATTACAATACAGAGCTTTGAAAATAAACCACAGGTTATAAATAGAATCGAAAATGAAAAGTGTGTGAGTGCAAGTTTGTATCTGTGTAGTCTTAAACATATATTACTAGGGCATATCTTTCCTTTTAACATATTTGTTAACAATATAATTTTTCTAACACTATAATACAGAGGTTTTGACTATCGTCCATTTGTTCTCAATTGGATCATGAGCGTCAAATCTATAGATGGTTTTATCGTCAGTGCTATTGAAAGGTAATCTAACTTCAACTATTATAAAATAAATATAAAGCAATTTAGCTTAGTCGAAAAAAAAAACTTACACAGACCACACGTACATTAAATAAACGCCGGTTTAAACAGCGACATGTGAATGTTTAAATAATATACATAACGGTTTAAAACGCGATGTATTTAAACTTATTTGGTGATTATTTTTAATTACGGCCTGACGTTTAAGATTCTTTGCAACAGCTGTGGTCACGGCGAGTCTCTGAAACATCGCGGACTTTGCATTTTAAATGGTTAAAGTGTTTTATTCAAATGTGTACTACTCGCGTAAACTACAGATAGGATGTAAAGGTTAGGCCATTGCTAACCACGATCATACATTTTTGATGTTAGCAGTGGTCCTGGGTTGCCTCAGACAATACATAGTAAACATACTGGTAGTCCATGTATGTATAAAGGGTATATTGTTGTTTCTAGTTTAAAAGCTGAGTGGTTGTACAGTCAAGGCAAGGGACGTCATTTTAACGCGGGCCAACACCGGGAGCTATGCGAGTACTTGGCCTCCACATGCCCACTCACAGCTGACGCCCTTGAGACAGAAGATCAAAGGAAACTCAGACTTATACTGAGCAAGGTAAGGTATACATTTGTATCGTATTGGGTATCCTGAATCATTAAGTCTTTTTGATCAAGCCCTGTCAAATGATTATTTAGTTTAAAATGTTACCGTAGGCAATAAATAACTTAATTATTGAACTACAGGCGCAACACCATCAACAGCAGTTGAAGGATCAAAACCATAGTCCCAATAAACCAAAATTGCAGTCGCCAAGAATGCAAGGTAAATAATTAAACCTATACTAATTTAAATAAAACCTTAATTGAAACTTATTTAAAAATCGGCCCGACGTTTCGAATAAAAATCATATTCAAATAAGTTTGACGAATATATCGCGTTTTAAAACGTTAAAGTGTTTTATTTAAATGTGTACTATTCGCGTAAACTATAGACAGTATCTATACTAATATTATAAAGCGGAAGAGTTTGTTTGTTTAATCGCGCTAATCTCAGAAACTACTGGTTCGAATTTCAAAGTCCTCTTTGTGTTGGTTAGAACATTTATTGAGGAAGGCTTTGAAGTCTGCAATTAATAGGAGCGAAGAAACAGTGGAATTTGTGAAAATTTACTCATTGAGTGCGCTGCAAAAACAATTCAATAAACCAAATAAAAAAAGAAATAAATGATCTAGAAAATATCTGTATATGTCTATAATTTAAGATTAACTTGCGCCGACGTCGTGGGTAACAGATAGTATCAAATACGTACACACGTATTGTCTGTTTTTCACGCGAGTAAAGCGAGACACCAGACGATCTACATCTTCGGCAAACACACGTGATCACGGCCATTGCAAAAGCATCGGAAACGTTGCCTTAGTTAAAATAAATTGATTAAACCGTTGTAAGTTGTTTGAATTAAAATAACTACTAACACATATTTTATTTCGCCAGCTCGTATCGCCCCACGCCATATGGGTCGATCGCCAGACCGCCTCAGTTCGAGCTACCACGCCTCTGTGTCTCGGACTTCGTCCCCCGCGCCCCATCCGCCGTCGAACAACGTCATGTCGATGTCTTGCTCGGAGCTGCCTGCCCGTGAAAATCACCATGATAGACGAGGTACATATATGAAAATTTTATATAGTTTAAAAATCGAAAATAAATTGAAAAAAATTTCGACTCGGGCAGGACTTAAACCGGCATCGTCAGCGTTCCGTGCTGTTGCTCCTGAGCGCTGACGATGCCGGTTCAAGTCCTGCCCGAGTCGAAATTTTTTTCAATTTATTTTCGATTTTTAAATTATATAGTGCCTTCATGTGCAATAACATGTAAAAAATAATAATGTTTTCAAACTCTATATAGATTAAAATTCCAAAACAAATTCAAATAAAAAATTACGACTCGGGCAGGACTTGAACCGGGATCGTGGGCGTTCCGTGATTTTGCTCTAACCAATTGAGCTACCAGGTTCCACACCTCTCTCGCGCAATGTAATTGCGCATTTTTTTAACCCAATTTCTGTTGCAGATGACATGGGAGACAATTATTGAAATGTATTTAGTATTTTTACTTACAAAAATACTTGTTTTGACTTGTTAGTAGCGGCTTGCTACTTAGGACAAAAACTAAAGCCAGATTTGGTTAGCCTTTCTCGAATTATAAACTTTTTGAACAAAAACTATTTTTTATTAATTTAACCCACCAAAAATCAACACAAAGTTCAACTGAACGGTTAAAACGTGAAATATGTTCGTCAACTTATTGTTAACGTATTCAGACAAAACTTTATTTATTTATTTTATTAAGTTCAAATTTATCCTTAGTTTCAGAACAACATCACCCACATCATCAACACCAGAATCAACACCAGAATCAATATCAAAACCAACAGCAACCTCAAAATCAACAAGCGAATCTCCCAAACCAGCCTTTGGAAGCTGCCTCCAAAATGGTGCCAGTACCAGAATCTCTAATGAGTCCAGACTACCAAGACCCCATTTATGACATACAAAAGACTTTGCCAAAGAGTTCGGTTTCGAATTCCTCACAATCTAGTAATAGCAGTCTTCAAGAGGAGAAGAGGAGAAGAAGTCTGAAGGGATCACCACGGCTTTGTAAAAGGTACTTTTGGGAATGTATACCTTACTCTAGCCCTTGCACACGACGTCCTTCGTGTCATTCTTTTGAGTTAATATTAAAAGATAGACGTATAATTTTGAGGAATTTTTTTTAGAGTATTTAAATAAAAATAATCATTTTTACTTATTCTTTTTTTCTACGGAATCTCTGAAAATTTTCCCTGTTTATTCCACATTTAGCCTAAAGCTTTCATCGATAAAACAAACCAGTTCTTGAGATTAGCGCGTTCAAACAAACAAACTCTTCAGCTAGGTTTTATATCTGTAACAAAACGTGAGTAGTAGGGAAGAGCGATGGTTTTCAATCTATTTAACAATATTTTATTTTTAAATAAGAGTTAAATAATATAACATAGTCGATATCACTTAAAAGCGATGTTTGTTTGTATGTTTATTCAATTCTCTGTATTGAATGACAAAATAATTGACTCCAGCGCAACGTCATCTCCGAAATTGAGAACAAAAATGGAGCAACGCAACGGAAAAGCGGAGCCAAAAACAGAAAAAGAAAAACTGAATGGCATCACACAAGAGAAAGACAAAATAGACCCAGATAAGTTGGAAGTGATTAAGCTGGCGTCGAATCAGCGTCGCCAGAAGAAGATGAGCGTTGAGAACATGGCTGCCACCACTATACAGCGAATGTGGAGAGGGTATAGAAGTCGGAATCTCAATAAGGACACCATGAGGATACTTCACGCAATACAAGCAGCTCGAGCAAGGCAGCATATACAGTAAGTATTGTGATAAAGCGAATAAATACTGTTTGTAGTTTACGCGAGTAGTACACATTTTAATAAAACACTTTAACGGTTTAAAACGCGATATAAATTTGGTAAACTGATTTTAAAATTAATTTACCCGCGGCCTGAAGTTTCGGATGCTTTACAGCAGCCTTTGTCACGGGGAGACGGATATATATCGCGTATAGAGATATGATTTTTGACATTTCATTTTCATCTTGATCGTCAACTGTCGTAACATATGAAATTTACCGACCGAAATTTTCAGACATTTTGAAGGTAGTCGTACTTATTTGTGATTTTGCTTCTTTGAGACGCTATTAGTATGGTGGACAAATTTACTAAGTACAACATAGATTATACAACTACACGACACTTTTCTCACCAGTATAAAATAGTGTGGTGTATAATGATTAAAAACTGCTTAAAGTCCAACATTTAAATGAAACACTTTTTAACGGTTCAAACGCGATGTGTATCAAACTTATTTACAATTTATGTTAACTATGGCTTAACGTTTCGTCTCATTTAACATTGAAAACTTCACATTCTGTACTGTTATTTCCTAATACGATTTTGTGCCATTCGTCTGACAGTCTTACATGCTTACATATAGACAGATAAGATTATATACCCAATATTTGTTCTTTCCAGACGATTAACTTGTGACATGGAAGCAACTAAAGCAGCGTTAGAGAGTGAAAGAAAAATACAGCAACTACAGATGCAGGCCATCAATGCCCTCTGGAAGAAAGTCTCAACTTTACAAGCTCCAGGTATGTATAAAAAAAGAGTTTGAAGTGCAGATAGTGGATTAGGGATCTTCACATCCTTAAATGAAGTTAAGACATAAAAAAATACATATATATATAAAAAAAAAAAAAAAAAATAAAAAAAAAAAAAAAAATAAAAAAAAGTAATGCATTTTATATATAAAAATGACACATTTACACAGCAATGTTTAATAGGCTAATGATCAATGGGTCGTGGGTTTCGATGCCCACCAGGTCCAACATTTTTCAAATTTTTTAATATATAATTTTTCTGACCATGCCGGACTTCCTCTGGAAACTTGATTAAGAAGACGTGCTGCTGAATGGCGTTTCGATTACAGTCTGTGGGTTTCCAAATATCCAAAACCAAAATAGGTCGAAAGTCATCTTGTTTAGATGCTATAGGCTGGGCTATATCACGTGACCTATCTACTAAGTAACGTCAATCATGTGAAGCCTATGCCATATTTGACCTCCTCTACCATTAAAAACAATCCTATTGGATGAAGCTTATTTCATAAATATGTATTACTTAAATACTGTCTATAGTTTACGCGAGTAGTACACATTTAAATAAAACACTTTAACGGTTTGAAACGCGATATATTAGTTAAACTTATTTGAAAATGATTTTAACTAATATATCGCGTTTTAAACCGTTAAAGTGTTCAATTAAATATGTATTACTTATGCTTTTTTATACTTATGGTCTTTATTCAAGTACTCTTTGTTTTTAGATATGCACAAACAGAAAATTCCCGACTTAGACGATAATTCCGAAGTACTCAGGCAGCTTACAGAAACATGCTTTAATTTACAATCACAGGTAATGTTTTTTATATATAATATATTAATTATAACGGCGACTCGCGCGCTCTCCAAAGCACGAGGGTGATGATACCTCCTAAATTAACTATGGGTGTTTCTAGAAACTTCTATTCCAAATACTGAAGTAACATTTTATCGACCTACGATTCGAATTTGACACCTCGTGATTTGCAGTCGACTGCTTTAATTGCTACTCGAGGCTTTGCTTCTTAAATAACATTAATAAAAATAAGTATGTGTAAACGCTAATTTTGACAACACAAAATTATTTCACATTTCTCAACACTTACATTCAAAAAATTATTAACCATAGCACACACAGTCAAACAACTCTCACTAAGAATAATCACAGATACCAAACAAAAAATACCAACGGCCTATCACTACCACAGCCTCGAACTAATTACGGATTTTATAATTATAAGATTGAAGGGGGCTGATCTGTACAATAATTTACCTGAAGGTATAAGAAACACACCGTCAATGAACATCTTCAAAAAATCATTAAAGTTCCATTTTAGAATAAGAATTACACTTAGTCTAAATGATGAAAATTAGCATTTTTGAGTTGAAATCCTGAGTTAATCGATCGTGTAATTGACGAATCAAAATTTAGCAATTGACTTATATGTACAACTTCCTTTTGCTCCAGTTTTTTGAATTATGTTCATGATCCGACTCTATAGGTGGAAGAGTTACGTGGATGCATGCGCGAAGTACTCCGCGCCGTGAAATCTACCAGCGGGGAACAACGCGCAACACAAACAGACATCACAGCATTGACGACACCACAGGTATATTTTGTTTGGTTTGCATTTAGTATGGGTTAGGACACATTTTTGAATCTTATTCACTGGTCAATTTTATTTATAGGTATATGCTCTGCGGCTTATGTGGACACTGTTGTTCTACATTAATATATCAATTAGCAAGTTACTGACGTCTGAAGTCTCAATTTAGCTATCGCCAATATTCGGCGCGGTCTTCGCCTTGCATAGCAATGATCTTTTGGCTTATTTTATGAATATCTATTAATATTATTCTTAAAATATAAAAAAAAATCCAACCAGTCCAACATGGTTCTTCTAATAACTTTATATTTTTTTCTGACACATGTTGGACTTAGTCTGGAAATCTGGATGTTAAATGGGTGTTTGGAATATTGTAATTTCGACTGGGTGAAATGACAAATGAAAGCTGTCAAATTTAATCGCGTTTCGGTTTCAGTCTGTGGATTTCAAATATCCAAAGTCAAAATAGGTCGATAGGGCATCTGGTTTAGATGTTATATGGCTGGGTTATTTCACCTGCTATCAAGTGAACGTATTGTGTTTTTTACTACTTTCTTTTTTCCTTTACAGGAAGAACGTGTTAGCTGGCTTCGCCGACCACAGTCGCTGGCTCTTCCTGCCACCTCGCCACTGCCTGACGTGTAAGTTTTCTCTAATTTATTGTTTCTAGTGACTAGTATCAATCGGGGGAATAAATTTATTAATTGCTGTACGATAATATACAGAATATAATAATATAACACCTAACGGTTTAAAACGCGAAATGTATTAGTTCAATTATTTATAAATTCTTTTAACTATAGCTCGTCGTTCGGATGCTTTGCAGTAGCCGTGATAAGGGAGAAAATCAAATAGGGGGTTTTCTTATATCAAAACTGCTACGTTAGCGCCATCTGTTCCGTCGTAGTTGGTATTTGGCAATACTGGCTGGGTCCTTGCGTCTATCGATATGCTGCTTTTTAACTATCCTACAAATTTGAATGAGATCTTATATTAATTAAGACGAAAGTATTCAATAAAAAAAAATATTTCTAGGCTTAATTGTTATCTTGTTTCAGCGACAAAACTGAAAGTGACTCTTTGAACATTGAGAGAACAGAATCCGTCATAGAAGAACAACAACCGAGCATAGATACATAACTCGAACGAGAAGTGATCGCCGATTGATAAATATTGTCTATGGATTAGACCGTTATCGTCTATGTGAGGGGAATTACTCGTTATATTTTTTAATTATACTCTGCGTAATACAGGAATATGAGTTTGACATTTGACAATCGAATACTAATTTTTAATAGTCTGTGGATGTTCGAATATTTAAACAATCTGAAAATATAATCGAAGAAAATGTTAAAGTACGATATTATTTGTACAAAGCAGTGAAACTTATCATCCTATATTAAACACAGTATGCGTTTAGAGAAAATATTGTTAGTATTTATTGCGACCTCAACTTTTATAATTGCTAAAAGGCCTCTAAATTTGTCTTGCCGTATGGAAACTATCGAGATAATTCTCTTCATGCAATTATAAGCTTTATTATTTAGTCGATAAGGTCGATGTGGTACGCGCTTTGCCGCTTCTTTCATTGCACGTTTCCGCCTTATTTTATATTTAAAGTGTAAGTGAGACTGCGTCTCATAAATGTGATGGGATTAGGCTATAATGTAATGTAAGTGAAAAATCATTAAGGATTTAAGTAAGGGCAACACAACTAGAATCAAAATAACCTTAAAATTTTAATTTCACTCGAAATAAGCACTTATGGGCCCTTCTTTTAATCGCGTGGTGTTTTAATAGGGGGGGGGGGGATTTAATAATAAGTGGGTTTATTTATTTTGTTAACCCAAAAGCGTTAAACATTGAAATTTCAGTAGTAGTAGCTTTACAAAATAAACCTTATACATGTAAGGAAACCTTCCCCTTTTATTTTGACAAACTCCAGTTAAATAAACCCCAAATATATAAATATTTAAAAATATCACGTGATTAATAATCGGTCCCTCTAAAAAATTTAATATAATAAACCAAAATCATTTATTAATGTAGGTAGCTGAGCTAGATAAACAAAAATATAAATTAGATATTAAGGACTCAAAAATTATACCACTTTACATAATAATACCGTCAAACATACAATAATCTAGTGACACTCGTTTTACTGTTAGAAATTGATAAAAACTCTAACTATTAAACATCTAAATAGAAATGGGAAAAGACAATGCAATTTTTAGACTGATTTTCGTTTTACATACTATCACGAATGTATGATTATTATTTACTAGCTGACTCAGCGACTTCGTACGCGTAGAATAAGTATTTTTGGTTTTGCAAACCTTCTTTTCATCACTATAAAGTTAAGCTGTTACCCAGGACGTCGTTCGCGTCCCGTTGTTGTTGAAAATTAATCTTAAAAGATAGACGTATAGAGTCTCGGACTTTTTCTCTCGTTTTTTTTTTCAGATCATTTAAATGGGAATAATTATTTCGTACATATTTTTTAGGTATCTTGAACCGTTTTTGCAGCGTAAGCATCGGACACTGACAGAGATGAATAATTTTCCCCGTTGCTATTAGCCAAAGAGCGATAATGATGATCTAACCAACATAAAAATATTTTTTCAATTCGAACCAGTAGTTACTGAGATTAGCGCGTTCAAACAAACAAACAAACTCTTTAGCTTTATATATTAGTATGGATTACTGTAACAGTATCTGTTTGTCACAGCATTATATGTATCTTATATACTTAAATTATTACACTTAATAAAATTTGAAATTGATTATTACCACTGCCATAACGAATTGAAAACTCAACTAAGATTACATTTAAAATTCTAATAATGTTAAATATATTGTTAAAACTTCAAGGACAGAAGTTCTCTAGTTACAATGAAATCGTTACTATTATGAGGCAACCGAATAATTATTTTAGTCGCAAATACGTTTTTCTGGATCGTATCAACATATTTAAGTCCCACTGCTGGGCGCAGCCCTCGTATGAGATATTGTCCCCCACCAATGGGCCAAGTGAAGTTAAAACATAGGCTTTTTGGAATAAGATCTCTTTTTTAATGTCTTAACTTGGTTTAACACATCTTCATACTCCAAATCATATTTTTTGTTTAAAACTTACGCACATAAACAGAACCATAAGTTTTATTCAGGTGTCGCAAACTTTTTTTACATTTGCATAAGTAATGATTTTTAAACTTTGCATTTTTTTTACTGGATTGAGTATTCGTGTTGTATTTCTGAAGACATAAGACGTAGTCACTTGAACGTTATAAGTTTTTTTTATGTTTATTGCTATTGTATATGTTCTTTGTCACTGTGTACAAAAAATCACACCGCACTATTACAAATATTTTTTTTAAAGTAAATAATATATAGGCCCAATTTCACTAAGACATCGTGTTGATATAAAAATTACCGCTCGAGTTTAACAGGTGGTCAAATTTAACCAATGCATACCTTTTTAGTGAAATGGGGCCTCTATTTTGGTGAGCGTAGAATAATTAGCACTTTATCAACAGTATTGCACGTAAGTTCTAACATTTTTTTATGGATATAGACAGTTTATCTGTTTTGCAGAAATATTTTACTAACAGAAGCAGGTGTTCTCAATGCGAATGTATTTTACTAGTCATTTTTATCTCTTCACTCATAAGTATTTAAGTGCATATAATTACTTTCAGACCGTCAATTATTTTACACGAACACAGCTTTAATTAATACTAAATAATATTTATTTTCACACTTTTGTATTATTATTTTTTTAAGTATTTTATCATTGAGTCATTTCACAAATGCGCTGGTTTATTGACGGTCGAAAATAGTTTATAATTATTTTTATATTCTTACTAATAACAAACCAGTCCCAAAGTACAGGCTATTAAATAAAATTTCCTAATCCTTATTATTTTTTAACGAGCTTACACTTTAATATAGTATTTTGTAGGTAGACCAAAACGTTTATTGTTTTCGTATTATAGCCAAAACTTGTCGAACAAAATCATGACCTTTCTTTTATTTATGTAATTAAATACAACTAAACAAGCGCGAAACGGGCGCTCGCACGATGGGTTCCGTATCATTGACTCTTTGAAAATCAACCATTGTGGTTCTTGAAGTACAGCTTCGTGACAGACAGAAAACTCTCAGTAATAGCGACCCGTTTTTAATCCTTTAGGTACGGAACCCAAACAAAACCTCGACTTGCCCCGTTCTTATATTGAGTATGTTATATACCTCTTAGTCTATCCCTTTTAATCATAGAACTTCGTTTGTTTATAAATATCTAATCTTTAACTTGGTCACTGTAAAGCGATATAGTTATAGTCATTATTGGCAGTCGATTTATACTTTCCTCTTTGTATCTGTTAAAAATGTTTTGTATTTGTAAAATTAGAATTACATTTTACATTCGTTACGTCACCTATAAACGCCATAGGTTGCACTCTGCATTGTAATGATTTTGAACATCTAAATTAGACGCGCCGTCGGCCTATTTTAACATAGCCGTTATACAAACGCTGTGGGCCGTATAAGTAATTTTGAATCGTGGCATTTTGTACGTTAACTACGAAAATGACTAACGCAGCGTAATGGGTTATGCAGTACGCGGCCTATCGCGCTTATAGGCGTAATTGCCGAAGGCTTACGTCAAAATACTTTGTTACACATCATTTTGAGTCAGGTTTGTATATCTTTAGAAGTGTATTAGTAACCATTAAGTATAAGACTAGCAAAATCGCTGACCAGTTACCTGTATCCCAAAGACACTTGCCGTCCCTCTCTACTATTAAAGCGTACCCACCTTATTTATTGTTTCGTTAAAGCCTGTATTTAATGTGTTTTATAAAAATATTTAAAAATTCAGTGTTTTATTTATATGACAACCTTTTTTTTATTTGGAGGAATCGAATCTTTAGCGACGCCTCAGCCAAGCCACATATACAATGGCGGGGACAGTGTGGGGTTCGGCCGGGTTCATACTTCAACCTATGAGCACAGTCGGTAAAACAGACCCCGACCCCCAAGTCAACGAAAAAAGCTTTCACCGTTTGAAATCTGCCGTCCCAATAGAATCGCCAACCGACCACCACCTAAAGCTGTATTATATAATTGTAATATAAAAAAAATACTTTTATATAAAAATTGTATATTATGTCATGTAGAGACCAGTACAAAATTATTCTAAAATTTGGAATCGATAATCCCTGTTACGGTTGGACTTGAATGTGGATGTATCAAGCTTTTATACATTTAATAACAGCGTAAGATGCAATGAATTCTTCAAAGAGTAATGTTATGTAAAAAGATAGGATACATATAATTACCATTACCAAAGGTAAAATTCAAAGATATAACAGTGGAAGTAAAAAAAACTTATTTCTTGATAAAAACCGATACATCACATTTTTAGTCCATCTCCAAAGCATATTGTAAATTACAAAATATTATAAAGTGATACAGGTGCCGCCAGACTTACAACATTAATTTTGTCGCTTGATAGATTCCGAGCCTAATTGCGAAATTTCATTAAAATCTGCCGAGTAGTTTAAGCGCAATATACATTTTTCTAACTGACAAAAAACATCCCGATATAGCTACATACATTACTGTCAATCATAACTGCCAAGTGCGTATTGTATTTTCAAATATAAAAGGTGTGGTGTATATTCAACGTCTTATCGCAATACATTTTATAAAAAAAAAATATTTCCATATATTTTATCGATGTCGGTTTTTAAAATTAGTATATTACATATATAAAATTAACATGGCAAGCGCGACAGCACCCTGTATATACTTAGTACTATGCCCGAGTCTGATGAACCTAAACTAAACTAATAGCTATCCTAAAGATGTATAGAATAGATACATAGAATGCCCAAAATAAAATATATACACTGACCGAATACTTATTACGAAAATTGCCTTTAAGGTAGAAATACAACAATACGTATTTATAACTACCCACATCTCTCCGTTAAGAACTAAAGGAACTACCGACTAATTAAAAAAAAGATTGACAAGTTTTTATCAATCTGTTGCTTTTGGTGTCAATTCTTAAACGAAATTGCTGATATAAGTCGCAAACTATGTTTTTATGACAAATAGGTCTATAATAATTGACCCCCAATCAAGAATTAAACTGATTTATTGTCATTTACGTATAGACTTTCACAATAACTTTGTTCAATTTAAATAAAACACTTTAACGCGATATTTATTAGTTAAACTGCTTTGAAAATTATTTTAACTCCAGTCCGACGTTTCGCATGCTTTGCAGCAGCCATGGACTGCCACCAATATATTTCGCGTTTTAAACCGATATAAGTGTTTTATTCAAATGTTTACTCGTGTAAACTACAGACAGTATTTAACTTTGTTAATATAATACATGGAAAAGGCTTAAAATGCCTCGTTATTCGTTTTGAAACTGTCAACTAAAAATTAGAGTAATACACAAGAATCAGAGATCAGAAACAGTAGCATTAAATCTTAAATAATATTTACAAAACATTTATACAACTACGTATCTCCAGAAAAGCGTTAATTGTATAAGACATTTTTGATGTATTAGGACAATAATATATGAATTAGCATTTTAAAGCACTCAAGAAGGAAACAAATACGTTCTTATAGATAAGGTATTTACACTGAAAACAATGAATGCAATAGTCATTAAATTACGTAATATGGTAAACCAGATAAAGTTAATCATGTTCAACCAGAAACAGATCTATAATTAAGTTATATATCCTAGCCATGAACGTTCTCATCTTCGGTAGGTAAGGGGGAGAGAGAGGTTGTTCCATTATTTTGTTTAACATTTAAAGTCCTTTTAAGCTAAAAAGCTATTGATTAGTTTTGGCCAATCGAAATTTATTTCTAGAAGGCAAAGGTGGGGTAAGGAACTGTCTTTTTCTAGTCTTGTCGTGGGTACGCCTATGACCTCGCCTTATCTCGGTGTCGATGTGTCAATTGCTAACGGAATGTCCTTAAAAATATATGCAGCTATTTAATATCAGTACTCATAGCAACAAAAACTACGGAAGAACCTAACCGTATTATGTACATTTCAAGTTACTAGCGCCTCTAGCGGATTCTTGTAAGAACTAATAATAATAAAACCATAGACCACTTCATTGACAACTTACTTCCGTTTCATTAATTATTTTATATGTTATTCATGTAAGCCGCTTTGTAGATAGTTCTTAAACCTTTACAATTTGAAAACAAATTAAAACGCAAACGTTTCAAGTCACACGTTTTAACCCGTTCAAATTTATTTACTGTGTACTCGCGTAAACTTTAGATACACAGTTCTAAGTGATTATTACACTAGTCTAGACACTGATTTACAATTCTAGACCAGTCACACAGTAAGGCAAATGTAGATTATAAAGATCTTAACATGTAATTCACTTCTCATCGAATTCCCATAATTATCTTTGGCACCTCCAATTCGCTATATAATATAAAGCACCATTAGATGGTCAATATCACCCCGTAACTACCACCACCATAATACCACTGTTCCAAGGAGTCTATCCACGACAACGTATCATTACTACGACTGAAAAAATATGCCCACTACATCGTACCGTCTCTGTTGGTATACGGTGTAGTGTATACACTCCTTAACACATAAATAAAATTGCACATATTGCAAATTATTGCCAATTCTTGTAAATAAAGATAATATTAAAGAAACTAATATCTAGTCATTTCTACAACCAATATGTGCGTTTGCCGATTACGTAAAAACATATGAAACATACATTTTCGCTAAAAAACAATTGAATTCAAAGTATTAAGGCACCGTTATTGACAAAAAGCTTTGTTTTAAACGGATTCAAACTTTAAACCCGTTAAAACGAATTTCGAATCTAAATCGCTCTACTATAAGGCAGTCCATATAGAGTATTAGAAAAACAATTTCGATTACGCTACACATAACATATGTTAGTTGCTCCTTGGGCCTTTATTCCTTGAGCAAGTTTTTCGCTCGAAAACCCAAGGAGCTAAGACAAACCCTCACACAATTTATAAGCCTGTAAAAATGTTACTTTTCCTAAAAATCGTTATTAATATCAAATTCAATAATATATTTGATGACTGATTGATGAGCCATCGAGTATATAGTTTGTAAAACTACCGTCTCAGTTAAGGACTATTTTTGATTAAACAAATTCGATGACACGGTGGGGACTTGAACACACGACCACCACGTTCGTGCTGTTGCTCAAAATAACGAAGCTGTCAAGGAAACTAAAAGACACTTTAAACTTTAAAGGTATAAATCACGAAACATATTTGCACTTATTTTTTATTTATTTTAACTACGGTCTGTTTTGCAAGAGCGGTGTTTCCTGAGGCAAAATAAATAAAAAAAGTTAACCAATACATTTCGCATTTTAAACAGTTTAAAGTGTCAAATTAAAGTGTTTTGTTGAATTGTCTGTTGAACACATAAACTGCAGCCAAATCTTTCGAAGTGCAACGTATTTTTTTCATAAAAAAGATTGAATTGAAGTGTTTGGTACACATTTTTGAATACGGTGCCGGGTTATCAACATATAACTACATCCATCCAATAATCAGGGGTTCAAAACATTACCAGAACAACATTTTCCTACTAAAATTCTTCGTCAATAAGGATGTAAAAATTTCATTACTTACTTATAAATAAACCTATTCATGGCAGTGAGTAACTTATCATTATCGTTTAAATTCAATAATATTCAATTAAAATCGAGCCTAAAGGCCCTAAAGCTTGATAATAATTATTAATTAGCAATAATTAAACATCTAGATCACTTTCCGAGTTAGTTAATTGTTCTAACGTATTTCTTTGATCAACTGCGGGAACAAATAACTTTTCTAGTATTCCACTTTTCCTGTTGGGGCGGACACAATTTCGCTTATAGCCCGAGCCGAGTGCCGCGCCCGACCGAAACGAATCCGCACGCTATAGGATGTGGTAGAATTTTTCTTTTAGCAAACTCACGTCGGTCTACCGTGGTATACCGCGAATAGACTAAGCTTACATCTTATAAATAACAACTTTGAGCCTTAATTCAGTTATGTCCGTACGCGACTTTTCCCTTTTGGTCACGAAAAAATTTTGACAGCCTTCGTTTTTGCAGGTCGTTGTAGTTTTTATTTGTCCGCTTGACTTCCTCGAGCAGTCTTTGCACGGCTTTGTTGTTGGGCGAGACTTTATCCGCCAGCTTGAGATCGGAGAGCGCGGCGTCGTAGTTCTTAAGGGCGAAGTTGGCTTGGCCGCGACGGTACAGCGCCTTTTCGTTCTTCGGATTCACGAGCAGAACCTGTCGAGATAAATTCGATTTATTTTATGGTGGAAAGCACGAGTTGATGTTACGCGAACAGCAATATAACATATTCGGAAATTCACTGACTGAAACACAATTAAATTTGACAGCTTTTTCGTCTGTGGACGGTGGTTCGTGACTCGGACGGAATTTCGATATTTCTACCACTCATTTAATATCCAGATATCCAGACGAAGTCCAACATGTTTCAAAAATTATAAACTAATTAGGTTTATTATTTTTCTTTCTTGAATTATTTGTTTTATATATGTTGGACCAGGTGGGGAAACCTACGACTCGTTGACACGTGCATACACTTCATCCCTCAAAACAAAATAATTTTAACCAGTATTTAACACCAAACCACTCCCTGTAGCTAAATAACGCAATGCTAGACGTTAAACCTAACGTAAACCTAGCGTAGCCTAGCATTGCGTTAAACGCGAGATCTAAGGTTCGAATGGACAGTTTTGGTCGGGCAGGGAAAAATACTGATCAGTGAAACAACAATTGTATGCATTACGAAAATTCGTAATGCATACAATTGTTTTTATATAAGTGTTATGTTATATAATAGTTGTTGCGATACGGGATTTTTTTGTATCTATTTAGATACAAAAAAAATCATCGCAATGGTGACCAGACTAAGTAAGTAAATGTAACAACTTCTCATTACCTCGCTGCAACACTGTATGCAAGCAGCATAGTGGTGAAGACGCGAGTAACACGCTCCCAGGTTCAGATAGCATTGTGTTCGATAAGTCTCCAGTACATCGTATACTGAAAAAAAAAATGGATAGGGTTTCAGCAGATTAATGTTTCATTGCTCTCATCTCATAGAAAATTATTTTGAAAGTTTTGGACTACTAATAAACTCGCGAAGACAGCCGAGATAAACTTGACGTGCTCACAAGAACCCCCTAATTTATTCTCCAGACGTGTAGTCCATATTGTGTTAAGCCCAATTTGAAATACCGAGCTAATAATTCAGGGGAACTGGGTTTCGAATCCTGGACCTCAGTAGGTTCGACAGTCGTATATGTTGTGTATGTATGACTGTGAGTACTACAAAATAAACGACTATGAAAGTAAGCTTTAAAAACTTATAGGTAGAATAACATAACTTGAAAAATTGATGCATTTTGATAAGTTAAGAACAAGAAACTTGCACTTCTTTAAATAAAACATTGTAACGTTGGATTTATTTTAAAAATTATTTTAGCTGCGGCCCGACGTTTCGGATGCTTTGTAGCAGCTGTGGTCACTGGGAGTCCCCGAAACATCGTGCACTTCGCGTTTCAAACCGTTAGTGTTTTATTTAAATGTGTACGTCTCGCGTAAACTACAGACAGTATTTAACTTACACTTGTGTCTCGACTCTTCCAACTGACAGATGACGTCGCTCGCGTGCTCCAAGTAGCGAAGGCATTTGCGGTACTTTCTTGCTGCAGCCTTATGCCGACCGTCTCCGAAGTGGTCGTTTCCACTGGATTTTATGTCTAGGATCCCTGTGAGAAGGTCTTCTATCTGTAAATAAAATTGGGTGCGTCTTCTTTACATTTTAATTGGTTGGAATAATACCTTCCAATAACTTCCATCGAGGGAACCTCATCCCTGTCTGTCCCCCTTTGCTAGAATTAACTCTCTAACATCCAGGAACTATTTCTTTGAGGCGATAAATGTTTAGGATAGCATTTTTAAGATTTCAAAGAACCTATACTAAGATTATGGAAAACCAAACGCAGTTGTCATAAAAAGTATAACAGTTTTAAAACATTATTTGAAAGTATTTTAACTGATAAACTTTTTCATAATAATTAAAGAAGGAAAGTTTCAGTTAAAGAAGGTCCTAAAAGAACAAGGTGTACATTACTCATGCTAAGGCCTATATAATGTAAATACTAACAGCCAGTTCCGTCCGCAAATCTTCTGGATATTCAGGCATATGATCGACTGTACCATCTCGGCAGCAAACATCCCAGGAACCCTCTTTCAGCTCCCCGCAGTCTTCTATGATGCAGTCCTGAAATTTTGTTTTTTCGTTATTGGAAATTGTAATAAATGGCTATATATATATATATATATAAATAAATCCGTAACGTCGGGCAAGGAAATACAAATTAACTAATAAATTTCGTGTCTTAAACCGTTAAGAGTGTGATACTCGCGTAAACTACAGAGAACATGAAAAATATTTAAGGTAAACTACAAGAAGTAAGTTTTTTCTGCTCCTTCTGTATCTGTGTGTGTTTTACATGTTATTGACATGATGGTATATAAATTAAAACTCGATTTTAGATTGATTTTTTTTATCTCAATAAGCAAGTGTTACGGTTGAAATTACATTGCGCGAGAGATTCATGTATCAATAAGTAGAAAAAAAACAACAGTGTAGGAACGGTGAGAATGCCGATGCAAGTCCCGCCCGTGTCATAAATTTTCTTTCAATCCAAAATCAATTTTAAATTCTTGAATTGAGGTTACACCAAAAAGGTCACAGAACAATAGGTACATAAATACCACATTTTATGTAAAAACTATGTTTTTATTTGTTTCGAAAAATCGTGAAAGAAAGCAAATATTTCATGAAATACAAATGTATAAGTAGTCTTGGATTGACATTTTAAGTATGTAAATAGTTACATTATCAGTTTCGTGCAATCTGAAAACAAATACCGCTTATTCAAATAAAGTTATTTACTGCAGTAACTTCTATACTTGTATGTTTATATATACAAATATTTTTCTATTATTTCATTATTAATTTTCCCAAGAAATCATCCTATCCGGAGCTTGTCAGCACAATTCCTCTCCCCCCACCCCCTAAATCTTATACCTACATAAACAATTGAATGACCATTTTGGGTACTTCTTAACACACGTTTAATTTATTGATTAATAAGAAAAACAAAAGAAAATTATAAAAACAATAATTACTCTCTTGTGTTTCCATAATACTTATAAATAATTATATTTTAGTTAAAGATTTTTAGTGTAATTTGGTTTATGTAACCTTTTGGTAAACAATGTGTTTGCTAATAATTGTTAAATGCACCCATGTACTCCATCAATATATATATTATACATATTATAATTGTATAAATAACGCTGGCGTGCGCTAGCGTTAAATTACATTCAAGTGTAAATAAATAAAATACTGTTATGTTAGGTAATATTGATGCACACTACAGGTTTTTTCCCAACCTAGATGCCCTACCTTCGAGGTCATAAAAATGTATAGTGGTTATATAATACTTGATCTAGATTTAAACAATTGAATGAAAATGAATAATTAATATTATAGAAACGCATTCTCATTCTCAACACTTTGACGAACAATTAAATACTTATTCCATAAACAACAATTATCAGCAAAACATAATCAATTACATAAGTAGCTTTGCCTGTTCAAAGGTGTTTTCAATTACAAGTTAGTTTTACTTGTTTGTTGGCTACTAAAATGCTGATATGCTGAGAATATATTTTTCTGCTTCAATGTCATTGACAATCAGCGTTTAACTACTTCTACGGTAGTGCAACAAAATCTGAGTGTCCTTCCGCATAAAGCTGATTAATCATTATTATTATTTTCTGTATGTTTTTGCTATATGTTAAATAAATGATTTTTTTATATTCTTTTTAGTTAATTTTACTTAATTTAACGCGAGTTTAAATCAAACTCATGAAGATGTTTCGGTTTCATAAATTTTAATGCAATTAGTTTATGATATGAAACATTTTTGATGGTTTAAAGTGAGAATAGATTAAATTGTAATTAAAATAATGGTTATCTATATTTCAGATCCTTTCAAACTGCCAAGTCACACAAGAGTATTTTAAACCGTCAAAAGTGTTCAAGTTCAAGCCCATACTTACAACAGTAGGTCTACACTCATCCGCTGTTCTCTGAATCTCTTCTAGTATCCCCCCACCAGCTAATACCCTTCCAAACACCACATTAGTACCATCTAAATGAGGACACGGCACGCTGGTAACACAGAATTGAGAACCATTTGTGTTTGGACGACCAGCATTTGCCATACTGAGAACTCCACAGTCATGCTAGAAAAACAGGCAGACTATTATGCATTCACAATTTGATGACACATATAAAAATTAGCATCTATATTTAATTTATTGAATTAATAATTCTTTTGCCGTCTAAGCTTAATTTTTTTATTGTAGTTGGAAGAACTGTACTAAGAAAATGTAAAGATAAGCTGTATAATGCTTTTAGTTCTAAGGTTACAAAATTCTATTTTAGTTTTCGAGTTGATGAAAATGTCTAGACAAATTGAAATTTATAGTTAATATTGAAGTAGTTTGTGTGAAAAATTACCTTGAGTATAAAGTTCTCATCATCAAATGTTGGTCCATAAATGCTCTCACCACCTGAACCATCACCATTTACTATATCACCTCCTTGAACCATGAACTGGGAAATAGCTACAAGAAAGATGCATTCAATAAAACAATTTAACATAACTGAAAAATATATGTTATACTAAATTCTTTTAAAAAATGTCTTGAAATGAGCTATAATAAGCCTTTAATTCAGATCTTTACATCATAGTACAATTACTTGATATTAAAAAATCATCTTGGATTTTTAATCTGGTTGGTTTTGACTTATAACTGGCTAAACCAAAAAAGCTTTGCAAAATGGCAGAATCTCATTTATTGGATTAGTCTCCGCTCAATTATGAATCTATTTAGTCTCCAGTACCTTTATGAAATCGAACTCCTTTATAATGCAATGGCTTTCCCAGTGTACCAATGCCCTTTTCTCCAGTGCATAATGCTCTAAAATTCTCTGCAGTTTTAGGTACAATATCTTTTCTTAGCTCGATGACTACTCTGCCTGCTAAATATATCAATAAAGATTACAATGTAAGCATAAGTCAAGTCTTTACAATTTGTTCTTTGTTCTACAAAATCAATACCAATAATATAAATATAAAATAAAGCTCCAACTCATACAACTCTCCAACAAAGTAATAAGTAAAACAGATAATAATATTTATTTTAAGCACTGCAACGGAATAAAGATTACATACTTTAATAAAGTGGAATTCTTCAATTATGATGACAAACTAGTTTCAGTAATAGCTGAATATTTTCCCACAATCTGATGTTATTGAATAAGAATTTCCTAATTACCTGTTTGTATTAAATTTATGGTTCATAACAACTAGTAATTTATTTTTAATTTTTATAAGATAAAACATGTATCATAACATGTATATCCTCATCTTAGTCCATAAAAATGAGTAAAATTATGCACTTTAAATATGTCACACGACCTCGTCCCACTGAACTGGATAAAAACTTATTTGAATGAATTGTATAAATAAATCATAGTAGTGGACAATGTTTATCATTTTAGCTTTGAACTGTCGCCATTCATTTAAAATATAAGCAGTAATCAACTAATAGAAAATAGGGACAAACCTTTTTCACCGTCGATTGATATATCCAAAAACACTAATGGGTTTCCCTGTTTCGTTTGGGTTTGTGATATCATCTTTAAAGGATCATAAACATCGATACTTTTCCTTTTACGCTACAGTATCGATGTGAAAACACAACCACAAATATTTAATTGACCGTACCATAATTTTATATTGATAACTGAGTCGTGGGATTCATGTTAAATTAAATAAAAACAAAGAAAAGGACGGCTTGCAGTGAAACCTGCTTCAAAAGTCAAACACCATTTCACAGACATCAATTTCTCGTCTTGTCAACCAAATTGACAGATGACAACTATGTCAAATCAAATTCGCCTCCTCGTCATTTGGTCATTAGCATACGTCATTTTTGTTCAAGTAATTTTTTCTCGTCTTTAAAAGTATGAAATCGAATTTCAGAAATAATTATTTCACGCTATAAATGAGGAGTGTTTATATATTCCTAATTTATCACACTTAATTGTGTCTTAATTTGTACAAACGTAAGTAGTGAAATCCTTTTATCTTTTACAACCTCTTGTAGTTTCAACATATGAATAGTATGTTTGTTCTATCATATTTATGATCAAGATTAAATTGACCACCGATAAGTCCACTGACTATTCTGTAAATTCCAGATGTCTTCTTCGGCGGTATACATTTTGGATGTTAAAGGCAAAGTCCTTATATCTAGAAACTATCGCGGCGATGTCGATTTGGGTGTGATCGATAAGTTTATGCCATTATTAATGGAAAAAGAAGAAGAAGGAATGTTAACGCCATTATTACAAACTAGCGAATGTACCTTTGCTTACATTAAAACAAACAATTTATACATTGTATCGACAACAAAGAAAAATGCTAACATAGCATTAGTTTTTGTTTTCTTATACAAAATCGTTGAGGTCATGACTGAGTATTTCAAGGAACTTGAGGAGGAGAGCATTCGTGACAATTTTGTTGTTATTTATGAGTTGCTCGATGAATTACTTGACTTTGGCTATCCACAAACTACAGATAGTAAAATATTGCAAGAGTATATAACCCAGGAAGGTCACAAACTTGAAATGCAACCACGCATTCCAATGGCAGTGACAAATGCTGTATCATGGAGGTCAGAGGGCATAAAATATCGTAAAAATGAAGTATTCCTTGATGTAATAGAGTCAGTTAATCTTCTAGCTAACTCAAATGGTAATGTTCTAAGGAGTGAAATAGTTGGAGCCATAAAAATGAGAGTGTATCTATCTGGTATGCCTGAATTGCGTCTTGGTCTTAATGACAAAGTACTTTTTGAAAGTACTGGAAGAGGAAAATCTAAATCTGTTGAATTAGAGGATGTGAAATTCCATCAATGTGTCAGATTATCCCGATTTGAAAATGACAGGACTATATCTTTCATTCCCCCTGATGGAGAGTTTGAACTTATGTCTTACAGACTTAATACACATGTGAAGCCACTGATATGGATAGAATCAGTTATTGAACGCCATGCGCACTCTAGAGTTGAGTACATGATCAAGGCAAAGTCTCAGTTTAAAAGACGGTCCACAGCAAATAATGTTGAAATAATAATTCCTGTCCCAGCTGATGCTGATTCTCCAAAGTTCAAAACTACTATTGGGAGTGTGAAGTATACACCCGAACAAAACGCTATAACCTGGTCTATTAAATCTTTTCCTGGTGGTAAGGAATACTTAATGAGAGCTCACTTTGGACTTCCATCAGTTGAATGTGAAGAAACTGATGGCAAACCACCGATTCAGGTTAAATTTGAGATTCCATACTTTACCACATCTGGTATTCAAGTTCGCTACTTGAAGATTATTGAAAAGAGTGGTTACCAGGCCCTACCTTGGGTAAGATATATCACCCAAAACGGCGATTATCAACTTAGAACTAACTAAATGGGCTTAATTGTTACATTCCATGTATTGTTTAGTGTAAGAGTGCACTTAGTAGTTAATATTTCATTATTACGCAAATATATTATTAATTTGATTTTATTATTATAATGTAAGTACCTATTTTGACACAATAAATTGTTTAATCTTTTTAATGTTTTTTAATATAAAAAAATACAATAAACATTGATTGATTAATAGAACAATATTAAAATTTTTGTGACATATGTATAAACAAATAACTTCATAGTTTGTTAGATTACGAATGTAATTTCCAACTACAGTTAATATTAAATATTATTTTCCTACTTAAAATGACAGGCTGACCCTAGAGTAAAAATTGTAACCACGATGAAATGACGATGTGTTGGGTCGTAATTAAAATAATTCAACGATTATGTATCGCATTTTAAACCATTGAAAGTGTATCATTTTCATATAAAGATATTTGACGTAAATACTGTCTATAGTTTACGCGAGTAGTACACATTTAAATAAAACACTTTAACGGTTTAAAACGCGATATATTAGTTAAACTTATTTGAAAATGATTTTTAACTTCGGCCCGACGTTTCGTTGTCTCCCCGTGACCACGGCTGCTGCAAAGCATCCGAAACGTCGGGCCAAAGTTAAAAATCATTTTCAAATAAGTTTAACTAATATATCGCGTTTTAAACCGTTAAAGTGTTTTATTTAGAAGATATTTGACGTGATATTATTAAATTAGATTTTCTAACAAATGCAACCCTTGTTGAAGAAACATGACATACCAGCCTATTACTATTGTCAATTGTCAAATGTATTATTAACCTTTATTCATCAAAATATACCTACTGTTTACAATTTGAATTCGGTGAAAACTTCGTTATTTATAAATGTAAATTTTAGAGATAGAATAATGATATTTAACAGATTAATAAATAAAGGAAAAGCTACTACCACTTGCCGTGTGTGTAGAAAAAATTACAGTGATATATTACCACTTAGTGAAACCAAAATTATAAGAAATAACCAAAACACCTCAGATATTAAAAACGATGTGGGAAAGTGTAACTCTTCTGGCGAATTCAGAGTTAATGATGTTAACATACAAATGATATCGAAAAATGTATACGATCAGCTGTTTCATGGGGACTGTACCAATGTTGATTCAAATATTATCAAAAGGTATATTATACTTGTTTTCAAATATATATAATTCACACTCTGTGCTGGATGTTAGTAGGCATACAGTGAGCCAACTTTGAAATCTTAACTGCCTTGTTGGTCTTATAAATTCATACACTTGACTACATATTAAGCCTGATAAGCTGTAGGTCCCATGATCATAACTAAATTAGTGATATTTGTGGTTAATGCACACTGATGCCAAGTGCCCTACGCTGAGCAATCATGTTGGTCATGTATAGGTTCAAACAATAGTCTTATTCAAAATACAGAAAATATTTTTGTATTTTAAATAAGACTATTGTTTGAACCTTATATCAAATACAAATACAAATTCTTTATTCACCAAAACTGTGTACATATCATATATTATCATTAACAATTTACCTAGCCTGTAATTCAACCCCCATTGATGAGATAAAAAAAAATAGCTTAAGTATATGTTTTAGTTGTCAAGACCATTTGATGAAACATGGAATAGATTACAACAACTACAATAAGCTTCCTGATGTTCAGTTACGCCTTCCAAAACTTGAAGGGAAAGACATTGTTGAGCATTTTCATAATATTGGTGAGAAGCAATGTGCTCCTTATAGATCATTACTGCATAAATTGGCTGCTAGTAGGCTACCTGAACTACCTAAGGTATTAAAGACAGGTTTGAAATAACTTTGTATCATAAAAACAATAATTGTATGGCATCATATAGCTTGGTTCTATCCAATAAGAATAAAGTTTGATCCCCACTGGCTCCAACATTTTTCTAATCAAATTATATTTTTTTTGAAGCATGTTAGACTTTGTCTGGAAATTTGGATGCTAAATATCCAAAGTCAAAATAGGTTGACGGTGCAGCTTAGATGTTCAACAGTTGGTATTTCATGGGATTCACTCAGTTACCATCGTGAACCCATGCTTGCCAATCCTCTTCTGCCATAAAAAAGTTATAAGCTTGCGTTTTCGTTGGTCGTTAAATCTAGTTCCTCATGGGCATAATAATGCTTGTGAAATTTAACATTTTAGACAAGAGGTGGCTATTATTAAATGTAACTTTTTCAGAAATGGTCTAAATGTCAAGGATGGACTAAATATACACCAGAAGGACCTGTGTCAATTCCGTGCCCCCCTGATGATGCTCTTATATTTGACGTTGAAGTCCTTATGTCTGCTGGAAAGAGGCCGACGCTGGCTTGCGCTGTTTCCCCTGAAACATGGTAACTAAATAACTATCACTACTAAACTACCCTCTTGTAGCCAGTAAAGCCTTGTTAATTTTATATCATGATATCAAAAAATACCTTTTTTATGCACTTTAACACAGAAAACAAAAAATCTAAGTATTAACATATCAGTCATACTTTGCTCTTACATTGGTTTATGATAACAATTCAAATAAAACAGACATTTCTTTCTTATTATTTTTTATTTGGTGTAGGTTTGTTATTTATCCATATTAATTATACATGTATTTTTTCCAGGTTTAGTTGGGTCAGTGAACCCCTCGCAAAAGGTGAAGGTCATCAGCAATACAGTGAATTGAAGTATGATCACCTGATACCACTCGAGACTGATAGATTTACCCCTTATGGAGACTTAACGAGACCGAGAATTATCGTAGGTCATAATGTGTCTTATGATAGAGCTAAGATAAAGGAACAGTATTGGTTGGAAAGGACAGGTATGACATAGATTTCTATTAGCAGTTTGAACTATCATTTTGCTAATTTTTTTGCTAAACATGGCTTACTACATTTAAATAAAAAACAATTAACAGTTTCAAACGCGAAATGTTTAAGTTAAACTTCTGTACTTGAAGGTATTTTCATAAAACACTAACGGTTTATAACGCGATATATATTAGTTAAACTTATTTGGAAATTATTTTAAACATGGCCCGCCGTTTCGGACGCTTTGCAGTAGCTCCACGGCTGCTGCAAAGCGTTTTCAACTGTTAAAGTGTGTTATTTAAATCTGTACTACTAGCGTAAATTACAGACAGTACTTCTTTTAATGTATTATTCTTTAAATATTTATACGTCGGGCCCTAGTCTTAATTAGTTAGACCGTAGTTCAATTAATACATTTCGCTTTTTAAAGAGAGTGTTTTATTTAAATGTGTAAATTCGCAAACAGTACTTTTCTTAGTTTCGGTTTTTAGGTTTTCAAATAAACATGAGATTAAAAAAAAAATTTAACAGGTGTACGTTTTATGGACACAATGTCAATGCATACCTGTGTGAGTGGAGTAACAAGTTACCAACGAACAGTGCTGAAGGCTAAGAACAAGGAACCGGATCCTAGTGATGATGACTGGATTGAAATCAGTTCTCTTAATAGTCTTAGTGAGGTGAGATATATACTGTCAATAATAGTATGGAATGGTACATTATATGAGCCTACTAGAGGCAGTTACAAGTTTATTACAGGCTTTAAACCCTCTAGATTTTGATATTAAAGAGCTTGGACTACACCTTCTATATTATTTCTTACCTAAAGAAGTTATCATTACTTGCATTACATTTTGTAATTTTCTATATTTCTGGATCTATAAGCGGAAACTTTTAATTGTCTTTCTGATATCTAAGTTGACGACTATCCTATTGTATTAGCTGTGTTTTCCATACGCGAATAAATAAATAAATATATAAATACTAATTTAAGTCGTGATAGCCCGCCAATCCCCACTGCAGGAGCGTTGGTCTAAGTGCATGTGACCGAACCTCAGCAATGGGAAATAATTTGTGGCTTTATCATACTTGATCTCTCTAATATTATATTTTCAAAGTTCTAAGTAACATTAAAGGCACATTATACAGGTACATAAACTCTACTGCGGAGTACAAATAGACAAGCAAACCCGTGATATATTTGTAGAAGGGACTATGGATGATGTTATCCAAAATTTTGAGACACTGATGAATTACTGCGCTGGTGATGTAGTAGCTACGCATAATGTACTCGGACAGCTATTTCCGATGTTCCTGGAACGGTTTCCGCATCCCGTGACTTTGGCTGGAATGTTAGAACTAGGTATACTTGTTTACATCTACAGAAGTTAAGTAGGTCTAATTTCATTTGTAAGTTAATACTGCCGAACGACGCAGCGAGCGAAGAATTTATTTTCGTCGGGTTGGTATATATTTGTTATAATTGATTTTTTATTTATGTAGCACGGGGTTCCCTTGATGATAGGTAAAATCAATCGCTGCCTATTTTGGCACTTGATGGTATTTTTCGCTTTGTTCGCGACCCGGTCGGAATTGCCGTATTTCTACCACCCGTTTAATATCCAGATTTGGCAATGAAGTTGGACATGTTTCAGAAAAATTGTAAATTGAAAAAATTGAAACATGTTGGTCCCGTGGTAAACATGGTGGAGATCAAACGCACGCAACGAGCTCGTCTAATTAAATCATTAAAGAGATACGTTAACCCTTCCACCTTAGTAGGGCCTCAATAGATACTCTATGTTTCAGGGTCAGCATACTTACCCGTTAATTCGAACTGGACCCAATACATAGACTCAGCTGAAACAGTATTCAACGACTATAAATTAGAGTCACGACAAATACTGTCTCTTAAAGCGGACGAAACCTGCCGGTTGATGGAAAATGAAGCTTATAAGCGTGACCTGTGGATGTGGGACCAAGACTGGTCGACGCAAACCTTGAAACTTAAAAAGACAAGTACAAAAGCTAAACATACCCCAGAGGCAACAATCGAAGTCACTAGTCAAGAAAAAACAAAAATAAACTCAGATATATTATCAACCGAATATATAGACAGTCTAGAATGTGAAAATAGCGAAGTGAATAGAAATATAGATATATTGACGAAGAAGTTTCAATACCTGTATGATTTGAAGAGTTCGCTGCCGGTGAAAAGACCATATTTGGCGGGATATCCAGCTTGGTACAGAAAGCTATGTACAAAACCTGGAAAGGGCCCTGATTGGACTCCAGGTGCTAATAATATTACTACAAGTATGCAGGTTTGTAAATTGTTTTAGTTGGGCAGGGTACAGAAGTATGATGAATGAACACATGAATGTCATCGCTCCATGCCCCGCGGGCGAAACAGGATGTCACTTTAATTGTTACTATGCTATATATAATAGAGGTACTATATTTAATACTAACTTGTATTGTTTTAGATCACTCCAAAATTACTTCGGCTGTCATGGGAAGGTTATCCACTCCATTACATACAAGGAGAGGGGTGGGGCTTTTTAGTGCCTTATAGTAGAGACCGAGGGGAGGTACAAGAAGGGGAGCCTCTTATTCCATTAGAAAAATTACTAGAAACTTGCCCTATGGTAACATGCAAAAACACCGAAGTAGATACAGAGGGATATATCCTGCCTAAGACTGTAGAAGTAAGTCTTACAATTTTCTTGACATATGTCGTTGTCTTCGTATGCACGCGCTTCTATTGTCTCTTTTTTCAAATATCCTCTATTGGCATAGAAAAATAAAATCCGAGGCCTTAAAATACCTATAACAAGTTTTCTTTCTTCTTCCCTTATTATAAAATAATAAATGTTTTATTATAGGAAGACTTATCGAAACGGGCGTATTATGCAAGGAAGAGAAAAAACGAGCAAGCTGCGGCTAATCAGTATCACGGGTTGGGTGTCTGGACTGGCCTTGAAATACAAGGTAAATAATTTTAAGCTATAAGTAAATAAGGTTAAAACCCGACTTTAACGCTGAAATCCGAATTATTACTAAACTATTTTTTATGTAATTTAATAAGGGTGTTGCCATTTCCTTCGCTTGCCACACAAGGATGGACCAAAGTACAAAGTAGGCAACCCATTAGCAAGAGATTTCTTGAATATGTTCAGCCAAAACGTATTATCAGCGCAAGGGAATGAAGCCGAAAAGGTATCTGTCATATAGCGTACTTTATGTAATACAAACTTTTTTACTTACTCTTAATATACCCTTACTAATATTATAAATGCGAAAGAAACACTGTCTGTCAGTCTGTTACTCTTTCACGCCAAAACTACTGAACGGATTTGAATGAAATTTGGTACACAGATGGTTTAGACCCTGAGAAAGAACATAGGCACACATAGTTTTTATTGTGAAAAGGGGGTTGTAAGTGGTTAAAAGGGGGAGTTACAGTTTGTATGGAAATTCGTGGTTTTTGAAGCTAGAACAATAAAAATTTCTTCTTTGGCTTTTTGGGAATAGGAATAGGAGTAGGCGTGGCAGTGGGGTGGAAGTGAGAGCCTAGAGTAGAAGTGATGTGAGATGAGAGTGTTGCGGCAAAGTAGCACTTACAACATAGATTGGCTGCGATAAATGCGCAATTAGATAAATTTAAAAACAGCCTTAATAATTAAAAATTCTACTCCAAGTTCCACGCGAACGAAGTCACGGGCACAACTAGTACTGATATATTTTACCGTTATTTGCAATCTATTTTTCAGGTGTTAACGTATGGGCGCATGATGTCGTATTGGCGCAACAATCGAGAGCGAGTAATGGGACAACAAGTAGTTTGGTTGCCGAAGCAATTCCTGCCTGAACACTTGCGCGATACATTGCGCAAATACGGAGCGATTGTGCCACAAGTGGTTGTGTGTGGGACGTTAACGAGACGGTGAATATAAAGCGTAAAAAAATTGCAAATTTCCTGCTTCGTTATCTCGCTCAAAGGACCAAATTTAATAAGTAGATTTGGTCCTTCGAGCAAGAACAAAGTTGAAACGTTGATAATTGACTACTCATTAATATTGTTTTTGTCTTTACGATCGTGCTTATTTTGGTCCTCATAATAATCAGTTCACTGGGCTATAGGGCTAGCGAACCAACTTGGATGACAGCGAGCAATGCACAGGCTGAACGGATAGGGTCTGAGTTACGTGCCATGGTCCAAGCTCCACCGGGATATTGTTTCGTTGGTGCCGATGTCGATTCGCAGGTAGCCATAAGCCATTGACAAAATCAATTTTATCTATATTATATTCTATCGTATTAGGATTTAACTTTTAAGGTAGAGTAAAATAAACCCGTGACCACGGCAGCTGCAAACCGTGTCGTAGTTAAAATAATTTGAGAATAAATTTAACTAATATATTTCATGTTTTAAACAGTTTAAGTATTTAATTTAAATATAGAATAAGTTTTATAAATAAATAATGCTTAGGTTTTCGATCTGTGCGGCCATCGTAATTAGAATGATTTATAGCATAGACCAAGAAGGCTCAACAATTCTTTACGATGCCTTTCAGCCAAATCTCTAAAACTTAACTAGCTATTATTATTCAAAACTTTTCCTTTATATTGACGCTTTAACTTAGGTAAGAAATCTGTACCTTGTTTATAGGAATTATGGATAGCAGCTTTACTGGGAGATAGCAGTCTTGGTGTGTGCGGTGGTACCGCGTTTGGTTGGGCTGTACTAGCCGGAGATAAACGAGCGCGCACGGATTTGCATTCTCTAACTGCCACCGCCGCTAATGTTAATCGCGACCACGCGAAAGTCATCAACTATGCAAGAATATACGGTAAAGTAAAACAATAGTATTTTTACCAATTGATTATCAAATTGACCTAAAACTGAGAAATGCGATCGATAGATTTTTTCGTGATAGACAGAGGAAGCGTGGGGTTTACTGACGGTAGCTGAAATACCCTGCTACCCTACTGCTGTATAACATCTAAACAAGATGCTTTTGATATCCGCAAATCGACAGACTGAAACCGAAACTCGAATAAACTTCATCTGTGGACGGTGGTTCTTGACCCGGACGGGATTTCATTCATTTTTCTTACCACCCATCTCATATTCAGATTTCAAATCGAAGTCTCTTTTTAGAAAAATTATAATTTATGAAACTCCCGAAAATCCCGCTTTGGTTGTTCACCCACCTGAGTTTATAATTAAAAATTATTCATCATATTTGTGGTTATGTTTTATTACAGGCGCCGGTCAAAATTTCGCCGAACGTCTATTGAAACAGTTCAACCCCACCATGACGATATCGGAAGCTAAAAGCAAAGCTGCGAAAATGTTTACAACGACTAAAGGCAAGCGAGTCTACACTTTGAAGAAACAATACACAGATGGATTACTAGATGATGACACAGGTAGCGAGGTATGGACCATTTCATATAGTGTATATTATAACATATACATTTTTACGTGGTAAAAATAATTCTTAATCCAATAGGTTTGTACCCAGAATTGGGATATTAAAAGGTTGAAATGAGACACTGGCTGATTTTTTTTTTTAGATTATAGCACGCCACGGAAACCCATAGGTCATAGATTAATGTATTTTCGCGTTTTTCCACGTTTCTATCTGTTTTTTCGCTCCTTTGGTTGCGGCATGTTAGCGAAGCCTACAGCCTTCCTCAGTAAATGGTCTAACCAACATAAAAAGATTTTTTAATTCGTACCAGTAGTTCCTGAGACTAACACGTTCAAACAAACAAACTCGGCGTTATAATATTAGTATAGATTGCAACAAGTAGTACAGTCTTAATATAATAAATGGTGCAGAGATAAATGTATAGCTTATATCTGAAACCAATCTGAAAAAAAAAACAGTTTTGGTTGTTAATTAAACTTCTCTCAAAAATATTGTTACACGGTTTTATTGCATAGACCTTTTTATGTCTTATTTATTATTATTATACTCTTGTTGTTTTTCAGAAAGTAGAAATGCCAGCATACCAAGCGATGCGCCTTGCTAAACTTAGTGGGAAGCAATTGGATGAGATGTTCGAACGAGCGCGTTGGGTGGGCGGAACTGAATCTCACATGTTCAACAAATTAGAAGACATTGCTGGTAACTTTATATTGCCATAACAGGTTAATCGAGGTGCTCGTTGGTTTAATAGTTGAAATGTATGTGTCAAGATCGTGGGCATGATGCCCGCCGAGTCCAACATAGAACATCTGGATATTACAGATGTGGTATAAATATACACAAAGAGGAAAGAGCCGTGAAGGCTAATCGCGTTTCGGTTTTAGTCTGTAGATTTCTGAATATCCTAAACGAAAATGGCCGAGAGCGCATCTTGTTCAGATGTTATACGGCTAGGCTATTTCAATTACTATCAAGCAATCATGGTTGTTTGTTCTCTTCTACCACAAAAATATCCTTAAAATTATTTTATAAATATAGGATGTGCATGTGATATGTAATTAATGGGATAATTTAATGTTTTAAGCGACTTCTTTCTTCTTTACTTTAGACTCCCCGGCACCTCGAACCGCGTTCTTGGAAGGTCGGTTGTCTCGTGCGTTGGAGCATATGGGAGGCAGATGGGCAAGCACAAGGCTCAATTGGGCAGTGCAAAGCGCAGCAGCGGATTTTCTTCACCTCATGTTAGTCAGTATGACGCATGAAGCACCAAAGGCTAGGTAATTTTTACACCCATTTTTTTATAGATTGTTAGGGGATGTGTGTTTTATATTTTTATTGGTATTTTTTGCAGATTCTGTTTAAGTTTTCATGATGAAGTACGTTACATGGTACCGGAAAAATACAAATATAAAACGGCCCTTGCTTTGCAAATAACAAACCTATTTACGAGAGCATTCTGTTCACAAAGGTATGTTAAGTATAGTAATAAAAAAAAATATTATATTATGACTATTACATACATTTTATAGTTTTATTAACGTCTATATAAAATTTTAGAGTGGGCATCAAAGACCTGCCGCTGTCTGTTGCATTTTTCACGTCTGTGGAAGTAGATAGGGTGTTGAGAAAGGAAGCAAACTTAAATTGTGCGACACCTTCAAATCCTCACGGATTAGAAAATGGATATGGTATTCCTAACGGCGAATCTTTAACAATATTTAATGTTCTCGAAAAGTGTAAGATAAATAAATGATTTGTATTACACGTTCACTCTTTTTTTCTTAATTTGATGAGTTCTAATTTAATTTAAATATTATAATTTAAATATTTTGTACATGGCTGACTCGAAATAAGAAATAGTATTCAAGAATGATATACGCCAAATCTATGCATGATCTGTGCCTAAGTATAGTCTTTACAATTATAACTGTTAGTGTCAACTTCAACGTTTCGACGTGTGTCAAAAGGTTAGAACTTAAAATTTAAAGCAATAGTGATTACTGATTAGTGGCAATATATACAAGAGTAAATATTGAACTAGAGTTACTTTACTAAATTACAATAGATTTTTTCAAAGTAAATGAGATTTTAAATAGTTTTCATCGGTATTAAATTAACTAACTCAGTATACCATATATTACTTAATTAAAGCTGCATGTGACAAATGCAAAATACCGCGTAAACATGTCGAAAGTTACGAAAAGAAAACACGTTATGAATGAAGCTTTATGGGACGATTACGAATTACCGAAAGACAATCAGAACATTGTTAAAGTTTTGAGAAGTAGAGGCAATAACTTACATGAGGTTTGTACAACATTTCTCCATTTTCTAACACAGTTTCCACTTGTTCTAATGTAACATTTGTAATTTTAAGTATGATATTAATTGGTCCATCAGTAGGCTATTAGATAAATTAAGATGCACTTCACAGGTTACCAACCCAACTGGAGATGAATTCCTTGTGTCAATGCCCACTAAATTCCGAAAAAATATCTGGGTTAAAAGAGGAGACTACATTCTTATTGAGCCCATCCGTGAAGGTGATAAAGTGAAAGCAGAAATAGTGAAAATAATGAATAAGGACTCTATTAAATACTACAAAGAGAATAACATATGGCCTAAAGAGTTTGATAATGACAAAAAGGAGACAAGTGGTGACAATGATGACTTATTTGTTAACACAAATAGAGTTCAAATCCAGACATATAGTGAGAGTGATTCAAGTGATAGTTTAATGTGACATATATTTTTGGCTTTTTTATATATTGTTATACTATTATGTACTAAAAGTTTCTAAGTAAAAGTTACACTTCTTATACAGACACAATACATAAGTAAAAAGTTGATTACAATATCTTTAAATAATTAAAGCGAAATAAAAATACTTAAAGTAATGCTATAAGTTTATTTTGAACCACTTAACATGACAGACCTGATACTTTAATTATTTACTTCAACTAAACATTTTACTGGTGAATAGTCTTTTAAGTGTAACAATTTGTATGTTTAAGTAGACTAGGAGCAATGAACTAAAAATGTAAAAATTAGATATTATAAGATCTGTGCCATAGATTGTTTAATGTCGGCTTCTACATCATCAGTCATAATATACTCATAAATGCTTTTAATCAATTCCACTGACTTAATCTTAGCCCATCCCTCTGTTTTAGTAATAAGCTTGGCTTGGCCATCTTTGATAAATTCCAATGTTAATTCTTTTAGAGTTTTGGCAGAGTGTAAATCTGCTAATTGTAATGTCTCTATGGCATTCTCAACAGTCACTTTCTTGTATAATGCCTCCTCACAAAGACTTTTTAGCCCACTTAGCTGATAATAGTCAGCAGCAGCTAATAATATTTCTGGTATTTCATCAACTCTTGGTGCTTTGTCGATATATATAAATGTTAGTACTTCTCTAAGAGAATCAGTTTCAAAAGGAGATTCGATTATATTTGTCAAGCACTCTGTTGTGTTATGGTCAAAGTGTGCTTTTAATACCTGGCTGCGACTTGCCAGTACAGCCTTATGCACTTTGTACTCAAAACCTTCAGCAGATTTCATTACTACATCTGAAAATAGACTGTCATTTAAAAGTTTCTCAAAATCATTACTTAATTGTGTTTCTGGTATATTTACTCCCTCAACTTTTACATCATTTGTTACCATAAATTGCAATTTAAGTTGCAGCTTTCCATTGTTTAGGAGGAATTTATCTCGCCCGTCATAGTTTGCAAGATCGTGTTTATATAGGGTAGCCAAATATTGCCACTTGTTGGCTTGCACAGTATGATAGTCCTTTATTGCGATGGAGCGCTCTTCAAATCGTTGTAAGCATACTGTTACAATCGATTTTAAAAACACGGGAATGGGCGACATATAATAAATTTCTATTAATTCATTGCTCCGTCCCAAGAGCTGCATCTTTAGTTTAAATCTTGAATCGACGGTATCTGTAACTTTATCTTTTGGGTTTTCTGTACGAAACTCTTTTGATGTTTTGCTTTCCAATACGGATATAAAGTTACGAAACGACCATATTACAGTGGTTGTTTTTATTTGGCCTTCTATATGAGAAGAATAATTGATAGAGAACATTTTATAATAACAATAAGATCTATATTAAATAGAAGTATTTGTAATATTTTTCAGCGACAGTGCTCCGGGATGTCTTTTAAATATAAAGACGGTGTGTTTCCTAAAATATATGTCAATTAACCACAAGGCTCACCTTATGAGTTAACGGGAGGTTTTCGTTGTGTTCAATTGAGTTTTTAACAAAATATTAAATTAAAAAATAACGATATCTGATTACTTTTTTGTCACAGCCATTTATTCTTTGATCACAAGCTTCTAGTTCTAACAATTCTGCCTATCAATTACTACAACTCACTGCCGTCTGTAGATGACAATTGACAATTTTAACAGATAGTAAACTTTGTATTGGTTATACTAGCAGTCACAATTAACAGTCGAAGGAAGTGTTGAAAAATAAGGACTAAAAAATACGAAGTAGTTCGAAGGTACGTACGTACATATGTTATTGTTCTTTAATATTTTCCCTATCTAATCAATGTTTGATAATAAAATCTTGCTGCTTTTATCTCCTAATGTAGTTTTAAGCACATGATAGTTGAGCTAACATTATCTTTGTCGAGATTTATCAATACGAATTGCGATGTCTGTCAAGGCACCAAAGCGGAACATTACGCGGTGAAGATAATTTATTGTTAATTCCTTTCAGCTAGTTTTCGACAAATGTAATTTAATCATTATGGAAGATTACAAGTTTTTATTTAAAGTTGTGCTAGTTGGTAACGCTGGTGTTGGAAAAACTTGTCTAGTGAGAAGATTTACACAGGGACTATTTCCACCTGGCCAAGGTGCTACAATTGGAGTAGATTTCATGATTAAAACTGTAGAAGTGGACGGAGAAAAAGTAAAGGTATGTAGATTGTTTATAATATTCATCTTGAAAGGACTTGGGGTAACAGGTTTCCTTATAAGGCAGGTTAGTAAAAAATATTTTGTGGCCTTTACTTTTTGATCTACCTTTGCACCTGCTTTCCTTTCTTGTAAAAAACATTAAATATGAAAGGTGTTAAAAATATAATTGTTTTAATTAAATATTCATTATATTAAATTATATGTTTTTATTTTTATTGTTTTTTGCAGCTGCAAATATGGGACACTGCTGGCCAAGAAAGATTTAGATCGATTACACAGAGTTACTACAGATCAGCTCATGCCTTAATTCTTGTTTACGATATATCCTGTCAGCCAACATTTGATTGTTTACCTGACTGGCTAAGAGAAATTGAAGAATATGCAAATAATAAAGTCTTAAGGATATTGGTTGGTAAGTAAAAGCTCACTTTTTAAGCAGCGAAACATATTTACAAAAGGTTACATGGCATTGTGTTGCTATAATTTGGATTCCTGTCCTTCTCTCTCCATGTGATGGACTTTATTGGTTTAAAGTTTTTTGTAATTTCTTTTATTATAAGTTTAAACAGTGTTTGCACTCTTATTAGTTAAATTATTACAACAAATGATATATTTTAATTTTGCTTGACTCATATTAAGTTAAACAAATACTTCTTTAGTATTGTTATCAAGATTTTGCTCAATCATTATCAGGTAATAAAACTGACAGAGAGGACAGGGAAATACCGAGGCATATTGGGGAAGATTTTGCACAACGGCATGGCATGTATTTTCTTGAGACCTCAGCAAAGGAAGCAGAAAATGTGGAGAGATTGTTTATGGAAATTGCTGTGGAATTAATGGAAGTATGTCAAGTTATTATTTACTATACTGAAGCAGATAATAAATGCATTATACACATACAGATGTACACATTGTGTCAGTGTTTCACACATTTTATATTTTGTTTATTTAAAGGCATCTTGGTAAACTAAAACATAAAAGACTGAAGTACCTTATCAAAAATAATAAAGTGTCCACACCATTACAACCAAGAACTTCTAGTGTTCAATGCAATCCTAAACATAAAGACTAATTGAAGGTTTATAATTTTCAGCAAGCTAAATGCAAGGAATTACCAAAATATGACGGTAGCCTAGGACCAATAAATGGCAAAACATCATCGGTAGGTGATAGTTCATGTTGTTCTAGATCATAATTTTGACGAATTTATTATAATAATATTTTTAGTGATAGACAACAAGGTGTTATTTATTAAATGAAATGTTCTCTTTAAGCAATTATTTGTAGCTTTATTTACAACTTTTAGGTGTTGAGGTCTAAATGATTTTAGATTTTATCAGTAGTTTCGAGGTTAACAAATTTTCTTAATATTTAGTATATTACATAGATACATCTAGCCTGCTCACAAACCCATATTTTATTTATCTTATCAAAGAGCTTGTTCAGTACCGATTCAGGAAGTATTTCATTTGATCTCATTTTTATTTTGTTAACTGAATGCTTTTAATTATATGTGCAATATAACTTTATTTTGACAAGAAATCTATGAATGATTGCTTTATGAAAATGAATTTATTATTAGTATGTTTATGATAGTTGTAGGCGTTTTTACATTCCATTTGCGCTTGAGCGTTTCGGCTCTGTCAAACTGACATTATTAGTTTAAGTATCCTACCGCAGATATCACTGAAAATTATATTTGTTTTCGTTCTTTATATTATTTTTTCTATAACACATAAAGTCAGTGGAAAGAGATTTGAGTATGTAACCATTTGTTCAAAAAATTACTTTCGATTCAATTGACTGGCAAACACAGCTACATTAGATTCTACTGAAACATTGATACGCCACAGTTTTAGTAGAATACTGTACAGTACAAGGGATACAAGTACAAGAGTATTAGCAGATCATTGTTTATAGTTGAGTTGGTTGTCATTCAAAAATCACATCAATGGTAGGAGTCCATGCTTACATTGGTCTTAGCAAGTTCTGTTTACTTTAGAATTGAATTTCACTAGAGTTAGTATAACTTAGGTACATGTACACAATATAAATGCATATCAATAATGTAACATCCTTCTTTGTCATTTTGATCCAGCCTTGTATCAACTTCTTATTAGCAAAATCTATTTATGTTTTCAACTATTATTTTCATAATTTGAGATTCATTGTTATTAGGTAATATAGGATAGTAGATAATTTTAGTAACTACGCTTGTTTACTTACAATTTTAATAAGGCATATTTACTAAGTAGTGTAGTACCACAAGTAATGGAACCAGTTTAATAATAGCAAGAAATGTAGTATGGTTTAGAATGTTGTGTGGCTTAAGATTCAGTGAACACTTGATTTGTTTTAACTACTAATTGTAGAACTTCAATACTGTGTACTCCATTAAAATATTAATAAGCACTAATTAAGTACTGGGTTATTTTATAAGTTCATTGAGAGGTTTAAATGGGGATTTGCAGAGGTAACAAACAATATATGGGTAACCATACTATTATTCTTTTTGTGAAATTCAGGATTTTAATTTTTTTATAATTCATTTTTCATTTTTATTAACGTATAATTACATATTTATTTCAAAAATAACGGGCCTTATTATTGAAATAAATATTTCAAGATAGTCTTAAAGTAGGACTGTTGGGCGCTAAGTAATTGTATATTACCTAAAATGTTTATGTTATTTATGGCAAATTTGGTAAACAGCGATACCCCTTTATTATAACAATGCTTTTATCTGATCCACACTATCCACCCCACTATTTATAATTTGTCCAGTGACTCCATCTGGGAACCTGCAAAATAAATGGGTGGTAGGAATATCGAAATTCTGTCTGGGTCGCGAACCACTGTCCAGACGCAGTGCAGAAGCCAGGAAGTTTCGGATTAAGTCTGTGGATTCCCGAATATTAAAGGCCAAAATATAGGTCGACAGCACATCTTGTTAATGCTATATGGGTGGGGTATTTCACCTTTCAACAAGGGCTCGGCTCCTCAACCATAAAAAAGAAACCATCACAATGTTTTTGCCTGTTTAGTGGCATTTTTGTGCTTTTAATGTTTGCTATTTATGTACATAAGCATCGTCTTAAGTTTAAATTGATTAGAATTAATGGAATTAATTATAATCCTTAATTCTAATGATAAATGTACTGTTATTAATGTTAAATATTATTTCGACGGTTGTAATTTTAATATAAGACAAATTAAATTTTGTGATTCTTAAGTTAATATATTGTGCAATTAACGTTAGGTTTGTTTACAGGTTTCGAGTAAGATACTTATATTTCATAATGCGTTCTTTGATTTATTTATATAAATTGACATGTTAATTACTTAAAGTAGCGCAAAGGTGCTTTTTCTGTTACGATAGGCAAAAGTATGCATGTTTTGTTACTTAAGTACTTCATAAGTCTATATTTTAATACTATCAATGTGGGAAATCCAAAATCTTGCCTCTAACCGCTAACGCATTCTGTATTTGTAAGCAACAATTTGGTGTTTTTGCTTTAATGTTAGTACATTTTTCTCACCTTTTTTACTTTTTTTTAATGGTAACAAATATATTTGTGATGTTTTTTTATAAAACCTGCAACAATGTGATGCTTTCATTTTCTGAAGGATCTGATAAATGTTAAATAAGTGTCATTAAAGAGACACTTCGTCTAATTCGTAAGCATCACCAAAGATATGGAATTATTATAAATTGTAATACTCGCAATTAATAAACAATATGAAATATAAAATTATAAGTTTGTTATTTCGTTGTAGTAGATTCATTTTGGGCCTAAATTATTTACCCCATTTATTATCATCCCATTATTAAAAAGTGATATATTTTTCTATTTCTGTCCTTGAATTTAGGTAAACCTAGCTCAATGGCGATACATAAAGGATAATATCGTACATTACGAGTGTTTGACGAAAAATTAATAAAAATATCCCTTCTGTTTAGCCCAAGATATCAATTTTATGCTACTGCGGTTAACAGATCTGTGGCAGACATCACTTTTCAGCTTTGTCAGTATCATCTATCGTCGATATGTGTCTGTCCTGCTCTCTATGACATTGACATTATTTTTATTGATATCTGACGGGAAGATTGTTTTATCGATCCGCCAAACGTCGTTTGAAATGGCCGACGTTTAGGGGGAGTGTCTAGCAGAAATCTTATTTCTGTTAATAAGATATTATTTTCTAATTAAGGTAAGTTTTAATTTATTTATATTTCAAGGGCTGTAGACATTTTTTAAATGTTACACGATAGTTGTATACAAGTGATTCATTTTGTTTTAAACAATACTGCTTCCGGCTGCGGCCCGGTCAAGTTATTCAAAACAAAGTGCACATATTTTAGAACTGCATTCACAGTTATTAATCATTAACAATGTAATGAAATGCAATTAGCGTTCACAATACAGAACCTGAAATCAATAGATGAAATTGAGATACCGGTTTGAAGTGATTTACATTATGCATATTTGATTAAAGTTTAATTACCCTTGTGTAAGTAAATCCCTATGTTTTTTTATTTTTTAGATAGCCGTCGTGGCGAAGGCTCACATTCCGTATTAAAAACTGAACGACTGAATTGGCTGAAAATGGCTTGGCGTTTTAAGGCTTCTAAGTATAAAAATGCTGCACCTATAGTTCCAAAACCTGAAGCATGTATAAGAGATATATGTGTTGGGTCTTATCAGACATATGGGAACAATATATGTGCATCAGCATCATTTATGGCATTTAATTGGGAGCATGTAGGGTCCAGTATGGCTGTCTTACCGCTGGATGACTGTGGCAGGAAAAGCAAGACAATGCCTCTGCTTCATGCACACTCTGACACTATAACAGATATGGATTTCTCACCATTTCATGATGGGCTACTTTTAACTGGATCTCAGGATTCTTTGGTAAGAGCTATACAGTACTTTAATTTGGTTTAGTAGTAAAGATTTTGTAAATATCATAAATAAAACTTAACTAAGTAAAACTATGCCTTTGGTTAAATTAAATTTGTTAATTATATTGTTTAATTGAACGGTGATTAAAGTATAAATCTTTTATTTATGAAACACAAATTCTTGGATGATGTTTACTATCCTTTAATTAATTCCCACACAAAATATTGCATTTGTAAGGTGAGAAATTCATATTTACTGAGATTAATTGATAATGCTAATTAAGACTAAATTGTAATCTCATTCATGCTCTTGAGCAATAAATTGTGCTTTAGCTCAGTACATTGTAATTTCCGTAATTAAATTAATTTAGTATGTTACTGCGATTTTCGTTAACCTATATGTTAAGTGAAGCATTTGCCTTTCTAACAGTTAGGTTTAATCTTAAACAAGTTGCAAGTTCAATGTCTACTTTATTAGAGAACTGGGAGATGTGATAAATCCTTTATGTTACTTGATGCTTTAAAGGTAGAAAAGTATCATAACAAAAATTTGTAGTCTTGTTATGGAACTTGTTCTTGTTTTGTCTAAAAGATAAGAGTATCACGAATCAATAATAGCCCTTAAATTCAAGTTAAACATTTTAGAAGTCATGATTAACTGTGCTTATCTTATCACTGCCTGGAACAATTCCATGTGGTTTTCCCGTCATCATATGTCATTTATGTGCATTTATACAGTCAATTTATTTCAGGTGAAAGTATGGCATATACCACCGGAAGGGCTTAAAGAGTCCTTGTCCACACCGGAATGCACTCTGTCTCAAAAACAGAGAAGAGTTGAAAATGTGGGCTTCCATCCTGTTGCTGATGGACTTGTACATGTTGCTTCAGGCTATGAGTTTGCACTATGGGATTTGACTAAGCAGAAAGAGGCTTTTGGTAAATCATTTCAAAATGTTATTTTTTATATCTAGTATTGACGATTTCCTTTAATTGGATTCTCATATATGCTTATTTAGAACAAGAAACAACCGTTATATGTGTTATAGTATTACAATAATATAATATATATAATAAATTCTAGTTTCTTTTTTTCTGCAATTTTTAAAGTCTATGTGATTTCGTAGTAAACAAAGATCACACTGAAGTGATTCAATCGACATCATGGAAGAAGGATGGAAAGCTTGTAGCTACATCGTGCAAAGACAAGAAAGTGCGCATTTTGGATCCTCGTGTTGAATCGCCTGTATTGAATGTGGCTAATAGTCATCAGAATATCAAAGATAGTCGGCTGGTCTGGCTTGGAGACACTGAAAGAATATTGACTACTGGTAATTGCTTTTAAAACTTTCTTTTTACTACCTTCAGCATGGACTCAATAATGTAAAAAGACTTAGATTATGTAACAATATAGGAAGGCGGTGAAGTTCAGTTCTGTGTAAAAATACAGAGATATGTATGTTTGGGTAAATTTTGCAAACAATAGACTAAATTTAACATAAACAAACACGAAAATAAATTATTGTTCAAGGTTTCGACTCGGCTCGTCTGCGTCAAATAATGATTCGTGATATCCGGAACCTATCTCAAACACAAAAGACCCTGGAACTAGACTGTTCCACTGGAGTGCTGATGCCTCTGTTCGATCCTGACACCAACATGCTGTTCCTTGCTGGCAAGGGAGATACTACTATTTTATACATGGAATTGACGGATAAAGAGCCTTATTTGATCGAAGGGTTACGGCATTCTGGTAGGTATTGTTTTGCAGTTGATTAATTTCCTTTTAATCAGCATGCTTTCAAACAGTCAAATGTTTGTATTAAATCCGCAAGTTTTTTTTTGTAAAGCGTATTTATAAGATCTTTTACTTTATCCATCAAGCTCTCAAAATCGGTATAATCGTCCTCAAGTTAAATTTGTTGGAACAAACAATGTACCAAAAAAATCTTTTATACAGGTGAACAAACAAAGGGCGCCTGTCTCGTTCCAAAACGTGCTCTTCGTGTGATGGAAGGTGAAGTCAACAGAGTTCTGCAATTAACCGGGTCTTCTGTCGTGCCTATTATGTATCAAGTACCTAGAAAGGTAAGAAATTATACAAATATTTAAAAAAGAAGAAGAAAAGAGAACAGTTATCAGAATGAATTTATTATAATATATATAATAAGAAACAACACTTTCGGTTGAGTAGGGCACAAAAGTCTGCTTTCAAAAAAAAATACGAAAACGTATCTGTTTTATTTCCGGATTGTCCCATTGCACATGCGATGTGGAAATACTATTTCTATGTAATATTAAAAAAAAACCGCTCTTCTCGTAAATGTAAAGAATACCAAATATTAATAAAATTGATATTTTGTTTGGGCTCTGTACCATTACAAAAAAATAAAACCAAATATGTATACATTATTTCAGAGCTACCGAGAATATCATGCTGATTTGTACCCAGATACAAGTGGTGCAGTTACTTACCTCAGCGCCCCGATGTGGCTTGAAAAGCAGGACCATCCAGTACCTAACATATCTTTACATCCTGATGCCAATAATTGTACACAGGTAAGTTTTAATATAATTTTAAGGTTCTCCTGAGGCTGAGGATTTTTGGTGTTATTACTTTTTATTTCTTTATTAAAAAAAATATATTTTCCCCTTTGTTTCAAAGAATTTGGTTTTGATTGACATATTTTTTGGTTATCCGGTTTTGGGTTTTTAATTTTTATTATTATCTTTTATAATGGTTAATTTGATTGTGGTGTGTTCCTTTTTATTTATTTTGTAGTGTCCTGTAGTTAGAAATTTAACAACGGCATGTTTGGTGATGTAAGTACATGATTTTTTTATGTTAATTTATTTTAAGTAAATGCCTTGACTTTGCCTTAATTGCTTATTTTTGATGGTCCATATGTTAATCTTAAAACTTTTGTAGGTACTACACCGCGGAAATTTAGAGGAGTTAGTTGCCAAAATTCTCGCTATGCCTGTTCCAAAAAAGAATGATAACAAAATTGTCCAACAAATCAACACAGAGGAAGCGAAACCGGTACAGTCTCAGATACAAACTTCTGACAAGGAAGAAGAAGATCGCATTGACTTCGTAAATGTCAAGGACATGATTAAGGGGATGGAGAAACAAAAAGTTGAACCAAAAGAGTATTCCAAAGAAAATGGATTCCTCAAGAAAATGGACAATGGCCATGAAGAAAAGGATGATAAGAGAGATAGTTTGGATAAAACTGATTCTGAGTCGAGCGAGAGCTTATCCAGAAGTAATAGTTTGATTAACGGCATCCAAGCGCCGAAACCTCTGCCTAGATCTTCTATATCAGAGGCTGGTTCTGCTAGTGAAGATGGAGAGGCTCCTAAACCTAAACCACGGACTACTGCTATGCCAGTGTCTGGTTATAAGGTATTTGGTTTACGAATAAAGAGTGTTTTATTTTTGTTTACTATATTTTTTTTACTTTCTTTATAATCTATATCTATAATTAATTTTAGCGCCAGAAGATTCGATATGAGGCTGCTAGAGGCAGAGTGGCCTATGAACAAAAACATGATTTTCAATAAGGAAAATAAAAAATATAAATTAACTTGGCGAAAATTAATTTGTGTTTACAATTTTCGGTCACTGTGCACTTGTAGATTAACATTTTTATACTATGAAAATATAAATAACTCAAGTCATAAATTGCAGTTAGGCTACTCTGCCCCTAGCGTAAGAAAATGTGACTGGTTTATTTTTTCTAGCACATGTCTGTCTTAATATAAAATCCATACTCTCCATTGAATTTCAGCCGCGTCTAGGACCAAAGCCGTTTTCAGCGACAACTGGCAGTGATGAGTTCTCTTTTGACAAAGTATTCTCCGTACCGGCGGTACCAGGAGTGAACAAGAATGAAACAGGTAGATTAAGAATATAAAGCTAGCTTATGCACTTATAAGCATATGAATAATAGAACTTTGATAAAGGACAAGAAAGGTTCTGCAAGTAATTAAGTCTAAGTCTAGTGGCTTTTTTTGAAGAATATATGTGCAACATGGTTGTAATTTTTTTTTTGATCAAAAAGAAGAAGAAAGGAATGAAGAAGAATTTCAATGCCAGACAAAGAAACACCCTACGCCATATATTTACAAATCTATGATTTTCTATACCCCATATATTTATAATCTATGATTTAATTTATGAATCAAATAAAGTTATTCTTCATGGATTTATACTCTATAGAAGTATTTTTTGTTCGCCAGCTACGTCGCCTGTAGCTGCCCCTCAAGCTGGAACACCTGTGACATCAACTCCAATTTCCAGAGACGATGATAAAGACAAGTCTCTATCACCCACCAGTGATGTTGAAGTCGCCCCCAAAGGTATAATTTAGTTAACACTTGTGTGATCTTCATATATTTAGGGTTTAATAAATTATGATAGGCCGGATAATTCATTATTGTATCGGTTAAGAGCAAGTCTACATTAAAATATATATTTTTCAGATTTAAATATCATGAATTATATATAATGATTTTCATGTAATTTGAAACATTCGAAAACAAAATTTAATTATAGTCTAACCAAATAACTTAATATTTCTGTTTATTATATTAGAAATAGTTAAATTGTCCTTATGTTTAAAAAAATATTCTGGAACTATTTCAGAAGAGTACACTAATGGAAAGTCGGACACAAGTGTGGAAGAAGAAGTTAATAGTTCTGACTCGGGCTACATACCAAAAACCCCAAGCACAGCTGACAGGCGGAAGGTGTTTGAAACTACAGAGTTAGTATAATTATAATGAAACATATTAACTAAATATAATTTACAATTAGTATAAGTAAATGGTATAATATGTACATTTGTAAATAATCATGTTCGCAATAGAATCAAGCTCAGTAAATAAATAAAATTTAGCTTAGCCTACTTTTTATATTCTATTACTATTATATTTATGGTACAGTATCCTGACGATGTCATATATGGTTGACGTGACGTGATATGTTTAGTAATGACGTCACGGTTAGTGTTGAAATTAGCAAGTCGCGTTCTGACACCTCTAGACCATAATTAGAATTAAGACAAGAGATTACTCTAACAACGGAAAATGGAAAAAATTATCAATGCTTTACAGTGAGTTTGTGATTATGAACGCTCGTCTCAACACAAGACTGGGGCGTATGTACCTCAACCGATCCGCTCTGATAATATCGGTATCGCTCCTGTTGACATGACAGTTGGTACCAGTATAGATGCGCAAGACTTGCGTGAACCCTTCAGTGCTTAATGTATAGGACTGCTACTTTTCCTATCGCTTATCACCTACCTACCTACTTAAAAGGGTGAAAATGAATAAATTTGCTCTTTGCAGCGGTGTAAAATCAATAGCTGACAGACGACGTGCATACGAAGTTCGTTCATTAAGCACAGCTCCAGAAACGGAGGCGCCATTGTCACCAGCCCCGCTTAGGTATGTCTGCTTATTATCCCTTTTGTAGACACACATAGACTCAGTAGGGGTATTCAAGTTTCAAACAGTTAATTTAAGAATTAAATTTTTGCTTTTCCTGTTTTATTATATACATATATATAATTAGTTTTTTTATTACATAACCATCTGTTCTTAAATTGTCTAGGCGAAGGGATTCCCTAAAGTCCCGCAAGAGCCCCGACAGAGAAGAGAAACGTTCTTCCGTACCCAATGTGACGACAAAAAGGACATCAACCGTTTTTGGTAAGGTTCTATTTAGATGTGGTAAAATGGTTTTCTTTATCATACGAGTGTAATTAATTGAATCCTTTACTTATTATAATTGACTAAAAAAATGTGAACTCTTTTTAATTTTATTACATTTCTTAACTAAAACCTATTTTTTTTGCTATACAGGCAAAGTGTCGAAGTTTCGTCACTTGAAGGGTACACCAGGTCACAAGTCGACACATGTTGAGAACATAAAGAACATTAGTCGACAGATTTCTGGTGAATGTCATGGATTTTGTGGTAAGTTAGTTCTGATATACTATAATAGATATTTATAGTTGCTACTACTAATAACCGTTACTACTCAGTATAATTCCGTGAAATTGAGAGAGTCTGAATGGATGGGATTGGAATAACCCTAAAAATAAATGAGACTGACATTCTAATCTATGGTGTATAATTTGGTACTTTGAGCCGGAAAATAAGATTTGTCAGAACGTTCAAACGTCGCTGGCACTGTCTTCTGAGCCTAAATAATCCGTTGCACTAATTCGCCTAACCCTGTAAGACGCAAAGCCATGTCTCTGCCGTCTCACTGACGATTTTATTTATATGATTTAAGTAAATCAGATCGTGCACTGCCATATTGTGTATTATTTAATTGTATACTTCTCGTGTCAATTACAGTTAAAACTCTCTGTTCTTCTCTATGTTCTTTTAACTCATTTAATTGTAATTCTCAGCTAACGGTTATCGTTGTGCCGTACCCGTGAGCGCTGGTGGGGGTGGCGGTCGCGTGGCCGTTATAGAGCTCCCAGTTGGAGCCACTCCGCACTCCAAAGCGGCACCGTCGCATCCTGCTGCGTTACATCCTCATGCACTGCTGCACTCCGCGCCATTGCAGGACTTCACTTTCGACCCCTTTAGGAACGAGCGTTTGATGGTGGCCTGTGATGATGGAATGATACGCGAATGGATTATTCCGGAAGGAGGTTGGTAACGGTCATATTATGACAAATAAGAGATATGAACTTCAGAATATATAAAGCTTTTGCGGCCATTTTGCAAAACTGATCTGCGTTGCAACATCATCACTGCATGGCCAGTCTTCATTTAGTTTAGGAACCATTCCTTTTAGATGGCAATATGAAATGGCCATCTAAAATGAAACCATGTTAAAGTAAAAAATAATTTTAGTGAATGACTGTTTAAAATATCATTCAATCATCATCATCAAATTTCATAAAATGGAGTAATTAGTGAAATAGTGTGGGGTGATCATCCGGCCTTCTATCGGTGTCCCCAATAGAAAATAATAATACCTGTTTGTAGAGACATACATTGCAATTTAAAATCTTGATACAGCTTATTGCTAAATGCATGACCAACACTATTGTCCGATATTATTTATTAGTATATTATTTATTTGAAGTTCTAATTTTGTAAATCGAATATAGACTATTTTAATTGTGATTTTTATTGAGGATATCCTACAAGGCCACCTTATAATATAAACCGTTAACTGCTTTAAATATCAATTAATAAAATAAACCTTCAGGTCTATCTGAATCATCAAACGAGCCGAACCGTACTTTCTCCGCGCATCCGGATAAGATCTACATCATCCGATTCCATCCGACTGCGTCTGATCTCCTTACCACTGCTGCGCATGACCTTACCGTCAAGATTTGGGATCTAGCCAAGGACGTGCCAACTCCGGAGATCACCTTAACGGGTCACACTGATCAGATATTCGCATTGGATTGGTCTTTGTACGGTGAATACTTGGCTACTGTGTGCAAGGATGGGTTGGTTAGGGTAAGTTTTTGTTTCTGATACTTTTTAAAACTGGCCTACGACCTAACTCTTTTTTAATACAATGTACTGCAAATGTTTCCAGCTCATTACTAAAACAAGTTAAAGTTGACAAAAGCGAGAAGCATTAAAGTGATTTTAATAACAGTTATTGAAACAATAAGAAGGTGTTTGCTTTATTCAAACATACTAAACCAACTTTGTTTAAAAATCTATGATCCTCATAGTAGGCTATATTGAAGTTTACTTAATAAACAAATGCATCGATATATTTTTGTACTTAAGGTTGTGAGATATATCAATTTTCGAGATGTTTGGCCTTCGTGATGGAGAAATTGCCCTCGATGTTTTATCATCACAAGTGGGATTACATTATGAAAATATGTTGCATGTTCCTCTACTAAACAAAGACTCGCGATCGACTGTCATACACCCGACAAATAATCACGACACTCCTAAAAGCTTTGCAAAATGTTTATATTATTTTCTCTCGTTACAGATATACAACCCGCGTGTTTCGTCCGCTCCTATTCGCACTGGCCCGGGCGCAACGGGAACTCGCGGTGCACGTATTGTTTGGGCGTTGAACGACACACACATTGTTGTCACAGGGTTTGACAAGTGGGTATACGATCCGAACCGAAACCGTACCGTTTGATTATTTACCCACACATTATTTCTAGAGGAGGACTCATAAATCTGTCGAAATAATTGCATAGTTAACCAGGTTACGCTCGAAGTACGCTTACACATTTCTGCTTTCATATCTTGTATGTTATATTTCATTTTCAGGCAAGTGTGATCAGATTTCTGAGCCCTATTCAACAGAAAGTAATAATACTTGCTTCCTCAGAATTTGACCCAAGGTTTTTAAAAAACATTGGAATAGATAATAAAGAAACTCTTTTTCAGAGTATCGGAACGTCAAATCCTGCTGTACAAGGCTAGTGACCTGTCCGCACCTGTGTGCACAGTTGGTTTGGATGTTTCGCCCGCCATCTTGTTGACTCACATTGATCACGACTCTGCTACGCTGTTTCTTACTGGACGGGTAATTTTTAATAATATTTGTACTACATTATAAGCACAAAGAGATACGTGTTTGAAAACATTCATATGTTTTAAATGAGGCACATAAGGAATGTGATTTAAAAATCGATTATAATTTAAAAAAAAAACGACAAAAGTCCTGCCTAGACTTGGACCGGCATCCACAGCCTCCCGCGCCTTTGCACACGGTAGCTTAATTGATTAGAGCAAAAGCACGATATGCTGTCGATGCTAGTTCAAATCTTTGAATTCATAATCAAGATAAGAGTTATTAATAAATAACACACTTATATTAATATAAACAATGTTATGTATTTAGGGTGATTCAACGATCTACTGCTATGAAGTGACATCCGAGGCGCCATATTTGTGCGCGCTGTCCCACCATCGCGCACCCACTCTCCACCAAGGGATCTGCTTCTTACAGAAGAATACATTGGCTGTTGAAAAGGTCAAATAATCTCTTCCTGATTCTTTTTTTATTTTTCAATAATAGAGGAGGACAGAAGCACGGGGTTTACTTTATGGTAGGTTAAATACTCCAGCATATAGCGTCTAAACAAGATGCGCCGTTGACTCATTTAGGCTTTGGTTATTCGGACATACAGACTGAAACCGAAACGTTTCACGGCTTTTTTATCCAGATTTCCAGAAGTCCAGCATGTTTCAGAAAAAATGTAAATTGATGAGAGACTTGTTGGACCCGGTGGGGGTCAAACCCACGACCCTTTGATGTACATTGCTACCATTAGAGATTACCAAGTATTAAAGCTCTTACTCTTTAACTCTTGTTTTACCATAACTTGGGGCATGTCATGTCAATTGAATTTCATCCTATGGTCTCTTGAGCTGAATGTAATGCCCTTGTGCCATTTCAGTTATTAAGAATCTACTATTTTTGAAGATAAAGTACTTTGTCGCTTGGTCTAGATGGGAAATTCAATCTGTGGTATACTTTATGTTTTGGCCTTGTTATTAGGAAAATGATAAAAAATTTCACTTTTACTTTAGGTAGATAAACATATAGAATAGTTTATGGCAATAATATAAATTATTTCGTCTTCAGGTCGAATTTGCAAGGGCCCTCCGACTTACAAACGGAAATGTTGAACCACTGTCATTCACCGTACCCAGGATAAAGGTATGGTGCTTAAATCCCTTTGGTACCTTTATTATTTTTTGTTTATGAGGAGAGGACAGACGAGTATGGCGGTTAACTTATTGAAAGGGGTTGTCCATTAATCACGTGACCTTTTTTTAGATTTTTTAAATCCCCCCCTCCCCCATTGGTGATACGTAGTGAGGTTTAAAACCACCCCCCCTCCCCCCTTCTCAACATCATATGTATTTTTAGTACCTACAAAGAATCTTAAAATTTTCTGAATATTATCTTAGTTTAAATACAGGTATAAACTATAATCTTATTGTATTCTGAAATTGGAGGACCATAATAAAAATGTCTACAAATTTGTTTAAAAATAGCGCGTTTGACGAAAAAATAAATACACAAGATATCTTACTACACCCCCCCCCCCTTGTGTTATTTTCGTGATTTTTATCAAACCCCTCCCCCCTTTCAAGCCTCACGTGATTAATGGACAACCCCAAAGGTTTTTTTTTTGATAAACCACAGACTGAAATCGAAACATAATATAATTGTACGGCTCTTTCATCTGTGGGCAGTGGACTCATTTAATATCTAGTTTTTCAGGTAAAATCCAACATGTTTCTGAAAAAATTTAGATATAACCACGAAGTTTGTTTACTAGCTATACATTGTTATGCCGTTGCCCGTCAAAGTATGTAGTTCCTAATCAGTGACTAATGTAATTAATTACACTCGTGCGCACACTTTTCTGCGCCTACGCTTCGTTAGCGAATCAATTTGTTTTGCATCCTATTGACTGCCTACACTGTAATTACCGCTCATTCATCTAATGGAAGATAATGAATCAATAGTACAATCCTATTTATTTCAAATGATAAATTGCAAATTTTTTACCTTAATCTTAGCTTTTAATTACACCCGGCTTTCGTTCGTGAGCAGTTCGATTCCCAGTATCAAAAATATTTTGCTCTTCGTTTTGAGATATCCATTTCCCAATAGAAGGTCACCAGTGGCGATGATGATGATGAAATGTGATTTCAAGTCTTGAAGGGCGATAACGTTTCTTTTTTAATATTCTCAGAGTGAGTTGTTCCAAGACGACTTGTTCCCGCCAACCCTAGTGACGTGGCAGGGCTGGCAAAGCGCTAGGGACTGGCTCGACAAAAAACCTCTGTCCCCCAAGATTGTAAGCCTCCAACCACCTGGAATGGAGCCTCGTGAGTATATAGAAGATCATATTTATAATTGTAGTTTACGGACATTTAAATAAAACCTCTGTAACGGTTTAAAACGCGAAATATATTCGTTAGCTTGCATCCGTGTAAAGAGCAAAACGTGGTTCCGGGAGGTCTGTCGTAAGCACTGCTGTAGATTTCCGAAACGTCAGGCTGTTGCTAAATTGTAAATTGGTTAAATAAGTAATATTTAGAAAAAACATGATTTTATAATAGTAATGGTCTTATAACAAAAGTGTGAAGTTCGGATTAAAGTAAGAAGATAGCTTAAATATAATCTAAAAAGTTTATAGTCTCCATCAATATAATTTTTCACATTTATCTACCAACTCCATGCTGGTATTTCCTCCGTAATAAAGAGCAATTCATAACTGTAAAAAATTGCAGTGTCTGCGCACACGGCTCCAGCGAACGTGCCGAAGGAGAAGCCCGCGCAGAAACCGAAGCCCGATCTCATCAAGTCGCACGTACCGCTCGACGCCAAAGAGAAACAGGATAGCGTAAGTTGACTATTTTACATTATTATCGACTTAAAACCCGCAATACAATTCACAATATCGTTCAATTATTTTTAACTACGATAAGTTTCGGTTGCTTTCTGGTAGTCGATTTAATAAATTCTGTAATATTGTAATAAATTAAAACTATTCGTTGACGTAACACATTTCTATGGCACAATAATTTATGTTGTATGTTTACTTACATATTTTTCCTCTTACATTTTCCATTTTTGTTTTTAAATTTGTCAAAAAATTGATTTACACTAAATAAGCTTTGAGAAACTGGATTATATATTAAACTAACGAACTATCTCAAATTCGCTTTGTAAAAACCACAATTACATGCCTTCATAAAAATTTAAAAATGAATTTAGGTCAATGGATAGATCTTTAGTTAGCTATCTATATTAGGACGGGATGAAAGCAAAGTCAACGACTGAAGTGCTACTTATGCACGATCGACGAATAATGAAGACATAGACAAAGATGAAGAAGAAGAAAAAGAAAAGAAGCTTTACTCTATAAAAGGTCATCACTCGATATCTATGGTTGAAAATCTGCAATATTTGTTGTGGTCTTTCGCCAAAGTAAAAAAAATCTTTCACAGTAATGTCATGTAATAATCCGATTTTGTTCCAGATAATGAAATCAATGAGCGCCAAAGTCACCGTCAACTTGAAACTCGAGCAAGACAGTATGGAAGGTGTCGAAGAATCCGAATGGGACCAGTGAGATTCTACTTTTGTCTTTTACACCCAACTCTTCTTTATACCCTACAAACCCGAATTCAATCGTCAGACTGATCTTAAGATATATCTTAAGACGGATGATCAGGCATAGAATTGGACTATCAACCCATTAGTTTATTCATTCGTTATTATATTCAATATTTTATGACAATTGTACTCCTATATACTTTGAAGCCCTAACGTAGTAACTTAAGGTACGATGAATGATTGGAAATATGCTAAAACTAGGTAGTAGGAAACATTCCGTCGTCGAATCATATCCTTTTGATCATTTACCGCTTCGTTTTGCTACTGAGGTATTCTTATATTTCTGATAACGAAACATACGTTTAGAGGCCTATTATACTGTCGATCAGTTTTGAAGTTTATTTTGTAGAAATTCCAACGGTTGAATAACGCTTAATACGTATATTTCATTTTGGGCTTTAAAATAACAAGTCATGTTACACGTAAGCACCAATACAACACAAAGATTTGCTTTATATCTTCTAACACTTAGTAATACACATAAGGGCCGACGCACACTGGGCTCCGATCAGGAAACGCCGATATTTTAGTTTCCAAAGCCAAAATGGGTCGACAGCGCATCTTGCTCAGATGTTATGTGGCTCAAGGGAGCCTCATGCTCACATTTTTTAGAATTTTAGAGGGCAATTAAAATTAAACCCTCTACAATTCTAAAAAAATGTGCGCATGAAAACTAAAATATCTTATTAAGTCACAATCACAATGTATGGACGATGTTGTCTGACCGTGGCTGAGTGTGCGGCGTGGCTAAGCGTTCTGATCTCAATGATGTGACCAAAATATTTACACCATACGCTCATAAATTGCTCATTTAAGCATTTATAACGTCAGAATGTTAGCGTTATTGTCTATGTACCGCACAGGCGCAATCTTCCAAAGAGTTTCAGTGTCGAATATAACTACGTATTAGTAGATTTTTTATTGTACTTTTATGCTATATAGTAGTAAAGTAGACTGGGAGAGAAATCGTTAGGCTGTGGTCTGCTATAAACGCCGTTATTCGCGTACAGTGTAACGCCGGCCAACGAGGCAGGTCTAATAGTAGCGAGGTTCATAACGAACCGGCCGTGGGTTCAATTTCACCAGATCCAATTTGTTACTGAAATCAATTTATAATGTTCTAAAAGCTGTTAGACTTGGTATAGAATATCTAGTCTATGGTATCGAAATCCCAACCCACTCAAGAACACTATCGATAAGAGTCCATAGATGATTTCAGTCTGTACATTCGCAGCCGTGGTATTATCACCTTCCAATAAACCTCATGTTTGTCTGTCTGTTCCTTTTAACGTACTTGTTTATAGAAGACCACACCCCTAGCGCGCTAACATCTGACGTCACTCAATAACATTCCTACATATGCCATACGAGATGCATTTATTTATTAAAACTACGCACTTTTTGTATTTTATTAATAATATTAAAATACTTGCATAAACATAATGTAACGTAGATAAGAAAATGTAGGATACTTCTGATTATTGGCCGTCGCACGTATTAGCTTATAATTTTGAACCTAAAAACGCGGTAAAGATTTGAGGATTGCCGATTGTATTTTAACTGGGTCTCGTCGACTGTTCTAGTGAAAACCACATTAAATTCAGTATTTTTTTGGGTTCGATCGTAAGTCAGTCCAAATGACTTGGGGTTTAAGCGGCTCGGCCGTCGTAATGGAAGAATGGTTTTCGATAAGATCAGACAAAGGCAGAACAGTTTTCAATTGTGACGTCCGATTAGGTCGAAATTTCTTTTTCTGTAACATGTTAAATTAAATGGTGGTAGGAATATCAAAATTCCGTTTCGGTCACGAACCACTCCACAGATGGAAAGCCGTCTCTTTAATCGCGTTTCGGTTTCAGTCAGTGCAATTCCGAACATCCAAAGCCAAAATAGGCCGACAGCGCATCTAGTTTAGATGTTATATGGCGGGGGTAATTCACCGACCACTAAAAGATACCCAAGTAATGATTTGAACGGTTTGCGATGTCTTATATAAATTTAGGAAGGTAATTTTTTTTTACGCAATAGAAGATTAACGATTTTTTCTTCATAAATACATCATGAATAAAATTAATAAGCTAATGTGTGCGAATCTTTAGGGAATTGACTTAAATGTAACCGCTATGATATTATAGTCATCATTTATATATAGATTTGTAAATGGATATATGAAACAATGCGTTTAGTACCGCTAGTTGATGCCATAACTTCTAAAAATATCGATATTATGTTCACAAATTTAATTTTACGTATTCGATGCAGTATTGCGATATTTAAGCCCAGGGACAATTGATAAATACAAATCTTTCGACAGGAGTGTTATTAAACAATATCGATATTTGAGGAAAAATACCATATAACACACGTTTTGCTCAAAACGCCAAAGAACTTCGTTTAAAACTATTAAAAGAATGTAAAATACTCTTGTTTATTCGTTATCTATGCTTTACACGCTCTCTATGTAGCATTTTAAAACATATATCAGAAAATGAATATGATTAAAATTGTAATCGTGTTACAGAGTATTAATTTAGTATTGATATGAATCTCGTATCTTTTAGTTATTTACTGGCTTATATGAAGGTTTAATATTATTTAACTTTGAAGTATTTACGAATATTCATTTCGTTAATGTGATTTGTATTCTGGCTGTATGAAATCTATTATAACGAAGCTAGTTTAAATCAGTTAACAAGTACTCGTTACTAGACAACGGGTGAACGATCCTTGTCATTTTTGTAAACGCTTTCCGTCTCTTTCGCACACTATACGTGCGAGCGAGACGTACGCTTGGGTATTACTTAAAACGCATACGTATAGATGTAATTTTATTCGCTAGTCAAAAGTTATAAGTAAAACTAATATTTTCTTGTATAACTTTACAGTGTTTTTAATTGATTGGTTATATGTAATGCCTTTAGTATCGGTATTATTTAACAGTTCTTCCATAAGAAGGTTGAGTTGAAAATCAAATTTCAGATGTTAAGACAAATTGCTCCATAATTTTGTATACAGACTAAATCACCGCACATGTATTTTTGAACATTACTTCCTCGACGACCACCAAGATAAATTTATTTCTGAAAATATTTTCTATGTATTTTTTTTACTTTGTTGTCGAACCAACGAGCTCAATCAAGAGAATTCTTATCAAATTCGATTACGATGTTGATGGTCGTCGATGCGTTATCATCGTTTGTACCAACCCTATCCTCACCGAGAAGTGATATGTTGTGAATGAATTACGCTCAATTTATATTAAATGAAATATTTATTTATCTTTCTTTAATATAAAAGTGCACGCAAAATTACTATAGGGTGTTCTCTCGAAAATTAAACTAAGCTCTTGAGCACGAAATGAACTGGCACTTGCAGTTGTGAAAAGACAATAATGCTTTGTCTTTCTTTAAACTCGCGATCGATAATTCGTGCCAACGATTTTGTAATTATAACGAACATTGGTTTGATCTTCAAAAGTTAATGTTAAAAATGTATTGAAAACAAGCTGGTACTCCTATCGCCACACCGATAAGCGCAAATAAATAACATATCTCGCAGGTAATACGTTTTTGTTGATGGCAATACATTTTTAACAGAAGTGTTACCATGCAAGTAATAAAAACGAATATTGTCAGCGTGGTTGCGTGTAGTTTTGTATTTTTGTATGATCGTACACCTACTGATAATCCTTAGTGGTAAGTCCCAACATTTGGATATATTTTATTTTGCATTTTTTTATTAAACTCTTGCTAAATGTAACCTGTGTTTTATTTGAATCCTTTTTACATATTAACGACTTGGTTGGAAGGGTTAAGGTACTTCCATGGCGATGATCGCTTCGGTCTTCTCGTTCGGGGTGTAACCATTAGGCCACAAAATGCCTTTACCCGTAGCAAATGAGTAACATTTCACCGTGAAAAGGTACGTAAACTATTGGTCCCTTGAGACCTAATTCTCTAATATACTAACCTTTATAGGCTATTGGGTTGTATATAAATAACAAAGTTTAACATACAAGATGATTTCTTCAGTACAAAAATGCAAATGTGTATAAGGAAGTTTAATGTGGGCATAGGAGAATGAATGTTAAATACTGTCTAGTTTTACGCGAGTAGTAAATATTTCAAAAAAAAGTAACGGTTTTAAAAGATAAAAATATATTTCGCGTTTTAAACCGTTAGTGTTTATTATTGCTTCTACGTATTTATTAATCTTTATTTACCATTATGTACGCAAATTTTGAAAAATAATGATGCCAAAGGTGTTTCGCTTCAGCATAAGTTGCAGCATAGTTATGCTGCAATGTTGAACTTAAGCAAAACAACAAGTTTTAAAGAGCATTTTTAACGCAGTTTGGAAACATTTACTAAAAAATGTATATGCAAAACAGTTATGAAACGGTTATATTCGTTTTATTCAACTGTGCGAAGCTTTCTAGCTTTTCATAGTACGTATTAATCACATCGGTATATATAAAAATATATGAACGTTTATTTTTGCTACCCTTCGTCAAGTAGTGACGGGTGCTGATAGCTAAGACACGCAATTTAGCGGCACATGATTGGAAGCGCTCGCTCAATGAATCAGAATACAATCGGCGATCACCCACACCTTGGTCCAAACTATAAGCGCAGCGATTTCGTACTCATTTCAGAGCGTTAAAAACAGTTCTTGTCACTTACAGATGTCAGGAAAGGGTTATTACTTATTTATCAAAAGTCAGTTTTACGCAAATTTTATAGTAACTGGACAGATCTTTCACGGTTTTCATCAAAATATTAAAATAAGCTCGGTGTAATATATAGCTTACTGCGTAAAAAAAAACAACAAAACAGTGATACAGTTAATAAATTGTGTAAGGCTTTCACGGCCATCGTTCAGCATATGTCTTTCGGGCTGTTCGGCCGATGTGAGCGAGAAGAGGTTATCGACGTTTCACCATCATGTGTGGACGGC